AGTAGGTTAAGAGTTTGTTAAGTCTGGCCGACCCTAGAACTGCGCCCCACCCCACGTGACAAAGACTGGCATCTGATGGAGTGAGATGATTTGTGTGTCGGTTCTATCTCCCTATCTGTTCCTTCGTTTAATCCTCATACAAGCTTGTCACTTTCTTGCCGCCATTTGGCAGTTTGGCCCTTAGTACAACCCCAGGATGCACCCTTCCATCAACGCCATCATTCCAATCGGGCTGATGAGGCAACTGGTTGATGTTCATGTAGATATATCCATCTGTGCCCACACTTGCTCCATCGGGCCAGATGATTCTGGGATCCCGCACAAAAGGCTTGGTCAATCCATCACTAGGATCAAAGTAGTAGATCGCATTGTGCTCTGGCATAAGTTGATAGATCAAACCATTCGAGTCGCCCTCGAAGCCATTGCCATTTCCACCGCGTTGGCCGTGGTTCGAAACGTTTGCATGAGCGAAGACCTCCACCAACGAATCGTCGCTTGCGTTGGCTCGTAGGTTGGCCGTCGGAACGCTCCAAAGATAGTTGGTTGAGAGCGGTGAGTAGTACATCCTCTTGCCGTCTGGGGATAACTGGATTCCATCGAGACCCTCCAGTTGCCAGCCCACGGACATGCCTTTCTGGCGAAGGTAGAAGGGAATGCCCTGGTACGATGGAACATCATTCGCACCTCGAAGGACAGAGCGGTCTTGATCAAGACGTCGCCAGGACTCGCCAGTTCCAAGATCAACCATGATGAATCCTGGGCGGCCTTCATTAGAGCTGTCGACAAGGTATGCGATGCCTTCTCCTGAGGTGCCTGATAAGTTGGACTTGAAATCGAAGCGGAGATCATTGAGGTAGGAGTCGGGGTAGTGCACATCTGCAGGGAATGTGTACGTCCTGTAGACTGTGTCGTTGGACAAGTTGATAGCTACGAGTTTGGGACCACCAGGCTGGGCGTAAGGCATTGATGGTTCGCCTTTGGCATTGTGTACTGTCGGACGACCGGTGTCTAGCACCCACAGCGTCTCCGGCCGAGTCGATGTCTTCGATGTGATATAGACCGCCTGCACCGAGATCAAGCCCGTCGAGTTGCCAGATCCGAAGGGGATGCCATTCCAGGTCGAGTTGAGCTGGCTGGGAGGGAGATTCAGGCCAGCAGAAGGGTATGGCTTCTCTGCCGTTTTGTTGACGATGACTCCAAGAGTATACTCATCGTCGCCGCGCGTGTAGGTGGCGAAGATCCTTCCATCAGAGGCGACTGCGATTCCTATCGGCCATTGATCGTAGTCTGAGATTCTGTTAACTTTCAAATCCAGGTCATGATATCTGCTGTTAGTGGACGTACAATAATGAACCTCCTCGACCTCAGGCCCATAGGTCCCATTGTCAACTCTCACAATCGTCTGCGAGTGATTCTGATAGGTCACCTGCGCCAGAGCGCTGCCTGCTAGCAACAGTGCTGGTACAAAGAGAGACAACATCTTACCTGGTTGATGAACAAGTCTGTGCGACTCTGTTCTCAATGGCAAGAAGAAAAGGCATACCAATGTACGCGTTCCCAAACCCACCTTCCGTCATCATTGCAACTCAATCTGCTGCACCGCTGCTATCTCCGCGTGCCTTGCATAAGCCGGCAGTGCGGCAACAATGTGCGGTTGAAGTCAAACAGACACGTTCCCGCCATCACGATTTGGAAAGGAGGGAAGAGATGGAATCTTGAGGTCATCGCGGTGACGTCGATGCGTACAACGTTCTTATTGGTTGAGGGAGCGAGTGTGGCACGTGCGTTTTGTTGACTACACTCACTCCGAGAAAGTCTTTTCTTTCCTCTCCACCTGTATCATGACCGTCTGCCCGCTTCTTTACTGGATTTCAACCGGAAACTGATAACGACAGGGACAAGATAGGCAGGATCAATTTCGTGTTGCTGGAACTGAAGGACTCCATCTCACAACAAGCGCGAGAGACCTCAATTGACCGGATCATCTGTCCGGTATTTTGGCGCTAACAATGAGTTACAGATCTTGAAATTTCGCAAAGTCTCGTAATACTCTTCTTTGACAGACCGCAGCCGTGCAAGGGATTCAAAATGCTCTCGGGGCTCAATCTCGTAGAGAACTAAACATGATGTGACCCGAAACATCCTCCAACTCCAAGAAGTCCGTCAGCGCCTGTAGGTCAGAAGATCGAAAGCCATCGTTCCCGAGTTCCAAGCCCAAAGTCGTCCACGACTCGCATCCAAAATCTGCCATGTCATCGTCTGGAATCAGGCTGCTATCGGTTTGGGACTCTCTTGATCGAGTGCGATCGCCTGAATCGACGTTGAACCGCGTCAGCATGTCGCGAAAATAAGCCAGCTCATTCATGCGGACTCGTGCCAGCCGGTTGCCGCCCGCTATCATTGCCTGCAAAATATCGTCCGACTTCATTAAAGAATCGTTGAGGTCAAAATGTGGAGGCATAAGCTTTTGAACGAGGAAGAGGACATAAGCTGAAGAGAAAACTTGCTCGAGGTGAAAGGGCAAGAACGTCTCTGCCAAGTGATCAGTATATGCTGTGTTTGAAAAGGTGCGTCCTTACCTAGTAAATCTTCCTCCTGAAGCTTGCCAAGTGTGGAGATAATTGCCATAGCAGAATGCAGACATGCCTGCAGTAACGCAGCAGCCGGGCCTGCGAGTGCCGGTGGCCGTATCTGTTTCGACTGCGATATTTGTCCATCAAGACACTCGAGAATACACACAACAATGGGTCTGGTCGCAAGGACGACACACTACACATTCGTACGTCAGTGGAATGTTCCTCACCACTGCGGATGGGGTTTCACTGACATAGTGATGATACAGGCTCAAATGGCTCGACAATAGCGAGGACATCGCCACTGAGCTATCCATATCTTGCGACAAATCGGCCAGGGCTTTCAAGACGTCCTGTGCATCCGCAAGATAGGATCCATCCAGTGGCGATTGTACTGCGTACACAGCTACATTCATCGGTCAGCAATATTCATACCTCAGGTGTCTGTGTCCAAGTGCCCGAAACATACTGCGCATTAGCTTCGCCAATACCCTAGACAATGTGACATGGATTCCCAGGGCACTCGCTCTTGCGTCCAGTCTCTTGGTGGGTGGAATTGGCACGGTCATGTCGTGGTCCTGGATGGCCGAAGGAGCGCCCATCAGTGCGGAGATGTGCAGATCGAGCATGTACACACTCCACCACAACTCTGCACAGCGCGAAGCGAGGTGTTCAGATATCCCAGTGCCATGGAAATCTCTATGAATTCCCACAACATAGCAGAGACGTAATGCTCTCCCAATCTGTGCAATTTCTCAGTGCTGTACTATGGTGCGATGGGAAGTTACTCACAAAATCATGGGCTGTGACCCTCATGTCTATCGACTGCAGATACAACGCTGCCAAGCAGTAGACCTCGATGGCAAGAACGTTATCTTGGTCATGCGTATGGAAAGTCGGCAGGGCTGCGAATGCCTGCGCTGCGTGGACCCAGCCTTTCGGGGCGCTCGACGGTTTTGAACTAGGCAAGAATGCCTTTCCGAAAGCCAAGACGAACATCAGCTCGGCGTACGCCAATGGGGAAAGCTCAGACGTTTCACCACCGCGGTAGAAGGCATGCAATGTTTCTGTGAATGCCTGTTCATCCACGAGCCGAAAACGCTGATTCAGGTGGAACTTAACGGTGTTGAAAAGATAGATTGCATGGTCAAGAGACGGAAGGCTAGCACGGTCGAAGCATCCTCGAGGTGGCAAAGGGGGAAGATCGTACGCTGCGCCGTCGAGATTAATGGGAAGGGAATTGGCAGCGTCAGGGGCCAATGCCCTTTCGAAGTGTCTCGTTACTCGACGACTGAACGACCATGTTGATGATGGGCCCAAGTACCCTCAAGACGGGTCAGCAAGCATCATCGCTGACAGTCACACACAGGGCATACATTGTTGTCCCACCCCTCCGCTATCAGCATGAACGGTCGGCGGACTACCTGTCATGGGGTTCCTCATGAACTCATCCCCCGACTCGGACGACGAGGCAATGAAACTTCGAGGCGTCAAAGGCCTAGGGATCTGTACAGGTTTCGCGCGTAGAACTTGCGGAGACTTTCGAAGGATCGGCGGGTCAGGTGCTGGCCCGTCTTCTGAGCCCGAGCACTGTACTCGAAGTTGTCGAAGATACCGGGCCGACACTGAGACACGGCGCTCCGCCTCCGAGAATTGGCAATCGAAGCCGAGCCGCCGGCAGTGCGTACAGGGCGCATGTCCTGAGCATCGTACCTTGCGCACGCGGCAGCGCTCGCAACTATGGGCCGAGTTGCTGTTAGCCATGAGGCTGCAAACCACGGACTGGGTCCGCCGCTTTGACCGAAGCTGCTGGTGACACTCACGCTTTTGTGACCCGCCTATTGGCAGAAGAGCCTAGCGGACTCGACGGATCCATGGGAAGGGGTCCACTTGTTGAACAACACGGCGTGCAGCGACACGACGGCACGCAAGGACACGGCCATTATTATCAAGTACCAGCAAAACTACCCAACTATGTGCCCCTATCAGAGTTTACCCCACAATCCTCGTATCTCCAGATATGCCACGAAGAGGCAATCTTCCCAGGAAAATTCCACGAATCAAAAACTTTGGCAGGAGCTGGTACGGACGGCAATCATTGCCGACTCCTCAATTACAGTATCTGGACAGCACTGCTCAACCGAGCTTCAGCTCAAGCAACGATAAGCTGGCAGGAGCCCGAGGACTACTGTAGCGCCCCTGACACCGCCTCCTCCACCTCTTGATCAGCTCGACGCAGGACAACTGAGTGGGGGCAACTGCCGACTGTGGACAGTATTCGGCGTCCCTTTCGTCGAATAGCTAGGATTCTCTAGGATCGACACCTTTCCCGTCGCAACATCGAGACCGTGTTGGCTGCGGTTAAAGATTGCAAAGGCTGCCTCCGGTTGGAAATCTGGGATATTTGTGTCAGCTCAGATTCCATGGGAAGGAGACAGCATATCTTACAAGGAACCTCATGCCCACTCTCCCACACTCTCGTAAACGAGAATTTCCCATATTGTCTTGTCTCTCCATACTCCTTCCCGTTCACTACCAACTTCGTGTACCCAGCATCCTTGAACGCTGCTTTGGCGGATGTAGAGATGTCTTCTCCGCCTTGCCAATTGCAGATATAATCTAGACGTACAAAGTCAGTGATAGAGAAGTAAGCAGGGAAGACACCTTCTTACCAGCATCGCCATAGACTAGAGAAATTTGAATGTCGTAGCCAAGAAGCTCTTGGAGGTCATCGATGTAGCCAACGGCGAAATCGCCGGAGAGGGAGAATGCGGTGTAGATCAGGTTGGACGAGGTGTAGTTTAGGTCGGTGCCAATGGCTTGTTGGACAGAGGCTTGGTTTAAGTAGTCCTAACCAAGATCAGTATCAGGTCTTTGTCCAAAGGGCGGCAGGCCTCACCCTCCATTGAGCTGGGGGAACGTCTTTGCCATTGCAGGCTCTCTGTCCATCGTCAGTCCTGCTGTTAAACATAGGTTCGAGAACTACATACGATGTCGTACACGCCGCGATTACCACCGAATGTGTAGTAAAGATCTTCAACGTCATTCTGGCAGATATACTGCGCCGCTGCACAGCCACTGCTCTTGACAATGGAGTCTTTGGTCAGATACGCACAATAGTCCTGGGCCTGCTGACAGCCTCCGTCTCTGTACATGTTGAACTTGCCATGGTCGTAGATTGTATCGTTGATCAACTTCAACCCCTAGGTGTTCTTCTGAGTGAATTCTAACAGATGCTTTGTTTGGATCTGCTCGTCGATGATTCCGTTGACGATACCGAAAGACTTGAAGTTCAATTTTCGTCCAGGGGAGGTCGAAGTGAGTTTCTGGTTCTGCTCGTAGAAATAGGATGCGAATGCAGGACCCCAATGTCCGCCAAAAGACTCTGCCCAGAGACTGAAATCAGTCGACGCAACTTGCTTGTCGAATTGAGACAAGGCGCCGTAGAAGCCTTGTAGGAGCTCCCAGCAGGCCACTGCGGCGAGTTTGCTGGTGTCGAGCTTGGTGGGGTCGATGATAGAGTATCTTCCTGTAGCCTCGCCGGCTTCTGCTGGAGAGACGTCGAGGTAGGTCGGGTCCAGATAGCCGACCTTGGTGCTACTATAGGAGAAGCCTGCCGCAGCTTCATTAGTAGCGTAACTGATGTCAAGAGCCATTGTTTCTCACCTGTTCCAACGGGTTGCGAAAGAAATAACAAATTCGACGAGTTCGACCATGATACGGCCCTCTTCTGTGTCTTCAAATGCTCGTCCACATAACAAGGCCCAATTTCCTCAAATGCCCCAATTAGCGAATCTGATCCAGGACCTCCATTCAACCAAAGAGTCAGAGGATCTTAGCTGGGGTCGCTTCGAAGAACCAGAAAAAAACGTGGACATCTTGGCCGATGTCGATGTAGCCACTATAGGAGTTGACTCCTGGCGTAGTTTCGCAAACGCCATGCTTTCCAGGTTCTTTGTAACGGATTGTGGCACCTGATGGAGATTTAATTGTCGTGAAATTTTGGACTGGTGCTGGTGCTTGTCGTGCGTTGATGACTCCTGCATGAGCAAACGGGAAGGCTACCAAGAGAGCAGCTGGGATGAAAGGGGCGAGATGCATGCTTAATCGCACTACTTCGAGCAAAGTACAGTTTATCCCATTATTATATGATTTCTCCAGAACGAGTTCGGGTGTTGGTGCAGGCACGGATGCGTGGTCCAATGATCTGCATGAATGGAAAGTAACAAGAATACTGACGAACGGTCCTTCGGACGGATGCAACGTCCGCACTTGCGACCCAAATCGCGGAAAGAGTAGAGGACTCGGATTGAAACTGCAGCTGGTGGTTGCGTCTGCGCAAACGTTAAAACACCGGAAAATTGTGCGATTGGAGCTTTACTGGCAATTCCTGGCGGTCATGATTTTGCGATGGTACAAACATGGATCAAAACGAGCTGGCCTCTCGCAAGACACCTCGGACGTGTTCAAAAAGTTCCAGCATCAGAGGCATATCTAGATTCTACTATGCGTTCGCTACTCCTCACCAGTGTAGTCTCGCTTGCTGGACGTTTCTGCTTTGCCAATGGCGAGAAGATCACTTTCACGTCACCCAGAAACCCCGTCTTGGGAGATGGGTCCTATTATTCGGCAGATCCAGGCCCAATCGTGGATAACAACACCCTCTACATCATCTCGGGCCAAGACTCTGCTCCACCTAACGACAACGACTTTATCATCAACGACTGGTTCCTATTCAGCAGCTCAGATCCCAAACCTGCAGGCGCCCAGTGGACTCTTCGAACGGAGTTTCTGAAACCTCACGATGTCTTTGGCTGGGCCATGACTCGAGGTGCCTACGCATCGCAAATTATTAAAGGTCCTGACGGGCGTTTCTACGTGTACTGTCCGGTCATGCAAGCAAATACGACGGATGAAGATCCTTTTGGCATCGGTGTCGCTGTTGCAGACAGCATTCAGGGACCATACAAAGATATACATCCGAGCGGACCCATTGTGTCTCAGAGCCACCCAGCACCTGGAAATAACATCGAGAACATCGATCTCACCGTCTATGTGGATGGTGATGGCAAAGTCTACATGTACTGGGGCACCTTTGGCAGCCTAAAGGGGGTTCAACTAAAAAGCGACATGAAGACGTTTGCTTCTGACGTGGTCGACGTTACAACATTGACCGGTTTCTTCGAAGCTGCTTGGTTGACCAAGCGCAAAGACACCTATTACATGCTGTATGCCGACAATAGTGCTGGACCAGACTCTGGCTGTACTCCCACAGTATATCATGCTTGCATCGGATACGGTACCGCCAGCAGCCCCTTGGGACCATGGACGTATCAGGGCGTCATTCTCGGTATAGTCTCCTCCACGACATCTCATTCTGGGGTCGTTCCATATGGTGACAAATGGCTCTTTGTTTACCACACCACCGATGCGGTGAACGGAGGCAACTTCCGTCGCAGTCTGGCTATCGACTACATGGAGTTTGACGATACCAAGACTCCTCCCAGGATCAAGCCCATAACTCAAACCCATCGCCCAGCTTCTTTGCCTCCACCAACTTATGCACGCCAGCAGTTCGCCAAGGCCACCAGCGATCCTGTTTGCGCCATTCAGTACTGGATCGATTCTTTGCACGATCTCAAAACCCCCGTCAACCCTCTCCCACCTGAGTACTGGAGCTCCTACAATAGCGCTGACAGCCAGGTGAAGAGCATCATCACGTATTCTTGGAACACAACAATAGCTCTGAATGGAACTTCCATGGCCTTCTTCGCAGACCATGACGCAGGCGCGGTTGACGGCGTGGCGCCACCCACCCAGTGGTGGGTGGAGTATAAGACCTCGAACGGATCCTGGAGCCGTGTCCAGAACCTAACCAGTTATCTGACAGCAGTCAGCGATACACCTGTTATCACCTATTTCAAGGAGGTGAAGACAGAAGGTCTACGTGCGACGCTATATGCGCCAACAAATGGGACTTCGACTGCAGGCATCGGTATCAAGGAGTGGGCTGCGCTCTCCCCACAGCTCTCTTCTTGGTGACTGATTTGAAGAATACACAAAATTTTGATGAGATCAGGAGAGCATCGCCGGCGAATTAATGCCTTTGAAGCATGATGGAAGGCAAATTCCTTAATAGATCCGTGAATGATCTGCTGACAACGACCTTCTGTCTTCCTACGTCCTTGATCCCCTCTGACGGTTCTTGGCATGCCTTCACAAGAACCCTCTGTCAGACGAGTTCTAGGTTCACGAACAAGGGGTGGAGCATTGCATACCGTCAGCAAAGTCTTTCGCTCTGCTGCATCAGGCTGCGGTATGGATTGGTGATCATAAAAATCAAGTGGACGGACAATGTCCTGCTCACACGACGCGTGAGCATTGCTCATGCAAGACTTACTCCAATACAATGACGATGATTTCCCTTGGAAACGTCATCTTTACCTTGACATCTGCTCTGACAGCACCCGTCAAGCAAAACTCTCGGAAAGAGAGAGTGCAACAAGTGCGGATGCCTGATCCGAGCTGCTCTCATGCGGTGCCAATCTCTTCCCATGCCTGTGTTCAGCGATCCTTCAGCGGTGGTCTGCAAGCTGATAGTAAGAGAGCAATACAACACATGGATTATCACCGGAATGCGACAGAATCAAAGAGGGACAGATCAGATACCGGAGTTTTCTGGTGGAAATTCCGCCGTCGCCATTTTGGCCATGTTCTTCCGTGCTTGGCTGTGCAGGCTGTGGCACAGTTTGTTTCGGCCTTATCGGAACAGTTGTCACCTGCAGATACGAGGATGCTCGCTGCTATTGGCGACAATTTTGTGCAGAGGCGGATACATAATCCGAGCAGCGATCACGCGCCGCTCGCGTGTCGTCCACGTTTATGACCGTTTCCCAGGAACGTCACCGTTATCACATATAGCCCGAATTACACCCAATACCGGTTCAGCTCTCTGACCATTCTTGACGCCGAAGTCATGTTCACCGAAATGGATTCGACGCCTGCAAAGGCCGAGGTTTCCGTACCAAGTCATGACGACAAAGAATACGGCACGGGAAGTGTACAGCCGGTTGTCGTCGACGAAGAAAAGCAACGTCCTTTGGCTCGACGCTTGCAAGGACGGCATATGCAGATGATTGCTCTAGGTGGATATCTTTGGCTTTCACTCTTGATACCACGCTGACCTCCCCCACCGGTGGATCGATCGGCGCAGGTCTCTTCGTGAGCAGTGGAAGTGCCTTGTCCACAGGCGGCCCGGCAGCACTGGTTAGTCTCATGCCTGCTCGAGAACGACACGTTGGCCAGTACTTATTCTTGACAGCTTATCGGATACATCCTCATCGGATCCATGATGTGCTGTACGGTACAGTCACTCGGCGAGCTTGCGATCATGTATCCGGTCAATGGGGCATTTTATGAGTATGCCGTGCGGTTCATCGACCCAGCATGGTAAATGCCCTTTCTGATGCGTTTCAAAAGCCGGTAGACTGATTGCCAACACAGGGGCTTTGCCATGGGCTGGGAATATTCCCTCGGCTGGATGATCACACTGCCCTACGAGCTCACGGCTGCTAGCATTACCATCGCCTTTTGGAACGACAAGATCGATTCCGCAGTATGGGTCGGTGTTTTCCTCGCAGCCCTTCTCTTAATTCAAGTTTTTGGTGTGCGAGGATATGGCGAAGGTAAAAAGAGAAAACACAGAAGCGTATTGTGTCGTCTGCTGATCTCGTGTCTCTTAGTGGAGTTTATCCTGGCCATGGTAAAAGTTATCCCCTGCATCGGCTTCATCATTCTTGGTATCATCATCGATTGCGGCGGCGTGCCAACCGACACGCGCGGCTACATTGGTGGCAGATATTGGCAAGACCCTGGAGCGTTTAGGAATGGGTTTCAGGGGTTCTGTTCTGTGTTCGTGACTGCAGGTTCGTGAAGTGCTATAATGATAACCAATTACAGTCATCACCGTCTCGGTCCTCTCTGTCGCCAACTCTTGTACTTACGGCTCTACTCGCGTGTTACAAGCGCTGGCACAGAGCGGCAGGGCGCCTAAATGCTTCGCTTTCGTCGATCGATCCGGTCGTCCAGTCTGGTGCATTGCACTGCAAATTGCTTTTGGATTCCTTGCATTCTTGAGCGAGGCATCCACTGGCTCGACAGTCCTGGGTTGGTTTCTGGCGGTGACTTCGCTCTCTGGTCAATTTGCCTATGCAAGCGCCTGTCTGGCTCACATTCGGTTCCGTCACGCGTGGAAGCAACAGGGACGGAGCCTGAGCGACATTACCTGGCGCTCTCCCCTGGGAGTTTGGGGCTCTTACTGGGCACTGTTTATTATCTTCATCTCGGTGGTGGCCACTTTAGGAATTGGATGCGCTGTGAGTTTGATCTCTGGCACTGCTTAACTATGTTTCTCACTAACACGGAATTTCTAGCCCATCGGATCATCCATAAGCGCCAACTCTTTCTTCCAGAATTGGCTTGCTCTGATCATCACCATAATGTTGTTCGTATTTTGGAAAGTTTGGACTAAGCAATACTTCAAGTTCGGAGTGGACCTTGACGCCGTCGATCTTGACTATGGTCGACGAATAGAGACAGAGGACGATCGTGTCTCTGTCGAGGCTTTGAAAAATCGGCCTTGGTGGAAGAAGGTACTGAATACTCTCTTCTGAGCGTCCCAGGGATGTGCCAGCTAGTTATAGAGGCTCGATGTAGCTGTTGCTTGTTCTGTTTCAGATCGTGTGAACGAGTTAGTGTCAGAGACCCCTAGGGTGACCAAGGCTATGAAACGATGAGACGTGAACCCTCGCAAATTTGCACAAAGTTTGCCTGCTTCCAGTATGTTGCTCAACATCCGAGAGAGCTCGATTGTTTATATAATATGTTCCTAGCCATGTAGCACCGGAAACTGTGCGATGTGCAACTTCGCACAAGCGTAAGGTACCAGCTTCGTAACAAATGTAGGACCTTGCGCCAAAGCGTTTGCATCTATCTTGCTAGGATCCATAGCCGTGCCATTCTCCACGGGCCAATTAATCTCTTGGGCCGTGACTTCAAGATGTGTCGCCTTCGTTCCTGATGACCACACCGACATTTCTGATGAACCCGGGCACTCCATCTCCCTCTCAGAGACTCTGATGGGCTGAGAGATGTCAATGGCGATTCCCCAGTGTCCTGTTGGTAGCAGATCATGGTCGCGCACTTTGGTCATGTAAGCCTCCTTGCTGTTACTATCCACTTCGCGGCAGTCGGAAACTTGGTCTTTGCAGTCGCGCGGCATTCTGGTCGTTTGACGAAAATCAATGGGATATGCGTACAGCAGAGGACCCCGATAAACGTTTACAGTGCCATCGTCCCGAGTATGGATTTGTACTTCCGCCCTCAGGAACACCTGGATGCGGAAATCTGTTGCAGTCGGCACATCAATGCGAAGTTGACCTGCTGTGGCATCATCGACGGTGGTACTTCTACTGTGAAAGATCACAGTTGGCTTGTCTTTGCACCAACCTGGCACTCTCACTGCCAGTGTGAAGTCTTTCGTACTTGTGATGGTGTAGTTTAGGACAAGTGGATCGAAAGGATACGTCGTCTCACAAGTGATGGTGCGATCTGGTAGCCTCAGTTGCCCTGCGACAAGTACTGCATGGAGGATCATGTCTTTCGAGTCGTCCTTTGCGGATACAAATGTGTTCATCGCTAGCTTCGGGAATGCGGTTGGATGGTTCACGGTGCAACAAGGCTGGATCGAGAAGTCAGCTCAAACATTGTTCTTGTGCACTGGGGATACGACCACACTTACAAACTCCGGCTCAAGCCCGTAGACATGTGCGTATCGACAAACATCATAGAACGGTGTTTTTTCGCCATCCTTGGGTTGCAGCTCGCAAGCCCAAGGTTGATTTATTTGCGTGATGTACTGGTGGCTCCACCAATCCTCGGAGACTCCAGCAGGAAAGGCATTGAAAGCGGCCAATTCGAGCTTATCGGCGAAGTGTACATCTCCAAAAAAAATTGTAGAGGTAAGCCAACGAAAACATGAGCTCGACAGTGCAGCAGACCTCTACTCCTCGTTGAGGTGAAAGGCCACCGACGTACTCGTCGCTTGTGAAGGAACCTGACGCCGTCCCAAGAAATTTGAGTACCATTGACACGGCTTGTGTGGTCTGACGCCAGAGTGATTCGGATGGGTGCATCCGATATAGTTCGGCAGGATATCTAAGACCTGCAAGTGTTAGTCGGATGTGTGACACTGCAGTATGTAATTCATGAGGTACCTTGGGCAACGTTGACTCCATGTTGCATCTTCGTAGCTCGTCCATCACCATGGCGTACCGGTGGCTTCTTCGGGAAGCGATCCTCCTTGAAGAAGTCAGTCCAAGCTCGATCCACCCGCTTCGCTCCTTCCCACAACATTTCCATTATCTCTGAGATCATCCGGCGATCGCGCTCTGAGTTAACTGCGTCGTACAACCATTGCAGATTCAGCGGGAGCTCGTGAGCACGAACGACCCCGAACCACTGCGGATCGAAGACATCGTCATCGCCTGGCAGGTATCCGGCGAGCTTATCCGATAGCATAGAATGGACCAGTCTCACGAATCGAAGTATTGCCGCCATGATTCTCTCATGCTGAGAAGCATCCGCGAGAGCGTGATTAATCAGTCCTTGGAGGAGGAGACATCGAGCCCATATTCCACGAGTCTGCTTCGTAGTTTCAGGCCCGAGCCAACCATCTTGAGCCTGATGTTCCAGTGTATAGTGGAGGAAGTGATTGGCCTGATCCATTATTCGGGTTCGAAGCTTGGCAGATGATGTCTCATCGATGTTGTAGGCCAAGGGCACGATGTAATTGTACCAATAAGGCGCGGCCTCATTGAGTGCTGTGTATTCCCAATCGCCGCCAAGCCACGTGCTTCGATGCACGAAGCGATAGAAAGAGAACAGATGGCCGCCTAGTCCTTTCGCACTCAGCTGGATCTCGCGCTCAATCCATCCAAGCGGCCGCAAGGAGCCCAATGGGTACTGCTCGTGAGTGAAAGGGACCAGCCTGTGCCGGTGCGAAGACATTGGTGATCACAATAAGCGAGAAGCTTAGTGCACTGCACAGAGTTCAGTTCCGATGAAGATGGACTTTCAATACACAAGCGGCGGCATTCAAAGGCGACCACGGAGCTTTCTGCGTTCAGAAGACTGTAGCTCTTTTCTGTGCGGAATGCTTGTCCGAGAACTATGCAGATAGCGTTTGCGACGAGAGCCCCAAGAAATCCCGTATCCGGGCGGATATATGATCCTAGCGTCGGCACCCTCACAGCCTTGCGAACATGATACTCGGACCGCGGCATACTACTCCGTAGATGCAGGAATGAGTATCATTGACAACGAGAACGCTGAACTCCATGTCGAAGCACTAATATATGTATGTCGTCCTGTTTATCTGCTTGTTTAGGCATCTGATCAAGAAATGCCCAGGATGACCGAAAGAAGTCCGTTCTTTTGGCTCTTGCTTGCTTTGAGTGTCTCCTTGGTTTCTAGCAGTGCGCTGATACGTACGGCCAAAACGACTTCCATTACAGAGGTGAACATCACCCTGCCGGTCGACCATTTCACTAAAACAGACACTCGAGTCTTCAACAACCGATACTGGTACAATGACAAGTACTACAAGCGAGGCGGCCCAGTCGTCATCTTCGATCTAGGAGAAGCCGGTGTCACTCCAGACACAGTCGCGGCAGCTATTGGAGGGAGCGACGACATCTATTCACCTGTCCTCGAAATTGCAAAGTCACATTCCGGACTTGCGCTCGTATGGGAACATCGCTACTATGGGGCAAGTCAACCCTGTCCTGTAAACGACAAATACGTCGCCAACGTCGATCCCCGATGCTCATACCAATATCTCACTGTCGACCAGGCTCTTGAAGATGTTGTCTACACTTCAAAGCACCCAAATTTCCCGGGCTATAGCCAGGCTGAACTTGATGCGTTGTCTTCTGGAAAGACGCCCTGGATCTTTGTGGGTGGATCGTACGCTGGTGCGCGTGCTGCGTGGATTCGGGTTCGCAGCCCAGAAGCGATTTACGCCTCGTGGTCAAGCTCGGCAACGGTGGCCCCGTTGGTGGATGGTTCGAGCTACTTCAATACCCAGGCTCGAACCTTGCCATCAAATTGCTCTGCCGATGTCAATGCCGCACTCCAGTATATTGACAGTGTTCTTGGAGGCAACGATAACGCTTCCGTTAGCGACATGCAGATTCGACTTGCCACGACCAACAATGCCATCAATAGTGGCTTCAATGTTAACACCAGCAGCCAAGCGGATGCCAACAGCCTAAGCAAATCTGATCTGGTGAGCGGACTGATCAGGGCCTATCTCGGAGACTTCCAATATGACGGACCAAGTAGCAAGTTCTGTGATCATTTGGAATCGTTCAACATCAAAAGTAGCCCGGAAACTGCGGACATTCATACCGTACTGCAGAACGGTGGCGATGGCGTCGCGAGCGACAAGGGGTTGATAGGAAGCGGGAATAGCGCACGGTCGGTAGCAAATGCCTACATGTGGGCTTGCGTCGCCCAGAAGCAGCCTATTCTTGGATCCAACTCATCGTCCACGGCAGCAGAGAACGTCAAGGATAACATGTTCAAGAATATAGAACCTGCAGATTCATCGGCCGACTTTAACTTTGGCTGGACGGTAGTCACTGAAACAGGCGGTTTCCAGAGCTGGTCTCCAGAGTACGCCGAATTACAAAAGGGCAAAGTCGTGCTCTCTCGCTTCGCCGATCAAGCGACATTAAGAGACGGCTACATCTCTTCTTTCGCTGGTGTCAATACGAGCTTGATCCCAGCTACTCCTCGGGTTGATCATGTGCTCAAGTACGGCGGGTGGAACATGACCCCGAGCAATGTTATGTTCACGGTTGGAGAGTACGATCCCTGGCGGCCATTCACGGTTTTGGGAGTAGACCAGGAGATCGGAGCACCGCTTCGTACAGCCACAAAGGATGTTCCAAAGTGTGACGTGGCGCCTGCCCAGTCAGAGGTGTTCGGTCTAGTATATCCTAACGCTGCTCATGTGAGCGATGGCACGATTTCACAAAGCGCCTTGGAGCCAGATTCTCCGCCTGCTGTTGGTTTCGACTTGTTCCATGCGGCTCTAAAGGAGTGGCTACCGTGTTTCGGTACATAGCTGCCAATAGCAGGCACCCATTTTTATTAACAGTGCTGATGGCAAGATTATTACCATTTGATGCAACAATGTGAATACTAATCCCCAAGCTGCAGTCCCCGGGGCCAGGGTTTGTAGCAAGACTTCGTTGTTTCGGAGGTGTATTGTCACTTGCTCTGGTGTTCTGAAGTGCGATGCTGGCACTGTTGAGTTGTGCGATCTATCTTTACCCGTTCTATCTGTAGTTAACCTAGCTTGGTGGTCGGGAAATTGTGTGTCTAGTTTACAGAGCAAAAGCATGCGTTTCCAAGTGGTTAAGGTACGCATGCCATCGCTGCGCCGGAAAGCTCTACAAGGCTATCCTGATATTAGAAGCAATGCTTGGACACCAGCTTGATTCATCGCAAACAGGTAGCACGAACCCGGAATTGGAGTTCCTGAGTCCACCGGCAACTGAATCTTGAAATCAGCCATGTTCAGAGTGAGTTATGTTGGAGAAATCGAAATTGGTGTGTATTTGTAAAGTAAGTGGCGCTTTAAATGCGGACCAGCAAAGCTATGAGGGTCTAATAATTCATGCTGATCAATAATAGAGTGGATCCAACGGAGGCTGTCTCGCTGTGATCACGAGAGACATCCCCAGAAATTCAGTAGTCCCGATAATTTCTTCAGTCTTCGGTCCTCGTATTTGGTGATTCGGCAGATGTTGTATAGGAAGCCATCGTCAAAGAAGAAGCCGACTGCCTCTGCAGGAACAAGACGTAGACCAGCATAGTAATGAAGAGAGCGGTGCACAAACGAGAGAGCAGGATTGATCATGCTAAACGAAGACGGTCGCTCAATCACCTTCATTCCTTGTCCGTCGACTGTCCCGGCGCGAATGGCTGATGTTGTTACACTGTCCTGGAACACTGTAATCACTTCCAGTCAACGCGAGGCGCTGTCCTTTATTGTCGTGTGCCAGGTCATCTAGAAAGGCATTAGAACAAATGCCACAATACAGTCTACTGTTGGCCAGATCTGCAGAAGCGTTTACACCGTCAAAATATTCGAACCCGTGTTCGCAGGTGGGATTTCTTCAGCTCGGTTTGGCTGATCATACGAAAAGATGGGTCCCTTAGTCGTCAGGCGTGGTGAGACCGATGCCTGCACCGCTAGCAACACAATCCCGTGTCTTGGGTCGGGATAAACGGTTCAGATTGCTAATTAATGATGATTAGAATAATGTTTCCTAGTCTGGGAAAAATTCTGACATCAGTGAGAGAACGCGACATTACATCTGTCGAATGAAGGAAAAGCATAGTCCGTCCGAAAGTGAGATTGTAGAGTGACGGTTTCGCTTCTATTTTCACTCAAATCAAGTATACAGGGAAAGTGTAGTGCTGGACACTGGCCGCTCTTCCTCGAATTATAACATGGTCTCAGGGACTGCGTAAAGATAATTACCAGTGTTGATCGACTTGAGTAGAGGTCGCTGGTACGCATCATGGCGAAGCGCAAGTTTCGTTCGTGGCTCCATGGGATCGTGGTATATCTATTGAATGACGAGCGCAGATCCACGAAATACAATATTTCCAAACTCGAAGGCGCTTATCATTCAACTATTTGATGTGCGGAATACATGCGTCCAATCCTCACTGTTATGCTGTGATCAAATCATAGGCCACTTCCCTTTTCACCTGTATCTCCTGCTAGCCCCGATCTTGCTCCGTCTCGTTCAAGTGAATGTAAATTCGTGAATCTTGGCGGAGTTCAACTTCCAGGTCTTTCCACCATCGGGGGTGTAAAAGTCCGTGACATCCGCATTGTTGTACCCAAACGTGTCTCCGTAATTTGGATCAGCAATATCCATTGTCAGAACAGTATCAATCCACTCTGCGAGAAATTAGTACACACGGACTTAGCTGTCATTGCTTTCCATACCATGAGCTGGAACAGTACCACAGTCAGTAGCGGCGCATTCAACGGCGGAGCCAAATCCTCCAGCATGCCCAGAATCTACGCGGCGACGTCAGTCTGCAGTAATCGCGCACAGTATTGTTGTTATGCTCATACCAGTGCTCAACTGGGACACTTGGTCGCCGTTTAGATACGCGTACTGATCGTACTGCGCAGTGTCATCGTTGTAAACGTCTTGGAGGGTCTCAGTCGGTTCCGTCGGTAGAATAGCGTGTCATTCGCAAAGTCTCACATTTCATTAGGAAATGGTCGCCGGCCTTGAAGCGGCTTTCCGATCCCGCGGGTTGGTCGCCAGACGCCTTAAGGGTGTACGTATAGCCGCACCACTCATCTTCTGCCTTGATATCTTGGCAGATCGAACCGCTTGCGAGTCGTGTCAGCCTGGTTTAACTCGTAAGAATCATCCCAAACACTCAAACCCTTACCCGTTTCCTGGAATTCTTTCGCAAATGGCCTGGACTAGATCACCATTGGAAGTGCCCATGCCAACCCAGAGAGACGTATCCCCCGCGAAGGGAAGGTTTCCCGAGGGAACGACCAGAGTGCTCGTGGCTTCGCGAATAAAGCTTACATTCGCAACGGGCCCGGAAGAGAAGGCAGGGCCGAAAGCGGCAAGTGCCACATCGCCAGCGGCAACGAGCGTGAAAAAAGTGGGACGCGCCAAGACATAAATAAAGCTAGCCTCGATGTAATGAGGCTTTAGATGGGTTGGTCGACTTCGCCAGGAGGAGGGTTGTTATTTATGCATCGCAGCTGAGTCGATGCTCCCTTGGAGGTGCAATGTATTCAACAGTCAAACGTTAGGCATTGGTGGACAAATTGAGCATGAGATTACTTTGCCGTGATCGCATTTCTTTTGCGAAAAGGCAATCTAGCTGAAACTCTACGTTTTCCTGCAATTGCGGATACATTGTCCGAGATTCCACTGATATTCGACCGATAGACCATCCTTCGGGGTCTGCACTGGACAATTGTTGCACCGCCCGAGATACAAGGGGTACTGTGGATAAATACCTGATCTTGCTGATTTCATGCCCCGCACATGAAGTAACACTAGGCTTTGCACAATTTGGGTCTTGTGATCAGCTAAAACATGTATTGCTAATTCGCTACGAAACCAGGAGAGACCAAGATTATCAAGTCGGGAAGATGCCATTTCCACCAATACACGACTTTACGTACGCGAAGGTCACCATCACCATCTACTACGAATCCGATGCTCTCTTGTGCTTCATCGCCGGGCCAGATCATGCTCATCATCCGAAGCACGTTCGCATAACGTCCTGGAATTTGATCCGTGTGTCCGCACGTAGTTTTCTCAAAGCCAGCTCTGACCGAACCATTGCTGTCATGATGATGCTAATACATGGCAATCTGTCATCCTGTGCTTTGAGACGTGGCGATTGTTTGGCTTAACCCCAGCAGCGCGGGTTGTCGCAAGGCTACGCAGTATAGCTACCCTTGACTTGCTACTAGTTAGCTTATATGGATCTGGTATGTACATAGGAAGACATATTGACTGGTGAGAGAAATCGATGACATGCGAGACAAGCAAAGTGAAATCCAGGCGACGAAGAGGTCTCTGAAGACTGCGACTGCCATTTGCGAATGTTGAATAAGACACCTGATGCTGATGAGCGGCCATTTTGAATTCGAAAATTTCCTGATAGCCTCTTGGTCTTTGAAGGCACCCGTACAAGACTCTGAACGTGGCTTTAGACAGAATATTCTGCTCCTTTGATGTCAGCCTGCACTGCATTCTCAGTCTCGTCAGTCGGGTATCCAGAAGTCATCACTCCTTCGTAGAACGTCCCCTCAGCGCCCAGGCTGTTATCACCACCAATCCCAAGAATGATAGCACCTTCTTTGCTCATCGGGTTGTAGCCATCCGCCGACCTGGGACCACTATAGTACGTCGAAAGAGACCCGGATGTTGGGTCACCGCCACGCAACGCCCAGTGGTTTGCTTCGCCCTTGACAATGGCGGTCACAAACCGAGAGTCAATTGAAGGGTCAGTCTGATACTGTGCAATTTCTTGCCCCGAGAAGACACCATTTTCAAGGTCTGCCATGATCCATGGTCCACTACCTGCACCAGAGCCCCAGCCTGTGCTGGTGCCGAAGTAGATGGCTTCCATATGGCCATTACCGGTATCGTCATTGCTAGTCTCGGCGTTGCCGTAATCGAAACAACAACCATCGTTGTAGTGTGTGCCATCGAGGACTGCGTACATGCCCTCGGGTTGATCTCCAGTGGCCACACCATTCGTTTGGTCGTTGCGATAGCCCATGCCCGGCGCGATGTATACGCCATACACTTTTTGACCTTGGATCTTTATAGGTGCAGCTGTCGCATTGGCTTGGAGGTCATAGCCGTCTCCGCCGTCCCCATAACCATTGCCACCTGGAGGTGCATGACTGAGGTGATTGCTATGGCCAGACTGGTCGTAAATGATCGTGATGACGCATTCATCTCCATCGCAGAAGGAGTCTTGGTCAGTGGAGTTGGCGATGCCCCCATTTGCGACAGGATCGATATCATGTGTCTTTCCGTTACCGTGCCGCTGAACTTGGTAGAGAGGGCCAGCGTAATTGGAGTAGAGTGCTCGAGTAGTGCTGTGGGCAGCCACACAAGGAGTTTGGCCAGAAGAGTACAGGTCGCAAGGCCCAGCCCGAACGATAGGGGCAGCTATGGCGATGACGCTAATAAGCAGCTGGAGAGACATGTTGCAGTTTGAGGTTGAATTTTCTTGAGCGGTTGGCCGATATTGGTACTGAGAATGAATGACAACAGACCTTCGTGATTGGATCAGGCCATCTTATACGCGCAGGCCGTGGTCAAGATACCAGTCCATGCTGCCGCAGCCTTTCAGTGCCGGGGTTCTCTACACCGCTACATTCCAAGAATGTGCAATCTGAGGAATGTGGACTGCTAGGGTTTTCTAGATTGACGATCCGGAGGTCGAAGAATTTTTTCTATCGGCATTCTTCCTAGAAAGAGCAGTTCCAGATACGGGTGAATACGGGTAAACGGAATATTTCTAGTCTGTAAGTACGGTCGTCGTCCCCTAGTGCAAGCTAGCAACTGCACCACGAGGAATCTAGTATACAACAGTTCACAAATGAGGGCGCCGGTGCCGACACATTCGTGAAGACTGGGTAAAGTCAGCACAAGTCACAGGCCTTCTCGGCCATCCAGCCTGGATCCCTCACGATGCAGTGGTTATGAAAATGATGACGAAAGGACGTCTGTCCAGTCTCGTGCTGGATAAAATGTGGTTGACGAGCCAGATCCGACGCCCCATGGGGAAGTGGGTTGCCCGCAACGCCTCCCACGGCGCCTCCCTCAGTCGCCTCCCAAAACGCATCCCACAACGCCCCCCCGATATGGGGTCCCCAGCTCGATTGCTGTGTGGAGCGACCCACTTCCAGGTGCGGTCGTCACAAATGTCCGACTGGTGGAAAGACTCATGTCAAGACTGGTGCAAAAGCCGGTGCAAAGATTGGGCATGCGCGTACGTGATGCCCTCGAGCTAAAGGCAGTGCAGTGTCTCGCTTAGTATGTAGCTACGTTCTACCTCGTCAAAGGTTCGCGATGCCAGAAACGCTGCATCAGACGGTCCTTGGTCTAATCTCACCACCTTAACTGCTATCATCTGTCCTAGTCATCAGAATTGACTGAAGACGTGCAAGCCAGCCTAGGACAGCAAGAGTCATTGACTTCTTATTACGCTGTATTTCGATGATTCTCTCAGCCCAAACGCCAGACGCTGTCGAGGGTCGACAAGCTCCTAGTGGCAGTGGAATTGCGAGACTGCGAAGCAATCCTCTGGTTATATTGATTTGTTATGGAAAATGAGCGTGTTTTTCTGGCGTTTCGAAGCTCGACACAAACCCCAAAGCGCTCCATTGGTCGCATGCAGGGAAATCGAACTCCATTCCGTTGGACCTTACCGCCGTTGGCTTGAACAACGCTTTGAGATCCCGGTCTTCCAGCCTCACGATAACTCCACGCATGCTGTGTCGATTGCAAATTCAGCACTGTTATCAGCATACTGGGTCGGAAATGGAGTCTGGATATGGCGAACTTTGTCAGTATATTGGTTGCTGTTCAACCTGATAAGCTCGGAATGGCCATCCGCCTCTCGAGTGTTCGGAAGGATTCTTCCACGAATACACTTCATGCTGAAATTTCAATACCCTCGGTGCTCAGATAAGGGAGTTGATCATTGCAATTCCACGCCACGTGCGTTGGCTAATTATGGATGCGATGCTCGTATTTGGGAAATTTGGTCATCACAGATAAGAGCGCTGTAGCACCAGAGAGTCGCCGTCCATATATTCAAGAGGATTGTCATGTGGTCTTCAGCCTTTGGAGTTCGTCAAGTGTTGCAATACGACACCTCCTCCTTGCTGGGGGCTCTCTACGGCTGACCGTTGCACAGCGCTAGCATATAACGATGACGCTCCATTCATTGATGGCCGCTGCCCTTGCAGTCTGTAGTGTTTTGCGATGCGTGCTAGCTGTGCCTCGCGTCCAGGCTACATCTCCTGCAGACGTGCAGCGGATCACGAGGAAGCCGTTCGATGGAACCATTACCGCAAGATCCACAGCACAGAAGACAGCCACTATGTTTCCCACGGATTTGTATCCCTTTACGTTGTAAATTTTTACTAACGACCCTGTTAGAGTACGTAGTAGATTCTGCTCACTTCCCAAATATCGATTTCGATTTTGGCGAAAGCTATGCTGGACTCATGCCTTTGCAGCAGAAAACGAAGACAAACAATACTCAGGAAGTCCTGTAGAGGAAGAGACTTGTCTCAAGAACCTTCCAGCCCTGAGACCCCAGCACGCCTTATCTCGGTGCACGCCGTTGCTCCAGATCGTCTGGAAGTTACGTGGAGCACTTGCATTTGCTTCGATATGAATACAGCATTTTCCTTCTCTCCCAATTCTAACTGCTGTTCTTCAGGGACATGTTTTTTTGGTATTTCCCAACTCCGAACCCCGCTGGCAAGGACGATGTTGTCATTTGGTTCAACGGTGGACCGGGATGCTCTTCCATGGAAGGCAGCGATTTTTAGCCCCGTACATCGAACCGCGTTGCTGATAGTACTTCGCCATAGGGTTTCTTCAAGAGAACGGTCCAATATCATGGCGGCCTGGAGTGTTTGACCCTGTTCCAAATCCCTGGTCGTGGCACAAACTGGCGAATGTCATCTGGTAAGCAACCACCCGTATTCATTGAGATTCTGGTACTTACCATCATTGCAGGGTCAAGTATCCGGTTGGCACAGGTTTTAGCAGCGGCCCAGTGACCGCCAAAGACAACAACGATGCAGCTCAACAATTCCTCCAATTCTGGGAAAACTTCTTGGATACATTTGACCTTCACTACAAGAACATCTACATTACGGGAGAGAGTTACACCGGCGTGCATGTCCCCTATTTTGGTGCGGCCATGTTGGAGAAGAACAACACCAAGCTGTTCAACGTGAAAGGCGCACTCTATTACGATCCTGTTCTACCGTACTCGGACACTCTCGGGTTGGATCACGCCGCCTTACCAGCTTTCCAGAGATATTGGACCAACGTACTCGCATTTCCTCAGGGTGCGATCGACAAAATCGACGAAGACAACCACAGATGCAGGCTCGATGCTTACCTGAACAAATACTTGAGCTATCCTCCGCCAGGCAGACCCTGGCCCAAAGTCAAAATCAGCGGCTGCGATGCCGTGGCTGACTTTGATAGCATTGCCTCGGTAATCAACCCTTGCTTCAACCCATACCATGTACTCGACTATTGCCCAGTTCTTTGGGACGTTTTGGGGTTTCCGGGTGCTGTTTCGTATACGCCGAACGGTGCGACAGTTTTTTTCAATCAACCCGCAGTCCGTCAATCAATCCACGTACCGATTGACTATCCTTCGTGGAGCGAGTGCCAAGGACCGGTTTTCATCGACAACAGCGATCACTACAATGGACCAGAACATGAGGCTCGACTGCGCACCCTCATTGAGCGTACGAATAACGTGATGGTGGGATCGGGACTTGCAGACTATGTCATCCAGCCGAACGTGACTGCTCTCGGTATTCAGTACTTACGATGGAATGGCAAACAAGGATTCCAGACTGCTCCTACGCAGAAACTGGTCTTGCCTGCGGGTTATAGTCCAGATACCGACATCCCGGGTTGGGCTGGTGGGAATGAGCAAGGCACGTTCCACACTGAAAGAGGCTTCACCCACTCTACCGTGTACCTCTCTGGCCATATGATTCCGCAGTATACTCCTTCTGTGGCCTTTCGACACCTAGAATTCGTACTAGGCAGGATTGCGTCGCTTGGCGACGCAGCTCCGTACTCCGTCAATATCTCGAGCACAGTGAGCTGACCGTTTTGAACGCGTTGCATAAGAATGCTCTATCATTTGACAAACCATCAGAGAGCACGCATTGTGCGTGATACAAGAGGTCGGATGTCGTGTTGGCTTAAGTCGGGAGAATCTGCAGAGCCTGGTGCCAAGAAGAAAGTAGCCAATAAGAAAGTAGGGTGTACACACAGCCTTGCTTTTGCTCAATTCTCTGATGTGATCGTTACGTGACTTCATTGCATGAGAAAAGTCGAAACGAGGCGACTTCTGGTTCCGTTTCTTGGTTCAGAAGTTGACATTCTGCAGATAGACATGTAGGAACGGAAGCAAGTCAAGTAGAGACAGCTACCCGACAGAAGCATACAATTCCGAAGACAGCGGATCCTACCACTCTTGCGTGTCTTTTCTTGCTGTGTGGCCTATATGCGGAGCTAGGTGGATACATGAAACTGGAGTTTGTAGCGCACTGAACAAGAGTGGGGATAATAAGCCCCGGTTCGCATCGACTGGAAGATATTCCCGAGAAAAGATTAGTCCAAGTATTATGGAGGCGCAGTTGTCAAATTTACGTTGTGGATAAAGTGACCATCTTGTGAATGCCGACGAAAAGTCAGATAATGTGAGGTGTCACTGGCTTAGATAGCGCTATCGAGGCCGGGGACCTGGAGAGGCTGAAGTTGCAGGGGTGCATGTGATCTTTCATTCCTGTTGTGGGAGCCCGGTTTGCAGCTCATCCCATCGAGCCCGACGTCAAGCCACTGCGCGCCCACTTGCCGTATTGCGGTGTCTTGGAGAGTTTACAGTAGCCTCATTTCCGCCTCTGTGTCCGTCCTGTGCTCCGTCCGATCGTCATTTACCCGTATGACGCCGCTGGATCATCGGGTTCTCCAGCCCTGCTTGTTGCGCGCAAGTATTCACAATTGGTGGGAAAAGATCATGATCGCTGGGGATCGTCAAAGGGAGCTGAGTTCGTCGGATCACCCTCCCGAGCGCTTTCTTCGACACTCGGCGACTAATATCCGACGGACCAGGCGAAGGCGGATCTTGATTAAAGGCATGAAGGCGACATGTTTGTACATTGACGTTTTGTAGACACGATGATGCTCTTGGCATATCTTGTAGTGCTTCAAGCCGCTGCAGTCGCAGTCTCGCAAAAGACCTTCTCTACAGTCAATTGGAACGGGCAGCTTGACGCAGAATCGGGTGTTCTCCAATCTTTGAAACCAAAATCGGACTCATCCTACGATTTCAGTCCTCTCGACTACTATCATTTCCGCCGCGGCAACGGCAATTACCATACTGGTGATGTAGCCTTGCGCTGGAGAGTCGCCGGCCAATCTGGCTGGAACGATTTCAACACTGCCGCAAATCGTTCTAACGGACGTCTGAACACAACTCCGCAAGGGGCTTTCTACACTCGGAGTTCAAGTCCGCTACAGGGAAATCAGGAGCATATTTCAAGATCGTACGAGATTGGGGACAGATTCAAGGAGACCTGGCTCTGAACGTCACCGTCGTCAATCCTTCGGCCTCGCAGTCTATCGAGCTGGGTAGCTTTGGGTTTCCTATCGAGTTCAACAACATCTTTCTCAACCGAACCGCGGATGAGGTCACAGCCAAATGTAGTCTCGTCGACCCATATGTTGGGCTACATGCTGGTTATGCGCAAGTTACAAGATTAACAGGAACGGGACCAAATCTCATAATTACACCCTTGGGCTTGGATACGAAGTTCGAAGCGTGGCGGTTCTTGGACGAATTCGAAGGGGCCCCTCTCTACTATCGTGAAACAACGTTTGAAGGATTGTATTCCCTCGAAGTCCTCTCGAAGGCCTACGCAGAGAACGAGTGGAACAGTACCCAACCGTGGAATATTCCAACATCCATGACACTTGCTGCAAACAAGTCTGTCACCTTTGGCCTCCGATTCTCATCGACCCAAAACCTGTATGACATCGAAGCAACTGTATCATCTGTCGGACGGTCGGTGGCTGTAGGCATTCCTGGCTACGTTCTACCCCAAGACATTAACGGGCAATTGTTCCTCAAGCACAACGCCGCCTTGAAATCTATCTCTGTTGAGCCTCAGGGTGTTCTTCAAATTGAGTCCTCAGGGACCAGGAACCAATGGAATGCATATGCAGTATCCGCCGGATCATCTGCTTTTGGCCGTGCACGTGTGACGGTGGTTTACACAGATGGTCTTACCCAAACCATTCACTACACCGTCACCGACACCTCAATTAATACTGCCAACAAGATGGCCAGCTTCTTTACAGAAAAGTCGTGGTACACAGATACATCCGACCCTTTCAAGCGCGCCTACTCAATTATTTCCTACGACTACGAAGCCGGAGCTCAAGTCCTACAAGACGATAGAGTTTGGATCGCAGGTATTGCAGATGAAGCTGGCTCCGTCTATGAAGCTATCGCTTTCAAGACTTCGGTTCACCCGAATCCAGCACAGGTGGAGAAACTTGAGCAAATGGCCCTTACCTCGATATGGGGTCAACTACAGGAGAAAGATGGTGAGACTAAGTACGGCGTGAAGAGAAGCTTGTTCTTCTACGAGCCAAATGCCGTTCCAGGGTTCAAGTACACCATTGACTCGGGTTGGGATAAAGCCGCCGCATTCTCGGTGTGGAGAGCTTACGATTATGTCCACGTTTCAGCACTGTACTATTCTTTGTACCGAGCCAACATTGCCTCGCCCGGTATCCTAACGAAAAAGCCCGCTTTATGGTACTTGGAGCAAGCGTACCATACCGCGATGGCTTCGCAGGCGAAGTACAAGAATGGAACTGATGTTACGGCGTACGCAGACACTGGACTGATGGGTGAGACTATGTGGACGCATATACTCACGGACTTGAAGATAGAAGGCAAGACGGCCGAATATAACAATATGTCCGCCACGATGAAAGCTAGACAGCATGTCTGGTCTACCCAATCAAGCCCTTTCGGAAGTGAGATGGCTTGGGACTCGACTGGCCAGGAGCCTATCTACTCGTGGTCGAGGTATGTTATAAAGCAGTCATTTGCTCAATGACATCCTAGACGGGTACTAATATTTTGCCCTTTTTCAGATACTTCAACGACACGGCAACTATTGACAAGACCTTGAACTCCATTCGTGGGTATATGCCTACCGTACCTCATTGGGGCTGGAATGGCAACGCCCGCCGCTACCTGGGACTTTGTCTACGGAGGCAAGATTCGCCAAATTGAGCGTATGATACATCACTACGGCTCTGGCGCAAACTCCGTCCCGCTCCTCGACTCATACAAATACAACAAAGAGCCTTCCAGTGCCGCAGCTCTCTACGATTTGCGAGTTGGGTATGGCGGCCACATGGGTACGCTAAGCAATGTGAACCAAGACGGCTTCGCTGCGACAGCTTTCCATTCTATGCCAGATCTGCTGAAATGGGATGGGTATTCGGGAGACTACGGTCCAAACTACATGGGTCATATTCATGGAGCATGTTCGTTCTTGGTACAGCACCCGGAGTTTGGATGGCTAGCATTTGGGGGCAACATCCAGACCTCCGGTTCCTCGGTGACGATGTTTCCAAAGGACTCTGTGCAGCGATGCACCTACATCGCCGCACTGGGACTGGAGGTCAGAATCGACAGCGGCAGGATCAGTAATGTCAACTTCGACTCAGCCTCGAACACGGCTTCTCTTGACATCGAGACTGCTGATTCGAGCGCTTCCACGGCGACAAACATGACATACCAGGATACACTTGGAAAGAACGTGGTGTTGAACACGGGAGGACTAGACACCAACGTGAGAGGTCATCAGATCCCCTTCGGACAAAAGATACAATTCTCTCTTGGTCCAGCGCATTACTAGTTTTGTAAGGCTTGAATATACTAGCCAGCAGTCGTTCCTTCAAGAATGAATTCCACGACACCCCCATTATCACTTCCGCTGAACCTCGATCGCCGAGACGTGGTACATGCGTTTTGTACACTTCACTCACTCCAAACACCTTTCCGCAACTTGGCTTATCTGCATCACAACAATCTGTCACTTCTCTAGAGGCCGATTTTCAAGACGACGTCAGCGAGGCGCTAAGATTAAGGAGCAAGTCACCGACGCTGCGTCTATCCAAGCTGAGAGAAGCCCACAAGGGGATCTTAGATATTCTTCTTCTCCGATCACAGGCGATGGCCGTCAATTCTGAATTCGAACGTATGCTGTCGAAGTCGCTTCCATTTTTCGAGCTGGACAACTTGCCCCAGCATCATCCGCTGTCAACAGGATTGATCTCGAAGGTTCAGACATGCATACAGGGACTCGCATGGCTGATAGCACGCTATTGTCCTTCGACACATGGGCCTCAAGGGCATGTCACGGCTGAACAGCTTTAATTTTCTGCCGTCGTCTAAGATCCTGCAAACAAAGGTAGGTTCAAAAATCTTTGATTGGTCTATCTGACAATACAGAAAAATTCGGCTTGCACCCACGATCATCCAGCCTTTGGGTACTGTAATTCCTCACAGCCTTCCTTCAACAATTCCTCGGAGAACCCATAATCAACATACCCCTTCGAACTCTTCAGCGTATAAAACGTCGCTCGATCATATGGATTCAACTCGATGCCTTTGTAGACACGATAGACGAGATCCGGCGTCGAGATAAAATACCTTCCAAACGCGATCAAAATGTCAAAGCCTTCGAGCTCAGCAACAGTGCGTCTCGCCGATTCGGGCAGATAACCCCCAGCGAGCACGATGGCCGAAGTATTGTCCCACAGCTCTATGAACGGAACAAGAGACTCCGTGGAGTGGTGATCTTCGCTGCCGCGGACTCGGGCCTCGATTAGGTGGAGGTAAACTGGCTTGATTGTCTTCAGTTCTGAGAGGAGGTGGGAGAACTGCGGGATTGGATCTTCCATCTTCATTCCTTGGAACACGTTGAATGGGCTTAGACGGATTGCCGTTCGTTCGGGGCCCACGGCATTCGCGACGGCTTTCACGATCTCGACGGCGAATCTTGAACGGTTCTCGATGCTTCCGCCCCATTTGTCTGTGCGGTGGTTGCTCACGTCTTGGGTGAATTGGTCGATTAGGTAGCTATGTCCACTTGGTTAGCTAGTCGATGAGTCTGTAGCAACCAACAACGTACCCATTGGCGCCATGGATTTCTATTCCGTCGAATCCAGCGCCTTCGACAGCACGCTTCGCAGCATCTGCAAACTCCTGGATGAAAGCTTCGATCTCCTCATCCGTCAACGCCTGTGGCTTAGGCGAGTCCCCATCCATAGGAAGATCCGAAGGCGAAGTCATCGGCCCCGTGCCTTCGATTTGCCTAACGTGCGGATCCGCCGTACGACCAAGCCCAGCGATCTGCAGAAATATGACACTGCCAGCGTCGTGCACACGCTGAACGATCTGTCTCCAAGCCTCGACTTGCTCAGCGTTGAAGATGCCGGGGATGTTGAGATAGCCGCCGGCCTTGGGTGATACGAAGGAGCCTTCGGAGATGATGAGCGTTCCAGGGACACAGGCTCTCTGTGCGTAGTATTCTTCAGCGAGGGATACTGTTGGTGTATGGTCGTCCTGTGCGCGAAACCGGGTGCGCGGTGCCATTGCAATACGATGGCGAAGCATATTGTTTCCGAGTTGGACGGGCTGGAACAGTTTACTGTTTGCCGACTCCATTGTTATGATGGCGTTTGACCAATGTAGAATGAACGGGTGGAAGCTCAGGCTATCAATATCGAAGACAAGGCAAGGCTGTGGATCGACGTCAATCCCGGAGGACGACAGAAACGGCGAGACATGGCATTTATACCTCGATCTTGATTTATCAGCCATGCTTGAGCTGACCTCATTTAACGGAGTTTGTGAAAGGGGCTAATCTTGTGGACAGAGCAATCGAACGTAGAGTGCATTGGTAATGCCACTTCCCGGTAGGGCGTGGTGGAGAAGAAGTAAAGTACGCATTCGAGCGAGAAAGCTACCAGAAGCAGACCACGGACCATCTTAATTGACAGGTGACTATACGTCACGGCGTCTAATAAGAGATAGCAATACAATCAAGGAAGCTCGCTAACTTGCAACACCGGCTTTCCCACATTCTTCCCTTCCAACATCCCCAAGAGCCCTTCAGCAGCATTCTCAATCCCATACGTGACATGCTCCACGGCCTTCAAAGAGCCCTCATGAAGCCACATCTGCACGTCTCGCTGGTGTTTCTCGTGATATACGTCGGCGAATCCAGGGTTGAAGAACTTGGATCGTTGGTTAGCACTGTCTATACAATCATGTAGACCATGTGTGAGGTATATTCACGTACAATGAATCCCTGGAAGGTCACGCTCCTTTGCACAATCTGCCAGAGGTTCTTGACCCCGTACTGCTTTTCCGGCGGCAGATTGTATTGCGAGATTGCGCCACAGCCCACGATGCGGCCGAAGTCGTTGATGTGTTCGATTGCCGCCTCCAATTGTTCTCCACCAACCTGTACTGCATATAAGTCTCAGCCAAAAAAACTAGGATATCGGCTTACTTGCATTTTCATAGTAGATATCAAGCCCCTCCGGCATCAATCGCCCTACAGCCTCGTGTGCATTTTCCCTCTTATAATTAAACCCCCCATCGAACCCCAGTTTCGTGGTCAACATATCGACCTTCTCGTCACTACCGACCGAGCCAAAGACCTTCAAGCCCTCACGCTTCGCCAGCTGGCGCACGAGCTGACCAACAGCCCCCGAAGCAGCGGAAATGAAAATCGTCTCGCCGGCCTTGGGTTTCCCCACCGCGTACAGTGAGGAGTATGCCTTCAGTCCTGGCATCCCGAGCGCGCCGAGGAAATAGCTAGCAGGCAGATTGAATCGATTGTCCAGAATCTCGCAGGCCTCCGCCTCTTCTTTGCTCATCGCTGTGTACTCCTCCGTGGATGTGCGGAACGAGTAGATAACATTGCCCGGTTCAAACTTCCGGTTATCGCTCTTCAGAACGCGAAGTATGGCAGAGTTGGTGACTGGCTTTCCAAGATCGAAGGCGGGCGTATGACTTGGATTCGGAGACCTCATGCGTCCACGCTGGTGAGGATCGAACGAGACATAGTGCACCTTGACAGTGATGCCTCCCGGAGGCGGTGGTCTTTCTGTGTCGAATTCGCGTGTCTCGATGGTCAAGTTAACGCCAGCGACGGGCTTGCCTGATGGATGTGCGGCGTATTTTAAAGCTTTGTTCTGTACCATGATTTTTAGGGAGAAGGTCTATTGAGGAGATCAGAGACTTTGCAGGGAAATCACAAGATGTACTGCGGATAGTTAACGGTAGTCTCTATATAATGACCATATATATCCACGCTAGGGCTCAAAACGCCGACCCCTAAGCACAACTCCATCGTAAAGCGAACTGCCCAGCAACATCTACAAAAATTCCAAGGGGAAGCATGCGCTTTATCGAAGAATTCTGCTCAGAGACAATAGCATCATGGCCCACATTCGAACTTATGTATGATTAGTCTTCGCAAACGTAAGACGGCACGATATACCCACATGCCAGGAGCCATACTAGCCTGAGCTGCGCGGATGATCGGCAACAAGATAGACATTTTGGGTAGGTGGTCTTCTACTACCCACCCCAATGAAAGTCCAAGCACCTAGTTCGCCGCTCCAACGAACACCTCACAACCGCAGCCTAATGCTCACGCCCTAACATAGCTAAATCAGGAATGTGGTCCTCGCAACATGATTTCTCAGCAAATTGGCAAGGCTGTTCCGCGGAATTTCCAGAAAAGGAAACGTTGCACATCAGGCTGTCTCTTCTCTCAATCTCAGAGAACTGCTCTTAAAGCGCTACAGCTTCGACCTAATTTGCGCAACACTCGAATGACGCTTCCATTCAGCACAGCCCGTCAAAAAGAGAAGAAAAAGCAAAGACACAATGTCCAAACCCATCGCCCTAATCTTCGGATCCGGGCCCAACGTCGGCTACGCCACAGTCCGCACTTTCCTAAGCAACGGATACCGCGTGGTGCAGACCTCGCGTTCCGTCAAAAAACTCCAAGATGGCGCATTCACCGACGACGACGATCACAAAGCGCTCGAATGCGATGTAAACGACACCGCATCGATAAGCAGGACCTTCGAGACTGTCCGCGCCGCGTGGGGACAGCCCAGCGTTATCGTGTACAATGGTTCGTAACCACCATCATCACAATAAATGCGGGAGAAGACTAACTAGGGGATAGCTGCCCGCCTGGTAAAAGCCGACCCAACCGACCCCTTCAGCTCTCTGAGCACATCCGACTTCGAAGCGACGCTCCGCGCGAACGTCGTGGGACTATTCCAGGCGATCAAGGAGGCTGTCGTCGGGTTCAAAGCGCTTCCGGAGGCGGAGAGGAAGGCTTTCTTCTTCACGGGGAATAATCTCAATGAGCTGAAGCCTTTGCCGGGGTTCTCGACGCTGGGGGCGGGGAAATCGGCGGCGGCGTATTTGGTTGCTGATGCTGATAATGCCTACCAGAATAAGGGTTATAGGTTAGTGCTTTGCTGGATGTCGTTTTGGCTGTAAGAGTGTTGGCTAATAACCGCTCGGTTAGATTCTACTATGTCGACGAAAGGTTCGCGGACGGGCGAGCCGTGGTCAATGAAATCGACGGGCAAGCGCATGCGGACTACTTCTACGGACTCGTCAAAGGGACTTTGACCTCGCCATGGTGGTCGACGTTCGTGAAAGGAGAGGGATACGTGAAATTCCCATGGAACAGGTAGCGCCATGTCGCTCCAAACTACGCTATAGCACCTGTTTTTCTGACTCCGACAGTGCCGTATCCAACACTTTGAGAGCGGACAAGAAGAAATTTGTGATCCCTCCTCTTCCTGACTTTAGCTTGCACATCACTCACTACTTCCGACCGCAAGACGTAGACCGCTTCTTCGAGTTGTTCGCCCATACGTTTGCTCACGTTACGGCGCAACCAGAGTGTACGTTCTTCGAGATGTATGAGGACGCACCGCTCCCGGGGAAGGTATCGTGGGTGGAAAACTGGAGCGCTTCTACGACGTGGTTCGAAAGGGTGAGCTGGCATCACGGCCAGAGATTCGCTTGGACGGTGCCCGTCGCTAACGGCTGTTTAGGACTTCATGACACGAGATTTCATGAAGGAGTATTTTGCATACACCGATGCTCTTGCAGTGAGGCCTAAGGAAGTTCAGTTTCTGCAGAAAGTTGCCTCTTCGCGCGGGGTTTACAAGGCAAATACATCCAAGGCATGAGAGGTACTGGCATACATACTGATCCGCGAAGTATGTTGGAACTATACTTATGTCCAGCTATAGAGCTCTTCAACCCGGGCATTGCGTGGCCATATGCAGCTCTCTGCACATGTCCTGTCGTACAACACATTTCGTACACTCGTCTCCCTTCAGCCAACGTCACCACGGGCTCCCCCAATTTTCGAGGGTTTCAGACTGGGCGTATTGGCAGCGCTGTGATCCCCAAATATCGCCGCTTGGATGAAAGGATTCGAGGCTGGAGGTGGAGCCGAGGACCCAAACGTCTTCCTTCCGCCTGGCGTGTATCCTTCGCCAGAGTCGTCTGCGCTGGGTAGCAGTGGATCCGTGCAGAACACCGCAAGCAATCTATCCACTGTCTCCCGTACAGCGTCGGTGTGTGGTTGGAGAGCCACCGCGCATATGTGCTGACGCGTTGCAAAGCATGTTCCCTTGTAGACTTGATGATAGATGAGTTTGAACTCTTCATCATTCTTTTTCTCGGCTTCGAGGTCTTCGAAACTGACATCCACCGCTGGCGAAGCTGCCGCAGAGTTTGATCTTGGCTTTCGTGATTTGCTTTGGTAGAGGCCGTAGAGACGCATACCTGCCATGACCATCTTTGAAACGAAATCCTTGTTTTTCTGCTCAACAGTAGCCACAAACGGCAGCTCTAGGGCACTCGAAACACTCTGAGCTCGAGACAATCCGGATGGCTTCGAGGGTGCTGCGACGGACTGCTCCCGCAGACTTGTTGGTTTGGCCGAAGCAACGCTGGATGCCCTCGAAAGGGGCCTGCTCTGAAGTGGTACTGAGACGTTGCTAGTCGAGCGGCGGTGTTTGAGCTGCGGCAAAGAATCTTCAGCCTTGATGTGGGAAGCTGCTGCGGCTGCAACACTTTCGCCCCCTTTTCGTCGGGCCTTGCGCCGTCTTTCAGTCGCTTCGTCGAAGGCATCATTTACATTCCTTCGCTTTCTCACAGGTGGTCTGTTGATAACTTCTCCCGTTTGCGTGGACGTTGTCGAGTAGTGTGGAAGAAATGTTGGTTCAATGTCAATCTCATCGCCTCCGGGAGATGTAGGCGGCGTTGGCTCGGTCTTTGCCTGGCGTAGTAATTGAGAAGACAGTGGCAATGCATAGACTCGGAACGAATGTTCGTCTTCTGCTTGGGTATGTGAGTGGGTGGGCGAAGACTCAGGAGGAGTCAACGGCCTTATTGTAACACCACCTTCATTCTTGGCGGCGTAGAAGAGCAGCTCGGTGGCCTTCAATCCAGCCTCATCATTCGAAGAGACTATCGGTTCTGTGACAGACACCAAGATACCGAGAAGTGAGTCCGTTGCTGCATTCTGCCACCAGGTTAAGTTGTCCTCCGTCGCGTCTTGGCTGTGCAGTAGAATGCTCGAGAACCAGGATTCGGTCTCTTCGGAGTTTGTCTCAACTTCGAATGGGCGACCAAGACTCATGTATAGTGGAATACGATGGGTCTCCACGGCCGACAGGAAACGTAAAGATGCTTCTGGTCGGATACATGCTGGACCTTCGGACTCGGTGGAAAGATGAATGTCTGTAGTTGTCAGTCAACGGCGGTGGGGTTGTCTAATTTATGCGAACTTACGCTGTAACTTCCGTTTGTCATTCAGTGTTATGCAACCATTCCAGATTGTTTTCGCCATTGTAGTGTTGATGTTAATTGATGTGGCCGGTGTTACAGCGTCAAGGAAGACGCGAGGCGAAACGCGAAAGTGGCGCGCTTGCTTGAGCTTGTGGATCCCACTTCAAGTCTTGGACATCAGCGCACCCAAAGCTCGTAACTTCCCATCACCTGTTGATGGTGCTGAAAAATTTGAAATGCTGCCAGCCGTGAGAGGCTTACAGCGATCCCTTCGTGCCTTCTCTACCAATGCTGTGCGCTGCGAGAAACCGCTTCCTCCCCGACTCGTGATCCCCGAGATAGATATCACAGAGAGCTTCCTCAAAGGCACCGGTCCGGGTGGGCAGAAGATCAACAAGACCTCGTCGGCCGTACAGTTGAAGCACCTGCCGACAGGGATTGTAGTCAAGAGCCAGGAGACTCGAAGCCGAGAGCAGAATCGGAGGACGGCTAGACGGATACTGGCAGAGAAGCTGGAGGATATTGAAAAGGGACCTCTGAGCAGAACTGCGCTGAAGGCGGAGAAGGCGAGCAAGAAGAAGGCAAGTGCGGCCAAGAAGGCGAGGAGGAAGTATCGCAAGTTGGACGAGGAGAAGGCGCAGTCTGAGGATGCGAGCAAGGATGGCCAGGATGAAAGCCCCAGCGCCGCCAGCGAGGTGAATGATGAGGCTCGAGTGGTGGGAGAAGACAGCAAGAGCGACGGTGATGGAAAGTCGCCTCGAGGCTGAAATGCAGGAAACCGTCACATCGAACGTGCCTTCCAAAGAATCGAGGTGCGGTCTGGACGGCGTTTACACCGCACGTCACCCGCTTCGCTTCACTGCGTTTGCCATCTTTCACATGCACCTGCAGGACTATCCCTAGCGCCGAGATTCTTCATGGTCGTCGCACTCGACTTCGCTTTCTCTTCCAACCCGCACCAGCGACACAAACCGCGACAAGCCAGAAACACCTCGTTCAACCCGCCACTTCCTCCAGAACACTTTAGAAAAGGCATCACAAGAATACCAGCAAACATGGCTACCGATATGAGCGGCTTGCGTACCCAGATCCTTGGTATGCCATTTGACATGCTATAGCCGAGAAGTGCTTCACTGACCTATACCAGCCAATGCCAAGTACATGATGTTCTCCAACATCAACAAGGGCGACCAGGCCGACGCTGGCACCAAGCTTCCAACCCTGGGCTCCGTCGCTACTCTCGTGACCTCGAGCACCACCACCACCGGCACTTCCACCACTAGCCCCGCCAATTTGGAGGTCGTTGTCTATGGTGATGGCAGCGAGTTCAAGGCTGCTGTTGTCTGTGGGTGAGTCACTCTTAATACCAACTCAACCCACGTGGAGCAAGATGATGGCTGACTTCTGTCGCAGCATCTACCCAGTCATTGAGGGAGCGACTGGAATTTCCCCTGAGGGCGCCATGCGCAAGTTACTCCTCTCGTCCTCGGAGCTGCTCAACACCATCATGGTAAGTCCTAATTAACAAATCCGAGCTCAGAGAGATAGACCAGCTTACATCTCCCTCGCTCCAGCCTAAGCTCGGTTCGCACCAGCGTAACATCCACGGCGGCGGTGTTGTGGATGAGGACTTTCTCAGCCGTGACCTTATCGACAAGAAGGTCTAGGACACATCGTCAAACAGGGAGACCAATCTGCAAGTGAGGAGGAGTTCTTCCAGCTTGTGGTCCATGGGAAACGGCACATCCAATGAGCAAGACTCGCCGAGCAGACGCATGACCAGTCGATCAAGTCTGCAAAACGTGCGAGAAGATCAGGCACTTTGAGAGTTCGATACCTTCGGGACGCATCCTAGTTCACCTAGTGTAGCACCCAGTACGAAAGAGGTTTGGAAAACAGACACTGACCCACAAGGCACTCATGAAAGCTCAACGACACAGTCCCTTCAAACAGACTTGCTATCCGGTGACAACGAATACTACCGACTCCCCTTTCACGAGCCACACACAGCACAGCACAGCACAGCGATCAATATCAAACCCACCATCCAATAAGACCGCCCAAAGATGATCTGCACCAGATGACGTTTCCCCTCCCGCACTTCACCACCACAGCCACCACACCATCCAATCGAACCCACAGCTCCAATGCTCAACTGCCTATTGCTCCTTCCTAACTAAGGCTAATGACAAGCTTTCTGCTTTCACCCACGGGACAAAGCTCCAGTGGTGCAGGCCGCGTTTCATGTCGAAAGTATATCTCTCGAGAGTATTTGTTACTTCACCTTGCCACTCGCCATTGCCTGAACCCTTTCATCTTGTTTCCCATTCTCTTTTACTGTGTAACTCTCGCAGAAGTTTAATTTACGACTCAACACCGCTAACATGAAATCCATCTCGCCCCTCATACTCCCCTTCCTCGCCCTCCTAACAACGAAATCCACCACTTTCGCCCAAGAAACGTCCTCTTCCTCTTCATCAACACTCCACATCCCAGGCCCAATGGAACAAAGCGTCACCGCACTCTCCGGCACAAGATCCACCATCACCACCAGCAATTCAGCAACATCTTCCCACCTCTCGGCACCCGGACCCATGGAGCAGAGTCTCACTACTACAGCTTCAGGTACGCCCTTTCCCTTTAATCAATCTCGCAAAACCGCTGTTGGCTGACACGAAGCTCGTGTAGATTCGGCGACCACCGCAACGTACTCTTCTTCAACAGCGGAATCGTCTTCACCGACGACGACTTCAAGTGAGTCTTCTGGATCTGCAGGCAATTTGGGCGAGGATGCCACGAGGACGGGCGTGAGTCAGAGTCAGGATACGTCTGCTGCGGATGCTGTGCTTGGAGGAGGAATGAAGCTGGAGCAGGTGGTTATGATGGGTTTGGGCGTGGGCGCTGCCTTGGCGGTTTAGAGCAATGAGAGTGGGAGGTTCAGAGGATGTGCTGTCGATCTGTTTTTGCCGTACTGTTACATGAACGAGCTATGCGCCCACAAAACGCCAGCGCAAAAGACGCAACGATCATGCCCAGAAAAATCTTATCACAACCAAACAAGCCGAAAAGATTTCCATCATCTTCACTTCATCAGACCCTGCAGTCAACTCCCATTGACCGCGCCCACCTCACTCTGCATCCCACTGACATCCCCACTCCACGTGAGTCCCTCGCCCCAATCCAACGTATTATCCAAGTCCACCTCATCCTCGTCATCCCCACCCTTCCCATTAACACCAACCTTCTGATCATCCTCCATCTTCAGCCCCTTATTCGCCGCCTCATCCGCAAAAGGCACCACGCTCTCCTCTCGCGCATCCGGAATGCCCCCCTTATCCAGCTTCCACTTCTGCACATTCAGGATGATATCCACCGCCAACTGCCCGTTCTTCGTGAGAGCATTCTGCCAATGCTGCGGCACACCCTGTCCAAGCGCAAGCATACGCGCAACGCAGGAAACGAGGAGTTGGCGCATGGGACTCTCATTCTCCGTATTGGAGTAGATATACTGCACGCGCCGCAGACTCGGCCACGTATCCGTGTCGTGATAGTACGTCCGCACCGCATCCAGCACCTCCACGATCAGTCTCTTGATCTCCCACTTCTCCGCCATGAGGTACATATCCAGCAGCGGGGAGAGGTCCTTCTCTTCCTTGGGGGCGGGCACGCGCTCGGAGTACAGCCATCCTACGAAGAGGCGGAAGGGCTCGTCGTCTTCGTCCGGGAGGCCGAAGAAGCGGTTCTTTCGGTCGCCGGATTTGGAGAAGAAGATGTTGCGGAAGAAACGCGAGCGGTAGCAGAGGAGTTTTTCGTGAAGGACCCAGTGCGTGTTTTCGGGGCCGACGTAGATGTCGACCATGTCGTGGGAGAGGAGCCTGTAGTACTGTTAGCTGGTGATGGCTTGAGATGGGTCGTCGAAGGTAGCGTGGCGTACTCATGGAGCGGTCGTTCCCGGTTGTCTGCCATTGCAATGGTCTCTGTGCTAGTTGGAGTCTGTTTCTGGGTATAGAGCTCTACTGAAGCTTCGCGACAGCGATTCCAAGCTCTTGAACTCTGACTGGGACCAGAAGTAGAGCAGAATGAGAGTGAATTGATAACCAGGACGAAGAGAAGGATGAGTAAAAGGAAGACGGGTCACCTGTTCTATCAGATGTGGCTGCGAGAGCAACTTGAAGGAGGCTGGGACTGTGGTGTAACTGGTCAGCTTGCTTGGAGCACGGCAGGTACGTCACTCTCCACGCTAGCCGCCATGCAACGGCTTCCAAGGATTGAGCCACGCTAATGACCATGCCTGAGCCAGGATGAGAACCGTGTGAATCGACGTCAATGTTCAATCTTTCCTTGTCTATACCCTCATCATTGTCTCGTCATGTCAGAGCAGCGTTCCAGTCCAGCGGACTTGTATCGTCTAAGAATGCGAAGTCGTCCAGATTGACGGGATAGTTGGGATCCATATACGTTTGGAAAATGTCGTCCATCCCCTCGAAGAGCTCGAATCCACTCTGAGCAGCCACTGCGTTCGAATCTTGCTCTACTGTCGCGGAATTCTGGTTCGCGTTGCCATCCGGATCATCCGGGTGATCAATGATGGTATGAGGCTTCACTAACGATGCCGTACAAATGCCAGGACTGTCTCTACCGGTTCCGCTGAACCGTCCAACTCGGAAGGACGACAGATCCGTAGCCTTGTTGACTTGATCGAGCACTTTCTTAGAGATGACACCGATCACATCGGCCGAAGACCAGCATCGTCGAAGATTCTGTAGGACTCGGCAGCATGTTCGAAAGTCTTCTCGAGCATCTTCCTGCTGGTGTTGCAGTTGCGACTGTCGTATTCGTTGGTATGTGACTGACAGCGAAAGCGATATGGCGTATGGTAAGATCGGGAGCGGATTCAACGAGGGATATAGATGGGAACTCATCAATCGTATGAGCTCCAGCGAGCAAAGGGACTGCCGTACATAGCTGGGCGTCGACCGTGGCATATACTTCACTCCTCGCGATCGATGCGAAAGCATAGCGGTGACGAGGTAGAATAGATGTAGCGTAGCCAGAGTCGACTGCGGCTGGTTCCATGCTTGTCCCTCATCCAATGCTTCCTCGAAACTCGGAAAGTAATCGCTCTCCCAGCCAGTGCAAGTTATGGGCTGACCAGGTCGGTAGAAGCCAATGATCTTGTTGAGCATCCGAGTGATATATAGCCAGGCCTCAAAGGCGGGAAAGCCACTTTCGCCTTGTTCGAAAGGTTCTATAGCAATGTCTTCGTCACTCATCATAACTGGTCTCCCGTACAGGCATCCATTGATGCGGTCGAGACTCCAGAGACACCAGAAGAGCCGTTTTGTTGCCAGGTCATCGCCAGACGCCACGCCTTGTTGCTGTCCAAGGTGCCAGCCGAGCGTTTGAGTGTAGTGCATGGCCTTATTCAGGCACATAGTTGCGTCCTCAGCGCCGTCCTGTCCTTCGGGGTGTAACGATGCCAGCGCGAGAATGCGAATGAGCGTGATCTTTTCAAGAAGATCAGGCGTCTTGAGTGTGGCCATTACCGAAGCGTGCAGTCGACTGCAAAAGTCGCGAGGCGCAAGTGGTGTATCTGATTCTGAGAGTCGCAGATGAGGTGCAGCTTCCGCATCTTTCGCTGCCACAAGGCAGATCGCATGAGCAAGAGGCTCAGGGACAATTCCTCCGGCATGGTTCTTGCGAAACTCGGCTTCGTCCAGCAAGGGTAGAATGGGGTGGACTTTTCGAAAGTATATATCTATGAGCGGTCCCAGGACAGCAGAATGTGGTCTCTGATTGTTGAGGGCGGTTGCTTGGGCGGCGGCATGCTCTGTCGTGCTGTTCTTCTGGCGGATAAGCTCATCCCATTCGCGCTTGTCGACCCAGATCCCGATGTCATCATTCTGCTGTCGGCTTTCTGGTTCAATCGTACGTGTCGGTCGTTGCAGAAATGTCACTTCTGGATTTAGGTCGCTGATGAATCGCCGCACGCCACCGGAATTGCTCGTGCGGTGAGAACTTGGTGTTCCGTTCACACGAGGTGTTGCATTGCTGCCATGAGGACTGTCGGAATCTTCCTTGTCACTGCCGTCTTTAACACCGTTCGTCGAGACCTTGTCTGCCCCTGCGAAGTGTATACATCTTTTCTACTTGTTTTGTCAGCCACATGTCCTGTAGAGCTTGTGAAAATAGAGAGGACCTTTCGTGCGCGGCAACTCTCACACGCCTTCGCCAACCGACGACGTTTGGGTGCACTGTCGCCGTATTGATTGACAAAGGTCAGTTCCATGGCCATCGCTGCCAATACCTTGCTTGGGTTGTGCCTTGATTCCTGCCACAGCTGACTCGAAGAAAGTGGAGTGTGACCGCTGCCAGCTTGCCCGTGCTGAATTGTACGCAACGATCACATGCGTCGACCGCCAATTCAGAGTTTGCGCTAGAACATGCACCGAAGTTCAGACTAGCGCCTCAGCTGCTTCTAGCGTCGTTCTAGCGTCAACCCAGATCTACCGCATCTGCCTTCGCGAGTTGGGGTGACGAGTCTGACGACAACCATTGCACCAATCGTGCGGGTTTCAACACGATGTCAGGCTGTGGCAGGGCGGCAGTCCGTTGCTGTGCGCTCGCTACTGCCGCCCAAACCATGACCCATGGCAGCACCGCCATGGACGAGCTGTCCGTGCTGCCCCTGATACGGTCACGGCGGGAAACGTGAGAAAGATTGCTTTCGCTGAGAGTCTACCCTTCTTATTCTCCCATGGCGCCATGACTCCATGGGCACGCTGACTCTATGCTCTTTGAGTTCTCTCCTCCGATACTACCAACTTGGTGACCCCCATTCAACATGAGTACAGCTTCCCAAGCAAACAGACAAGGAACGAAACGAGCTTGCGATCAATGTCGTCGACGGAAGACAAGATGCATTCCATCGTGCGGGACGGCCTGTCGCAAATGCTCCATCAATCGCCTGCAGTGTACCTTCAGCACGCCTGTCGCCAAACGAGGACCGAAAGCACACCGGGGCAAGATCATATCAGAACTTCGTAACCTTCAATCGTCTGAACAATCACCGACATCGTCTCGACAGTCGCCCGCAACGTCTCAGACGTCCAGCTCGGCCGATGAAGACGTCGACGTTGATGTCTCGTCGCAGGACGATGATGAAGACGACTCCCAATTGCTTCCCGCGACAGGTCTACACTACCCTATCGTGGCTTTGCACCCGACTCCTGCCCATCTGACGAACGAAGAGGTTGCAACAGTGACTGAGAAACAGGAGCGCGACACTGAAGATGGCTTTCTGTCTTTCGCTCTTGGCGTGTACACAATGATTGCGAGAAGCAGATACAACCAGGACTCCAAGGACGACTCTGCACCAGATGTTGGGCTGGGAAAAACGCTACTACACGAGCTCTCGCGCCTGAGGAGTAGCGTCACGACTGTCGATCGACCGACCATCGCATCCATCGTGGTCTCGCTTCTGATGTTTCACTGCTTCAGTGCTCTCGACAATGGACGGTCCGCGTGGTTCTACCTGCGGCAAGCGACGACATTCGCATTGGCATTGGGACTTCACGAGCAGCAGCAGCAGGACGACTTTCTCAGTTCAGACACCACACGGGGACATGTCTTGTACTGCATCCTGTTCATCACAGAGCGCAACGACTCGTTGCAACGACAAAATCCATTGACATTGCCAATGCCCAGCACAAGACATACGCTCGCCTTGGAGTACGCCTGCCGTGCACTGGGAGCATACACTAGTCTGGCGCGCCTTATTCGCCTCTACACGCCATTCGACGAAGTGTTTCTCCAATCTCGGACAGGGCGTGAGACTGCAGCATCTGGTGCTGAACGGCTAACACAACTGCAAGACGAAGTTCAGGCGATGTCACTTGTTCGACGATCGGCGCAGGCCGATGCTTGTACTGTCGACTTCATATGTTCTAAGTACTGGTTGCAAATTCTCATCTGGCAGATCGCGTTGAGCCAGGGGCAGCTGTCCACCACCGCGAGGGACGTTAGTCTTACCTTCATCTTTCCGGTGCGGATCGCAAACGAGCTTTTGGGACACCTGGACACGTTTCCACTGGAGGCTCTACAGATACACGGGCCGGTGCTGGTACAGTCTTTCAGTTACGTTGATTGAGAATAGCTTCACTGACTCCGCTAACAGACAGAGAAACTCTTCGATGTTGCTTGCGCTCTTCTGGACGTCTTGATGTGCGTACCGCTTCAACACATCTCACCTGAAGGCGCGCCACGTTCTAATCTGGGTCGTCTCATGTCCATCATCGCAACCCTTCCTCGAGGCTCAGAAAGATTCAATCCACTTTTACACGCAAAGGTTTCGGAAAGCCCCAGTTTCTACGTGGCTTGGGACGATGGCTGAAGTAACAGCCCGAAAAGAGGTGACTCGCCTGGAGATAGGGGCTGTGTACCACGGCCTCAACGACTATTGCTGAAACACTCCGCCATACTGGACGCGACATGGCTTATTGCATCTATGCGGTGCTCTTGCTTTGACCAGTCTGCTCTGAACGGTCAGGACAGATGAGGGCAGGACAAAGGCTGGCTTGGCGTTTCACATGCGAGAAATGCATGGGTGCTCCTGCATCTGTCTAAGAAGAGGACTATGACCGGGAAATTTGATCGCAGACATGTTTTTCAGCGGTTTATCATTACTTCTTCATCAGGCCCATCGCGATCGCATTCCCCAACAACCCAGGCTATTCGTCATCAACCAACAAGATGATCAAGCGAACGAAAGCCTTACACCCCAGAACGTCGAAGCAGATACAGACCAGGACAGCGATCGTCGTAGTGAGCCTGTCTGAACTCACGGGCACTGCGGCCCAAGATTCGCTCCAAAGTGAAACTACATGCGACAATCCAATGGGCAGAACGGCAGGGTTGAAGCGTGGGCCGTTCCTGAAGATCACGTCAATACACTGTGAGGCACAGGATAATAGAGGTATTTAATTGATTGGCTGGCACTTAGCTGCACGGCGACGGGAGGCTTCTCACAACTTCTCCGAACGTTTGATCGATGGTTGCCGTCGCCAGGGACATGGTCGACCTTTGGTGACGCATGTCAGGATGGCGTCATCAGGCGTGCCGCAAATGGTCGTCCTCTTTGCGAAGCAACCGTGCAATTCTTTCCCTCAGTCCTTGATGCCTTTAGGACATTAGTGTCCCAGACCAGAACAGGTGAGGTTGTCCCGCTCCCTGTACGACGAATGTTTTAACTTTGCGCTAGCGAGGCAAAGGAAGCGCTCCTCACTTCTACTCCTCTTCCACGACATGATACTTGCCCACATCGAGCTAGCAGACGAGCCTCCCTTGCAGCGGGTGTGATGGACCTGCATTGCTGACGTTGAGCTCCAGGTTGTCCAAACATCAAGACGCCATCGTGCTGAGCAGCATGCTATCTCGTGCTCCAGAGCAGCCGTACGGCGAAATCGTCGGTCGAGCTAACGACGCCACACATGCATGTCAGTCTGCCTCTGCCGGGTAGCCGTTCAACTTGACCTGGTTGACGAATCACTCTGGAGACGACTGGACTTGGTGGCTGGTTGCTCCTGCACTTTCCCTGGGTCCGTGAGTCCGCTCACACCACCTACAATCCCTCAGTTTCAGCAGCTAACCTCACAGATCGTAGCAGCATCGAGACAAAATCGCTCGCTCGCTAATTCAGTCCACGACCTGGCGGTGCTGCACGCGTTGGCTCCTCGAAGCTTGGACATGCTGCGTAGACACGGGCCGTCCTTGGGGACAATCTCCCAATATCGGTAAGGCAAGGTGCCCAAAGCTCAACCCCATGATTCCCCAGGCGCCATACCCGGGGTCTCTGAGGGGTTCCCTTCTAGGGAAGTACCCACATAACAAGGCTGTTTGCCAGTCCCCAGACTTTACACTCCATGGAACAGTCAAACTCTGCAATCTAATATGGATGGGCGAAACACACACAGTCGGGGCGATGCTGTCTTCAGCGTCACTTGTGCCCTCCTCGGCGCTTCTTTCCTCTTCGTTCTCCTCAGCACGCTCTCAAGGGCCTTCATCGTTCGGAAAATCGCAGCATATGGCTGGCTCCTGGTGTTATCATGGATCTTGGGCTTGGGCATGTCTGTCGCCGTCTGCTACGCAACTAAATACGGATTGGGATTGCACCAACAACATATTCCTGCGGAATGGATGCCAGTGCTGGGCCGGGCGAGCTATGTCTTTTCGATTTTGTACAACCCGGCGCTTATGGCACAGAAGTCCGCGATCCTCTGCTTGTATCTGAACATCATGTCGAGCAATGATATTTGCAGGTGGTTCACCATCGCTACTCTGGTCGTGGTCAACGTGGGCGGGCTGACGCTTACATTGTTGAGCGCGTTTCGCTGTCACACACTCGGTGCAGCTCTCAACATAGCTTCTGCTCCAGGCGTTGGAAAGTGCATTAGCCTTTTGACGATATACTTATCGTCAGCACCTCTCAACAGTAAGTACAAACAATCAAAGCGACCTGAAAATCAAGGACCTGTGCTAATGAAACTACTGTCCAAGTCGTCACGGACATTGTGATCCTACTTATTCCCATGCCGCTCCTGGCGAGCTTGCGACTTCCTGGATCACAAAAGGCAGCAATCATCTTTGTCTTCAGCGTCGGCATCTTCGTTGCGGCTGTCGACGTAGTCCGGATCGCCTATTTGGAGCGTGCATCTCAGTCGATCCTACAAGCTGTCTTTCAAGGCACAAACGCCAGGTACAAGGACAACTCCACAGACGACTTTACGTGGTTTGCCTCTTATAGCTACATGTGGTCCGTGGTGGAAGTGCACGTTGGGATCATGTGCAGCTGCGTTCCCGCACTCAAGCCTTTGGTCCAGAAGGTCTTCTCCAAGAGTCCTCACCAAGTCGATGAGATTGCCGAGGATTCCCAATGGTTGAAGGACTACCACGCCGCTCCTGCTTCTCCGACCGAGATGACTTGGCAAGAGTGCCTTTCTCCAACGTCCAAAGGCGATCTGCGCAGCCTCCACCTTGAGATCAAATCTCCGGGCCCTACAGTACCCAGCATACATCACAAAGGCCAGGATGCTTCAGCCTGGACGCCAAGTCCCGAAAATCGAACGCTCTCCTTCGCCACATTCGCTTCTGAGCCTTACGTGGAGCGCGTTGTGTCCAAGTCGTCTACCCGCAAAAGTCTCACCGAATTGAGCACACGTCAAGCACTCGGCCCTGGAATCGCCATTTCCGTACTCTTCCTGATATGGGGCTTCGAATATGGAGTGCTTTCGGTCCTCAATGACGTCTTTCAAAAGGCAGCGCACCTCACCCCGGGCCAACTCACAGCACTTCATAGCTCGTACTACATTGGCTACTTCGTGGGACCTCTGACAATCGGCTATCCCATCCTGAAGAGATGGAACTTCAAGACATGCGGCGTTGCAGGCCTTGCAATCTATGCTTTCGGGACGCTTGTGTTCTGGCCGGCGGCAGTTCTCAACTCCTTTCCGGTCTACTTCATCTCCAACTTTATTGCTGGGGCTGGTCTCTCGATGGTCGAAGTTGCCGCGGATACTCTCATCCTCCTCTGTGGTCCAGACCGGTTTGCCGAAGTTCGACTCTGCTTCAGTCAAGGCGTTCAAGCGGTCGGCACAGTCGTGGCTCCCTTGATACTGCAACAAGCCTTCAAGGACAGCTCATCACCGGCCAATACGTTGGTCCAGACCCAATGGGCATACCTTGGCGTTGCGATGATTGCCACTCTTCTAGCAGTCATCTACTTTGCACTTCCTTTCGACGAAGGCATGGATCAAGAATTGACCGACGTTGTCCGCGAAGACAACAGTCCCTGGGATACTTGCGCCGCACTACCTGTGCCATTCATCTTGGGAACCTTGAGCATCTTCTGCTACGTCGGAGCACAAGAAGTCAACGCAACGTCCTTCATGCCTTTCGTCACATCTTACGAGCCAGGATGGAGCAGCTGGTCTTTCCTGGCCATCGCCCATTCCGCATTCGCGGTCTCACGCTTCGTAGCAGCTTTCGTGGGACTCTGGATCAAGCCCAAGATCATGCTCTTTGCACTCGCGACGACAGCCGTCGTCTTCCAGTGTCTTACTGCAGGAGCAGATCTATCGAACGACACAGCAACCTCGATGCTAATGGTAGTCTTCTTTGTCGAGGGACCTATCTTCCCCTTACTGTTTGGCACGACTTTTCGGAGCCGCATGAGAAAGCGCACTCGACTGTCTGCGGCAATGATCACAGCATCTATTTCTGGTGGTGCGGTCTTTGCACCAATTTCCAGCGCGATACAGCAAGGTGGCTTGTCTACGTATCGATCGAGTCTGTTCGTCGCTGCGGCTGCGTTTGTGCTGGTATGGGCCTTCTTGGGATTCGAAGGCTTAGGAGGTATGGTAAGGAGAAGGGGGAAGTCATAAGGCTGAGAACTTAGATCAATGACCAAGACGTTCTTCGAAACTACATTCTACCTATGGCCTGTTTCACATGTTCTGCAATCAAAACCAACATCATGTTGCCTTACACAGCGTACTTCGTAGCACGCTCAGCGTAACCACCAGGCTCACGCTGACGACGTCGTACCTTGTATCACCTCACCGCCGGTCCTTCCGTGCTGGGAAATACGCCGAAGGACTCCACTTCACATGCCACATTCATTGGAGTTCAACACCTCTCACTTCCAACGCATGTTTCAGCCCTGATTTCCTCAAACCAACACAAAACCTCAAGACTTTGACGGACGATCCTTCCGTCTCAAAATTTCTCTCCGACCACATCATGGCGACGACCAAGAGCATCCTCATCTTCGGCGCGACCGGACTGATCGGACAGCATATTACCAACGCGATCCTAGCAAACAAGGACAAGTTTGACCGGATTGCCATCTTCACGTCACCCAACACGATCTGGACCAAATCCGACGAAATCGATCATCTTAAAGCTGAAGGCGCAGAGATCATCGCTGGCGAGATCACTTCTGCGGCCGCAGTGAACGAAGCATACAACGGCATCGACACGGTGGTCAGCTGTGTTGGGCGGCCAGTGATTCACACTCAGCTTCAGTTGATTGAGTTGGCGGATAAGCATCCGGATGTGAAACGGGTGAGAAACACTCACTTCATTGCAATATTAATAGACAATCATTTTTAACTTCAAAACCAGTTCTTCCCCTCCGAGTACGGCACCGACATCGAATACTGGCCCAGCTCCGCCAACGAGGCACCGCACCAACAAAAGCTCAAAGTCAGAGCACTCCTCAAGACCGTCAAGCACTTGACGTACACATACGTCGTCACAGGCCCTTATGGCGATGCCGACCATGCGCTCTACTTGGGCGCCAAACCACCTGCAGACGAAGGCGAAGGGACTTTCGATGTGAAACGCAAACGAGCGGTTCTCCTCGGCGACGGCAAAGGCAAGATCTCTCTGACCACCATGCGAGACGTCGGAAAACTCGTCGTGGCCGCTATCCTACACCCGGAAGCTGTGGCGAATAAAGCCATTCATGTGAATTCCTTCACCTCGACGCCTGAGGAGATTACAGCGGAGTTTGAGAGGCAGACGGGTGAGAAATGGGATGTGGGCTACACGAGTCTGGAGAAGCTGAAGCAGATTGAGGCGGAGAAGGGAGGGAGTGTGACGTTGAGGAGGATTTGGACTGAGGGTGGCACGCTGTACGAGAAGAGGGATAATCATCTCGTGGGCCTCGAACATGGCGTTGATGATTTGGCGGCGGCGGTGAAGCAGGCGATAGAGGTTCAGCGGAAAGAGTCATAGGGATGTCGTGGAGTTCCGCGTACGGGAAGGCCGCGATAGATGAATGAGGTGCACGAACTAATTGTTTTCTAGCATGGATGTGTTCTCGTCAATGAGATAGGAGAGTTTACAACGACAACAAGCGAGATAAGTACACTCACAACCTCCCCTTGACGACACCACTCTTCCTCGTCTCCTCTTTATACCCCCTCTTCCTCCCCACAACCGCAAGCTGCACCTGCCTGGCCCTCTCTCCCCACCTCTTCTCCGGCTTCAAAGTCACGGTCTCCCCCTGCTTGACAGGAAAACACTCCCCCGAGCCTGACAATCCACAATCCACTGTGCTTCGAGCTGAACACCAGGGTCCCAGCGTCCGACACTGCCTTCCACGACTGAACGGCCCTGCCAGCCTGGCTTGCTTTGGAGTTTTGGAGGAGCTTGCCTTGCAAGTGCAGCCTGGCGACCTCCTCGCGCGATGACATCTCCCCAGAGATTTCCTCTCGCCGCAGGCCTTGTGACATTTTCAGACAAAGGCGTCTTCCCGTCAGGAGCGTGGTCCGTAATCCAGCTTTCGAGAAAGAACAGGTAGTTCCAAATTTCCCTATTTTGGTACAAGCCCCCATGCGGCTGCCCTTCAAGGTAAGTGACATTCGCCCAGTCCGGTCCTCCTTTCTCCGAGACTCGTTTCTGGAATTCTGCGACGCCTTCGTTGAGGAAGTAGTCGTCCCAGGTGCCGACAGAAATGAAGATACGATTCTTTAGGATTTCGCCGAGGTTTTTGGTGGAAGCATCCCAATGGCTGGTGATGTAATTCGACAAGTCCATCGGTTTCCAGTACTCGACTGCTTCGGGGTAGATCTCGCCACTGACTTTGTCCCAGGTTTCGAGGGGGTAGCCGTTAAGACCTTGAGCGCCGAAAACGGCGTTCCAGACGTCCCATTGGTTTCCTGAGCGGGATGATGTACCGTATGTGAGTTCCCAGTGGTTTTCTTGCTCGACTGTCACGAGATTCGTCAGCACTCCGTCGACATCGCCTCGGACAGAGTAGATCTTGCTGCCGTTTGGGCGGGTGTATGCGTTCTGAGCATCGTACAGCGGGATGTCTTGGTGGCGGTGGAAGTCTAGTGAGTCCGGGTATGAGGAAAAGCAGGCACCGAAGAGGTCTGGTCTGAAGATGACGCTCGCGGCAGATTCCCAGCCGCCTGTCGAGCCGCCCTCCTGGATTCGGGCGTACGGCTTGGCGATAGTGTTGAACATCTTGTCGATGATTGGGATCAGCTCGTCGTTGATGGCGTCACCATAAGGGCCGAGGTTGGCTGTGTTGACGGCGTAAGAGTCGTCGCTGGATGAACGTAGTCAGTTTCATGTCATCTTGCGGCTTTGATATCTACTTACTAGTATGGCGCCTCGTGGCGAAGCGTCACCAGAATCAGCTTCGGTGTCTCGCGACCTTCACCGCCATTAGTCGATGGAATGATCCCACTGGCCCACTGCTGTATCAAGTCGGCATCATAATATCCAGCAAACGAAGGGTCGCCTCCAGTCCAGTGGTCTTGCGAATAGATGACCGGATATCGCTTGCTCGTGTCGTTCGCATCGTAGCCGAATGGGAGAAGAATGTTCGCACCGACATACATGTCTCGATTCCAGAATTTGCTTAGCACTTCACTCCGTATCTTGACGCGCTTCAGGATTTCGGTATCAGGGTAGTTTCCCTGAGAGCAGCCGCCAATCTCGGTGCCCTCGAGAGGATCCTCGGGTACCACAGCCTCGAATGTGAGCTCGATAGTTTGGAAATCGCCTGAGACGGTGACATTTGTCGCCAAAGTTACAAGACTGCCTGGACCAGCGACGCTCTTTTGACCATCGCCGCAAGGGAATCGAAGACTGACTTGAGAGCCGTCGCTGCGTGTAACGTCCTCATATTGGTTCAGAAAGGCCTGGACGGTATAGTCTCCAGCTGGTAGATCGTCCAAGCTGGCGTTTGGGTAGCCCCATACCCCATAGCTGGTACGCTTTCTACTTCCGCCCGTCAAAGTAACAGTGTCGCCAGTATCAAAGTCGTACACATTTTGGCCATAGAAATAGTTCGGAGTTGTTGCGACATCGACATCTTCCAGGGGATCGACTCCTGCAGGGGCGAAGAGCACAAGAATGCGACCGGTCGTGCTGCTATTGAGGAGTCCGTCCGCTGTAGAGAGATGTATCTTCAGGCCATGCTGCGGGTGAGCAAAGGCTGCGGCGAAAAGACAGCACGCGCTCAAGAGAGCCAAGCTCAATTGAAGGCCCAGCATGGTAGAGAGCATAGCGCATCAGTTCAAGCCGTGTCGCTGGGGATCGCTTGGGTTGTGGTGTGTTTTGCCACTTGGCATTCCTGTCTCTTTTGTGCGACGTGGGTGGCGTTGGCTTGGAACAATACGTTGGGTTGAAAGAAACCCCATCTCCCACCTAGACCGAAGCGTTCGATAAGTCTGATAAGAGATCCGACCAAGGTGGTCGCCTCAAACAGCAACTTGGCCGTGCCTGCTGTCGGCGAGCCGATAATGGCAATGTGCTACTGTCTCGCAGCAGCCAAGGGCGAGTTTCGCTCTCGAATAGAGCAGCCACAGGGTCGGCCATGTCTGAGCGGCAGTCCTCGCGTCAATACTGTCTCGGAGAAGTGGAAAGGAAGATAGGCGCAATGTCGGCTTAGAAGTATACGAAGTCTCTAGCCTACAAATGAAAGGTGAAGTCTTGAGCCAAGATCCTCCCGTGTTGTTGCATTCGGATCTCGGCTGACGCTTCATGCCTGAGGCAGCAGTTACTCGTGGACCGTGCGCTGCTGTGTCATGACACTTCAACTTTCGTCTCCTTTCTTTGTTCCACGCTTTACTCTCTTACGCGTCCCGGGCACGACGCTATGACTTTGCCTGCAGTGGGAGACTTGCAGATGCGGACACTTAGACGACAAACACTGGGTTAGGGTTTCCCGACCCACCTAGCCTTCTCTCCAATGTGCCAGAGCAGAATGGATATGTAAGCAAAACTCTGGAACGCATCCGGGCGATGTTCCGCAGATGAGGTAAAGGTGAATGGGAAGATAAGTATATCATTCCTACTTTCTCTCAAACGCTGGGCTTCTACGATTGACATACTGCCAAAATGGGCTCCAAAATCTTCGTGCATGTCGTGGCCGTCTTGAGACTGCTTCAGACAACAAGTGGCTTATAGACTTTTACAGAACTGGAGGCACTGGCTACATTGGCGGCAGCGTACTCGACACTCTGGTTAAGAGACATCCGGAATATGAGATTAGTGCGTTGCTGCGTACTGTGCCGGAAGACTTTGAAACTCTCTGCCCTCAAGTGAAAGTCATCAAAGGGACCTATGATGATCACGACATCCTTCACAAAGCCGCCGGTGAAGCCGATGTGGTCGTGCGTACGTCTTTGTCACTGATAGTCGCATCTTGGCGGACAAAGAACACTGACAAATACTCTCTGCTGCAACAGATACGGGCAACTCGGACCATATACCCAGTATGAAATCCCTGATTGCTGGACTGGCCGCCACATCGCAGCCAAGCGCTCCCAAATATCTCATTCATCTTAGTGGCACCGGCATTGTCGCGGACTTCCTCGATCCAACCTATCTCGGTCGGGAGAATCCGAAAACATGGTCTGACATTTCCGACCTGGAGGCCATAACATCTTTGCCCGAGACGGCAATGCACCGGCCTGTAGACAAGCTCATTCAGGACGCCTCTCGAGCATATGGCGATCGGCTCAAGACTGCCATTGTCTGCCCTGCTGATATATATGGAGAGGGGAAAGGGCCTGGACGCAAGGCTTCGGTCTACTTCCCGAACTTTGTCCAGCAGGTCAAGAACCTGGGTGTTGCACCCTTTTATGCTGAGAATGGCGGCAATGCTCATGGCTGGGTGCATCTGGATGACCTGATGGAGTTGTATGTGAAGCTCGTGGAAGCAGCAGTGTCCAGTGGTCGAACGGCAGACTGGGGCGTTGAGGTTTGTCTAAGCCATGTTGTCTTGCCATAATGCCACGGCGATACTAAATCTTATTTGCAGGGCTACTACTTTGTGACCGCGGCCGTCCACACACAACTCGAGATCGCCACCAGCACTGCCAAAGTCCTACATAAGCATAATCTCATCGCTGGCTCGGAGCCACAGCAAGTCCCTCTTGGGACGATCAAGACGACCTTGGCTGCGCCAGGACGCCCACATAGAGGAACATATTTCTTCGCGTCCAATGCTCGAACGCGCGCAGAGCGTGCGACGAAGGCTCTTGGGTGGAAGTCTCAAGCTCCAGATCTCATGGATGTATTGGAGGAAGAAGTTCTCACTGCATGGAAGAACATGCAATGATGAAGTTCACCATGTTCTTGTTGACCTCATGGAGGTCGTCCATGCTATGTTAGGATGCAAAGCTGATGTTATGAAGAACCAGTTCACCGTTTTCTCTTGTTTTACCATCCCTTCAACTAGGCAGTGTCTTGTCGAAATGGCTTGATCATGTCTTAGTCTCTTGAGACCTGACGTGTGCACGGGCTCTTCTTGCCAAGTGCGCCAATCGAGCACAGGCCGCGCCTCCCTGTATTCTTCACCGCCAACGACAACTTTCCCTATTCAAACATTAGAAGTGATAAAACTTCAATGTACCGCCGCCATGCACGTTGGATCCTCTCACGACAAGCATAGCTCAATGCCGCCATGATGAGGTAATCTGCTGCATCCCAATCTGTCAGAGCACCTCATATCGCCACGAACGCAAGCTATCAATGCCAGATAACACAACCAAAACGATGAAGCACAATCAAAAGCAGTGCAGACATGATTCAGCGTAAGCCTGTCCCAGGCGGCCGTCCGCTCAATGTCGACCAGAAACAAGCTCTTGATAAAGTCATGGGCGAGACACGAACGTCACCAGACTCAAAGCCACCTCCATATGAGTTCGAAAAGGTCGAATCCATCCAAGAAGGCCAAATAATCGATGAATTCGATCAACAGCTCGAGGCTCTGCATCTGGATAGCGAACCCGACCCTTCCGAAGCTCCTCCCGGAGCGTCTCACGAGAGCGTCGAACAAGCAACAGCGAGTAGCAAGAATCCATCAAAAGTGAAAGCCGCTCTGGGCACAGCGTACAACCAAGCCGTCCATTTCGCTGGCGGCCTCGTGTCTCATCCTTTTGAAGCCACGAAACACTACTCAGTCCTCCGACACTCCATTGGCTTGGTCTATTATCGAGGTCCGACGACAAGTGTCGCCATCACCGTCTTCTCAGACCAGCCTCTCCCACCTGACCGGAAGCTATGGCTTCAAAAACGAGGCTTCTCCGGCAAGACTGGTCTAGCGGTTGGGAAACTTGGAACGAGATCTGCTTGGATCGATGTCACGCCGACTATCTCTGCTACTCCTGACGCATTGCCCAAAGCTGATGAGCGGGCGTGGCAGCGGGATATCAACAAGTTCCGCAAAAAAGCTAAAGACGTCAAGCAAATTCGAAACCACCGCCCATATGAGACCAATGTCGTTCGGATTCCACACGTTGCCGCCGATGGGTATTTCAGGATCGTGCTATGCGAGGGTCGCAAGGTTCTGTGTCCCTCGCCGGTCTTTCGCTACGCCTCTACCTCTACAGACCCGGGCATGCTTCGAGGTGCCAGCCTTCGCAGTCTACCTCTTGAGCTAGGGATCAAGATTGGTGCCATGGTCGCCAACAACGCAGCAAATGCAGCCGCCGCCGGTGCAGTGCAGCCTGTCACGACTGCAGTGCAGAACGCCGTTCAGCCTTATCAATATGGTGGTCTGACGCAAATGGCGGCGACGAGCGTTTACGACAGTAGTGGGGCTCCACAGAAGATTGAAGAGGTCAACGAAGTGTATGAGCAAAGGCGGGAGCTTTCTCATCAACAAGCAATTGTTGACGCAGACGCCAGGGCAAGTCTGATAGGCAGCGATGATGGCCCAGAGCATCCATTCCCAATACGCCTCACTGGCAAAGTCATCCCAGGGACTGGCCGAAGCAGAAGCGAGTTTGGAATGCCTACAGCGAACATCTCAGATGTTGCTGAAGACACGATACTCCGTCTTTCAGGGGTGTACGTTGCTTGGGCAATGGTCAGCCCTCCCAAGAAACTCAAAGAACATTCGCCATCGAACGGACTATACGATGTATGGCATCCAGCCATAGTCACAGCAGCGCCTTTGAGAAAGACCCATACAAGTGTGGTAGAGAAGAAGTCAATCTCAGCATACCTGATCAATGACTTCGACAACACAACCTTCTTCGACAGTAAAGTCCACCTCATGGTGATGGGCTTCATGCATCCCGTTCTCCCAAGCTCCACCGAAGAGCAAGCCCTGCAAATAGCCCAAGACGTCGCCATAGCCCAAGCCTCCCTCGAACGACCAGCCTGGCAAGCCGAAACCCTCCTCTTCCGCATCGAAACCGAATCGTCCTCCCGCTCCTTCACAGAACGAGTCGCCGACGTACGAGAGGCTGGCCAAAAACAAGTCGACAAAGTTCCTGTACATTGGCTCGGCGTCAGGACCGACAGCATGGGACTGAAAGATCAGCTCATTGGAAATGGTGGTATTTGCGTGAGGCGATAAAGAGACTATCTCATAGTCTGGAGACTTCGCCGAAAGAGAAGAGATTCCTTCCGCTCTTCTTGTCTGTCGTTACGATGCCTTTTCTGTTGACTTGTTCTGTTTCCCAACTTGAGAGTTTTTTGAGGGTATGTTCATCGGCGTGATTCGCGAGGAATCTCGAGCCGTCTTTTAGGCGGCCGACGACGTGGCCTCTCAGGGGTTTGTTGTCCCGATCGTATTCGACGGTGTATGTCTAAAGCACACAGTCAGCGGGCACTAGACCGTGAAAACAACATGTGAACTCACCTCAATCGTCGCATCACCCTCCGCCTGCTCTAATACCTTCGGAACAAACACGTCCGTCACATATTTCGGCAACGGGGTCACATCTGGATAAGGCAGCCCATCGCTCCGCGGAGACCTGGAAAGGCAAAGGACATGCTGGTATGTCACCCAGCCACCGTTGGCGAGTACCAAGCCAGTCTTGCCCTTTCCTTGTCGGAGCTGGCGGGTCATTTCTGTGATGGCCTGGTCATTGTTAGCTATTGATGGCCTGAATAAATGGTCGAATTGTGCAGCATACATGTAATGAATAGTTATTCCCAGCACCGCCGAAGGAAGTCAGGCCGCCTAGTAGTGTGATTGCTTTCCGTTGCCCGGTAATTGGGAGGCCGAGATGTTCACAGGCTAGTTTTGGGACGATAGGGAAACATCTATAAGCAATGAGCATCCAGCCGGCAATATCAACAAAGACTCGCTCTTACGAGTAAAAGTCGTATAGATCAATCTCCTCCTTGTCGATCGACGAAACATCCAAAGCGGCGTCGAGAGATCGAGATATGCTGGGACTCCACCAATATGCCGGTCTTTGCCAGACTAGAAGTATCACGATGTTAGCAAGGGGCAAATACGAACCAAGGGGATGTCCTTACATTCATTGCTGTCCGAAGTTCCGGCGCCTCCCAAGGGGTAGATGAACTTGTCTGGTGAAACACCAAGTTCTCGTGCGTGCTCTGTCGATGTGAGGATACAAGCTGCGGCCAAATTGACACTTCGCAATTGTTAGTACTTAGTCAACGCATGTATGTGACGGGATCCTTACGTGTTGAAAGCATTCATCAACAACGGATCTGCAATGACCCCAATCAGCTCTTCACCATTCAATAACGGCGGCACGAAACTTACAAGGAAAACAAATCATGCGGTTCTTCTTCGAAACCGTCCCAATACTCTCCTTCGTCTCTGCCTTCGCACCACCACCCCAAGCATACGCATTGCCTTCAGCGACTTTGGCGAATTCGGCGTACAGCTCTGCAGACTCGAGGTGGTTGTCTGCTATCGACTGGCCACGATAAGCACGGAAAGCATTCTCGTAGAGCGGGTAGAGTTGCACGGGGTTGCCAATGGAGTGTTTGGCGCCGAGACTAGGTTGGAGTTCTCGCGTAGTGGGCGAGAAGACAGATCGGACGTCTTCGTTTGGGGCAGTCCAGCCAGGTGGTGGGAGTTTCTTTGCGGCGGCGCAGGCGGTTACTAGAAGACGCAATTAGAACATAGAGTCCAGCTGGCGGTTGGAAGAAAGGCCTACAGCTCGCCAACGCCTCCCCACCCGTGACAACCGCTACCTCACACTCTCCCGCCGAGATCCTCCTCGCAGCCTCATCGACCAACTTCGCCGGCTGATTGCCGCCATGCTCACTGTACTCGCAATGCACCGGCTTGAATGCCAGTCTCTCTGCAATCAGATTTGGATAATCGCAGGGCCATGTCCAGGATTTTACGACGTCGATGCTGTCGATAGAGGATTGGAGCGTTGAGAGGGTGGATGGTGGAAGGCCGGTGTCTTTGATAGCTTCTTGGATGGAGAGGATCATTAGCTGGAGGGGCTCAATGGCGTCTGAGAGGGACTTGGAGCGGTTGACGATGTCGCCGACGCCGATTATGACGGGTGTTCTTCTTGAGGAGCGGGACATGCTGGATTCTTGCTGTTGTGGTATGGATGGATGCTCCGAGTCAGGTCTCACAACGGGAGGCGAAGTTGTCTCTCTCGACAGAAATACGAGATGCGGCGCGTGAGAATTATGTTACTGCGTGTTACATACTACTTTGGAGCGAGGTTCGCTGACACGCAGGTGGAGACGTGAAGTTGAAGCTGTGCCTCGGGCCGATCAAGTTCCGTGGGGATCATTCACTTCACCCTCTGACTGCGGAAACCCCCTGACCTTCTTACAAACACCGCCTGTATGCCAAACATGCCAAATACAAGAAAATGGGATGGACGATAAATTCCCTTATCTGCCTTTCTTACAAGTAACGATGTGCCGATTTGTTGAGAAGGTCAGAAGAGAGGAATTAGTACATTGAGAGCTTGAGTGGTCGAGAGATCCATGTTCGAGCAAGGAACGTCCAATGTTTCTTTGAGAGTCAAGATAAGGGCCTTCCCAATGGCCCGTCGGCCACTCATGGAGACGATGGGATGATAGAGATATAAAACTATGAATGCCACGGACTTGCCCTGATTCTGGATGCTCTTCGGCTTTCACTCCCATTCAAAACTCTCCAGGCTCACAAGATGCATTTCAACATGTCTCCTCAGATATTCCGTCATGCTAGCCACAACATCAAGCTATCGGTAGCACCTAAACGTTCCTACGCAAAGGTCGTCAATGCACCCGCTGCACAAAAGCTCAAGGTCAACGCGGACCGGCTTTGGTATGTTTTACTCCGCGCCTTCAGTCAATGCCTAACAAAGCCAGGGATGACCTTCATTCAACTGCCAAATGGTCTGAGCCTAACGCGACGACTGAAGCCGGCGGTCTGTCGAGACTCAGTGGCACCACTTGGGACAAGATGGCCGGGATTGGTTCAAGGACCAAGTTCAGTCTCTTGGTGCAAAGACGTACACCGTCAATAAAACTGGCTCGCAGTTTGCTACCTTCGACGGTAGGTGACAATCTTGGAGTATCATCGAATGCTTCTTGCTGACTCCATTACTCCTTTCGGGTAGGCGAAAACAGCGGCCTCCCTCCAATTGCAATGGGCTCCTACCTCGATTCAGTCGCCACTGGCGGCAAGTTTGACGGGCCTTTGGGAGTTATCGGTGCGCTAGAGGCCTTCAAGAGTATGAAAGAGCATGGCATCAAAACGTATGCCCCCATTGCATTGATTAATTGGACCAATGAAGAGGGAGCTCGGTTCTTTCCCCCACTTGGGTCGTCAGTTGTCTATGCTGGCGAGAAGGTGAGTAAATTGCGGTGAAGCTTTGTAAGCTGTTGCTCACCAACTTACAGGACGTCTCTGCAGCCTTCCAGAGCAAAGCCAACGACGGCAGCGGAGAGACGACGGGAGCCGCCCTCGAATCCATTGGATATGTTGGCGACGGCCCAAACACCTTTCAAGAGTGGCCTATCTCCGCTCACTTCGAAATCCATGTCGAGCAACAGAGAAGGCTCGAAGAGGCGGGTAAGTCAGTCGGCTGGGTAGAGGGTTGGCAAGGCATCGACTATTATGAGATGACATTCACCGGCGTCGATGGCCACGCCAACACATACGATATGCGCGGAAGGCGTGACAGCCTCATCGGCGCCTCAAATGTCATGCTCGACTTGCAACACCTTGCTCTCGCCCACGGCGGCATCACGACTGTGACAAATATCCAATCCGGACCGATCGGTGCATGCAACATCCAGTCCTGGACGAAAGTGGTCTTTTGCGTCGCAAATGTGTCGAACGAAAGACTAGCAGCCATGGGCCAGGAGATCCTCGCTCGTGCAGAAGCTGAAGCCAAGCAGTCAGGCTTGGGTTACTCAGTTGAAAACGTCATCGATTTCCCGGCAGGCAAGTTCTGGCCGGAAGCTGTGGATTGCGTTCGCAGGGCTTGTGGAGATCGTGGCATCGGAGCTGATACGTGGACGGTGCATGATAGGTAGGGCTTGCTCATATCGTCGGTGATGGTCTATACTGATCATTTTAGTTCCATGACAACTCGCCTGTGTCCGACCGCGATGGTCTTTGCGAGGGCGAAGGATGGTGTCAGTCACAACCCAAAAGAGTGGACCAGCAAGGAGGATTGTGCTGAGAGTGCTCTCGTCTTGGGTAGAGCAGTCCTGAACTACGATCAACTCTTGCGCGAGAAGAGTGCTTGAGGCACATGATATATGACTAACCAATATGTTGCGATGAATCGTGTAAGCGAATGTAATGTACAATTGCTCGTGGTACTTCCTAATGCGGTAGATCGCTGTCTCGGATTCGGATATCGGGTGAATTTGCTGATCCTTCAGAAGACACTGTCATATCGCGGTCGCCTATTGGGTTGGATGCGACGCTACAGCTAAGTCAGCATCGGTCTCTCGCTCGCTATCGATGTTGTACTGCCGCTGTGTCGCTGTTAGACGGAGATTGAATCGGCCTTATATCGTTATAGTGACGATGCTCTGGCCATGGCCTGTAATGGAGTGCAAAGGCCATAGTATCTCCGCGGCCGCTGTTGTATAAGAAGGCCAATGGTCTTGAAAGAGCTGATAATCCGTTCTTGAACGAACAGGTCATCTTGCAGACACCTCACCCCTCTCTTTCAGCATGTCGAAAACTCTCGTCCTCATCACCGGCGGCAACAATGGCCTAGGTTATTTTGCGTGCCAGCAAATGGCAGCAACAGGAAGATACCACATCCTGATGGGAAGTAGAAATCTGGACAAAGCCCAAAAAGCAATCGAGTCCCTCGCGAAGGACACATCTGTTTCAGTCGACACCAAGAATATTGAGCCCATCAAAATCGACATCACCTCAGACGAATCGATCTACGCTGCCGCAAAGACAGTCCAGGAAAAGTATGGGTATCTCGACATACTCATGGCGAACGCTGGCATTGTCGCCAAACAGAAAGAAGACTCAGACAGTCCCTCCCTGCGAACATTGTATCAGCAGCAATACGACACGAACGTCTTCGGCACCGCAATCACCGCAGAAGCCTTTCTGCCTCTTCTGCGAAAGTCCAAAGATCCCAAGGGCAAACGGATAGCCTTCACCTCCTCTGGCCTCTCATCGCTCAAAATCGCTCGGGAATCTGAAGGTCAATACAGCGCTAAGAATTTTGTCATCTATCGAAGCACCAAGACCGCATTGAACATGGTTATGCTCAGCTATGCGAAGCTGCTGGATGAGGAAGGCTTTGTGGTTTCGGCGTCTGATCCAGGGTATTGTGCCACCGATTTCAACGGACACAGAGGGATCAAGGATCCTCGAGAGGGGGCAAAAGCGTTGATCAGAGCGGCGACTGACTCGAAGGAGAAGGTGCACGGGTGGTTGGTGACTGAAGATGAGATACTGCCTTGGTAGCTTGAACGCCAAAAGTCTTTATGCATGGGCCAAGAGCCATCCACCGTCGATGACGAGAGTCGACCCTGTGACATATCTGTAGCCAAGTGTCAGTATCGGGAATTCCAGAATGTTCAAGCAATGCATACCCATTAGTTGCAAAATTCAGCAGCGCTTGTGCATAATCTTTGGGAGTTCCAGCCCGCCCAAAAGGCACGCCCCACTTCTCTCTGAAGTACTGCTTCTCTTTCCCGAGATGCTCATTCACGGGCGTCATCTCCGAGGGGAAGTAGCCTGGTGCCAGCGTGTTAACACGAATTTCAAGATCCGGTCTCTTGAAGTCCACGGCTAGTTGTTCTGTCAATGAGATCGTGGCGGCTTTCGATGCATTGTAGGAGAATTGGCCGTTCTGACTCTCCTTGGTGATGCCGGATATCGAAGAGATGTTCAGGATAGATCCAGCCTCAGTATAGCCTTGCTCTCTCGCAGCGACCAGTAAAGGCAGGAATGCAGCCGATGTGAAATAGTAGCTGGCGACATTAATCTTGTAGATCGAGGTCCAGTCATCGAAATCCTGACTGTTCAACATCGTCTCGCTGATGTCCTTGACACTGCCCTTCGGAGCGCCATCAGGGCCGTAGTTCACGCTTGTCACGCCAGCGTTATTGACGAGTAGATTGACCCATTTCTCCTTTTGCGAGATGAGTTTGACGCCTTCCCGGATGCTCCGCTTGTCCGTGCAGTCCATCTGAATTCCGATTATAGATCCGCCGCTCGCAGAGTCGCTCAACTCTGCATCCTTGAGCTTCTCGAGTCGTCTGCCTGTAACGTAGACCTTGGCTCCATTCGCTGCAAGTGCTCGTGCTGTCATAAGGCCGAGGCCAGTACCGCCTCCAGTGACAACCGTGACCCAGCCCTTAATGTTGAAGAGCGATGCCGCCGTGAGCGCGCTGAGGGCCGACATTTTCTCGCGCAGAATGGTATCTTGCTGATGGAATGTAGAATAGTCAAAGGACAACTTTTATACCACTCACTCAACACAGGCTAACGCCGGATAAATTCCCTGCTTCCATTGCCGGCATTTGAAGGTGACCCTTGCCATTCCTTCTGCCTGGCAGAATTACGCCGATTGGCTGATTGCGAATGTCGCATGCTATGCAGGGCGACTGTCGACCTTTGGAACACCGATTCTTCCTTTCCAAGATGTGTTACTGTTCTGTTCCTCTGGTGTCGTTGTTCTTTGGAGTTCGAGAAGGGGAGAAGGAGGGAACTGGGAGCAGAAATTAGGCTTTATCAACGTCCAGGCCCCCGCAAAAGTCATGGCACGATCCTGGTGAGTGAATGTAGAACAATCTCGCATAGCTTGGAAGCAAGGGCTATACTCGTTCTCCTTGAACCAGTCAAACCGCCGTTCACTACACAACACTTCTGGTCTTTTCAATCCACTTCCTGGGTTGTTCGTTCGCCCAGTCCTCCAGACCTGGCCCAAGACTTTTGGCTAAGTCCAAAATCGGCTACTTGCCAGCCACCTACTTTTAGACGCCCCTCGAATTTCCCACCTTCCATCTCGACAACAGTCAAGTCCCCAAGATGGATGCTTCAGTGCCTCCGATCATCCGAGGGAAGTTCCTCTACAGGGATATCCTGCTCGTCGACTGCGGCGGAGATTTGAAGCGACACGCTCGAGCGCCAGAATCCGAGGTCAAGCGCCTCCTGAATGGCAAAGACGTGAAGGATCAGGTAGGCCACTGGTATGAAGCACAGCTCATCCACTATGGACTGCAGCGGTCGAAAGACAAGAACACTGCCAAAGTGCGACTGCAGCAGGCTCTCAATCAAGGCAAGCTCAAGTCGCAGCCTCCGCATTTGGGGGATATGGAGGGACGGATGAAGGTAAGGTCGAGTCTTGTATTTTAAAAGTAAAGAGACTATATCAGACCGCTAATATTGATGTCGCGATGTAGAAAGAGTACGCTGCCGCCGTTCGCAAAGCCAAGAAGGGTGATTCGAGCAAAGGCACCAAGCGCAGCCGAGACGAGGAAGAATCATCAGCTCAAAGCTCTAAGAAGACAAAAATTTCTGTTACTGTCGATGGCATAGCAATCAGCATCGATCGCTCAGATGAGTCGAAGGCAAAGTCTACGAAGAAAACTACATCAAAGGAAACCATTTCACAGGCTCCCACTCCAAAGGCGACTACTCCAAAGGCGATCAGTGCAAAGACGACCGCCGCAAAGGCGAACACACCAAAGGCGACTGCTTCAAAAGCAACAGCGGCCAAGGAACCCAGGGTCGCGCCAAAGAAGAGCAAAGCCGAGCAAACCTCATCGACTCCCAAGAACGCCAAGCCCCCAGCACCAAAGAAGAAAGCAACCGCAGAACTTGCAAACAACCCAAGAGATCACCCCGACAACGTCTTCCAGAGATCAGGCTCATTCAGTGGAGCTATTATCTCGCGTGAGACGCCGAAAGCACGAACGAAGCAGACGGCCAGAAAGTCCGCACCTGCACTCGGATTCAGAGACGCGTGGGAGGAACCCAGCGACAATGACTACGATGAGGACGAAGACGAAGGCTGCATGGATGGACGAGAAAGACAGACGGCCAGGAAGTCGGCGCCTATGCTCGGGTTCAGAGCCCAATCTTCTGTGAAGAACGAGCCAGGCACCCAGCGCCAGCCCTCGGTCAAAGACGAGCCGTCCAACGACGACGACATGGACACCCGCCCCGACATCACCCAATCCCAACTCAACATAACCGGCGTCTACAACATCTCCTGCCCCTACCTCGAAGCTCAATCACCCGAAGACGCAGATAAACTTCGTATGTTCATCTGCGTCGACAACGAGGCCGGCCTGATCTGGGGCGGTTTCGAGCTGGCATGGAAGACTGGCATCATCAAGATCGACGATATCGCCACCAACCACAATCTGCCGTTCGGCTGGCGGGCGAAAGACTACGAGAAGAGCGGAAGTCTGCGATTTGGGAAGGGTTGCTTTGGCGAGATCATGTTCTGGGGAACGAGTACCGGCAATACGCAGGTTCGTGGTGTCTTCCGCAATCTCTTCCCCGATCCGGTGGAGTTTGAGGGTGTCAGACGGCCTGGTCCTTTGTGGTGTGGGCGGAGCAGCTATAAGTTCAAGCAGGAGTGGGAAGAGTACCCAAAGGAGGCTTATGGACGATGAATGAGTGTCATTTGAAGTACTGCCAAAGAGAGGAACGGTGACTACGGTTTGGAAAGCTCGTCAAAGTTGAACTTTTCTGAGGTCGCGAACTGCACAGCCTCGTCACCAAAAGCTCTTGGATAGCAAACGCACTTGGCGTGAGCAAATACTCTAACAACCACCAACAAGAGTCCGCCGCAAGCTCACGAAGGACATAAGTCATTATTATTGTCCCTCTAATAAAGCGCCATCACGACGAGTCAACCCGATGAAGATCGCCCACGCTACCCCATGGTCACAACGTCCGCCACAACCCCTTTCCAGACAACGCAAACCTTCTACACACACGACCACAAAGTCTAGAGTCACGAAACATCACGCTTGCAGACCACGGAGATGACGCTTCACTTCAGACTTCGACCATGGCGGCTGCAAGATGAGCGGATCTGGCAAGTGTGGCAGTTTTTAGATATGTCACGCGAGTCGTCAGGTACCGAGTTACTGACGATCTTGGAGTAGGGAGATGGGTTTATAGAAGGCGTTCGCGCCTCGACTGGAAGAGACATTGTCATCTTCTGATCTCTTTCTTCGTTGTTGACTTCGATCCTGCGTCTTTTCGCCAACTACGTACACTCCTTCAACCAAACCCAAAAATGAAGTTCTCCATCACCCTCCTCACCCTCCCCCTAACGGCAACCGCCCTCTTCACCCGCACTCAATCCCAAAAGTACAAATGCATGACGCTAGACAAATGGGAGCAAACCAACGAAGCCTGCGCCCTCAACTGCGAGAACTACGCCCTCCTATCCGACGGCTGCAAGAAAGATGATTTCTACTGCCACTGCCAACGGACGCAGAAAATAGACGATTTACGCATTTCGATCTCCTGGTGGTGGTTGTGTCGGTGTGTGGATGCTGATGGTGTTGGCTGTAGGTCATGGTGCCGTGTATGTTGACGCCCGGGGGCGTCAATGCGACTTGTAGCGATGAGCAGCTCGGGTGGTTCCAGGGGAATGTCACGGCTGTTTGCGAGTATTTTAATGCAACAGTGTATGCGGCTTATGCGAGTTGTCCGCAGTTGGTGGTTTGATTGATTTGTTGAGGGGACTTGCTTGGTTTGGTGGTGGTAATGGTGTGGACGTGGTCAGATCCTTTTTATCTGATGTCGTGCCAGGAGCGTACTTTCGTGCGAGGGTATCTGATAATGATTCCAGTCCAGCACAATGGTCCGTCGTTGATGATCTTGGCCTCTTCTCTTTTCTCAAAGACCTGCTTGCCGTCATCCACACCGTACAAAGGTGCATAATCTGGAGACATCCCGACCGCAACTCAGACTCACCAGTCCCGCAACCCTGTTAATCGAACCAGACAGACAAAATCGCTCCACCACCCCTATCCCCACAACCTCAACCCCCCATCCCCAACCCCCCATTCAACCCCTCCCCATCAACCCCCAACCCAAAAATCGTCGCCTCCCTAACCCCCATCCACCGCCCCTCCCCATCCCGCCGAAACTCAAAAACAGCCACATGCTTCCTCGCCAAAACCCGCCCAGGAACGCCAGGCCCGCCACTCTCCTGCGCATTCACAAACACCGTGCCCACGCCATTCCCCCAGTCGACCTCGGTCGTGCAGCTGAAGATCTCGAGGCGGTAGTCCGGGAAGCCCGCGGTGACGGTCTTGAAGCCCGCGAGGAGGTCCGCTTTGGTGTGTGTGGAGGGGCGGGAGCCCGTGTCGTGGGTGACTTCGAAGGAGGGCGAGATGGAGTCCCAGGAGGGGAGGGAGGGGGTGTTTTCGAAGGTGCGGTTGTTGATGGAGGTGGTGCAGTTGCGGACGATGGATTCGAGGTGGCGGGCTATTGCTCCGCGGTTTTGGTCTTTGTTTTGCTGGGTCGTGGAGTCCATCTGAGCTGAGGTTGGGGCATGGTAGTTTTCTGTGAGGATCGTGGGAAGTGTTCGTCTTTCTTTGAAAAGGTGTGTCAGAACAGCGGGACAGCTGCCCGCCAAATATCTGAAGCTTGTGACGGTGGGCTCTAGGCCTTCTCCTAAGCTCGTTAGCAGGTGTAGGGCTGAAAGGACTTGCAGGTGATTTCTTGCCGAGAGGGAGCTCTCGGAGCTCAGAAGTCTTCTCGTACTTGTTCTGACGTACCTTACGATGGCTTGCGTCTCTGGTAATGTTCTTTCATACTATATACATATATCTATCCTCTGAAAAACCATCCTTCTCCCCCTCAACTCGATGGAGTAAACGCACTCTGCACACTGCCATACCCTTGCGGACACTTCTTTCCCAGCGCCACACTCCCAGATCGAATATAACAGATCTGCGCTTCGGCACAAGCACTATTGGTACAGTTCGGGCTCTTCACGCTACTCTTCCCCTGCAACTGCGTGAATTTGGAAACAAGGCTGTGGTCCTTCTCCATCGCCTCGGTGACAGCATGCCAGAACGTCGCATTCAAAGGCGCATCCTGAGGCCAGCCGGCTGCTGGACCGTAAGTGTCGCGAGTGGAGTACTCGAATTCGAAGACTGGGCCGTGGGTGGTTAGGTTGGAGAAGGAGTTGACGTCGGCGTACCAGGTGTAGGCTTCGTAGATGTCAAAAGTGCCAGTGTCGACCTCGTACATGCGGAAACCAGAGTTCAGGTTGGTGAGAGGTGTCACTGATGGGCCGATCCAGCCAGGGGTCAGCGCTGTGTTGAGGGATTGGTTTGTTCCCTGTGGCGAAGTCAGCATTTATTCCTCACGATTGATCTCGTCAATACTGACGTTGTTAGCGTAATAGATCATCATCTGATCCTCATGCGTGTGCCCAAAGAACACATTCGCGATGACATGCGGCGAATATCGATCGATGATCTGATAGAACAGGTTCGTAGGGTTTGGGATCGGGTTGCTTCCATCTCGTCCAGAAAGAACATGGGCGAACAGCCAGACACGCTCGCCGGCATCTTCAGCAGCCTGCAATTCATCGATCACAAACTTGAACACGCCGCTGTTGTCCGGATTGGTGGTGTTGATGAAGTTCAGGAAGTTGGAGCGGTACCAGAAATCGCTGTTGAACGTGATCATGCGTAGGCCGTAGTGATTCTTGATGCTGTAAGCGCCGTAGTGGGTTCTCGCCTGCTTCTCTGCTGCTTCGTCAAGCCATCCTTCGTGTCTCCAGAGCGCAGACACATGGTCATAGTTCCAGCTCTGCTGCTGTCCAAGTGGGCCTGGAAGAGAATGTGGAGAATCGATGGCCTCTGGATTCGTGTCGTGGTTTCCCAGAACCGGGAAAACAGGTCCAGTCAGGTACTTCTTGAACATATAATTGTAGATGGACACCTCAGCGTACTCGGTATAAGCCCGGCTAAGTTCAGTCTGCGGGTCATGAGAAACCAGATCGCCAGTATAGACTGTCCATGCCAAGGGGTTCTCTTTCGACGTGCCAGTCAGTGGACCCACGGCTTGGAGGGCAGCCAAACCAAGATCATACGGTGTATCACATTCGAAGTATCCAAAAGCAGGAGCTGGATAGCTGATTGAGCCATTAGGAAGATTCGAGTTCTCGACATTGCTACGACAGCACAGGCCAGATGTGCAGTTACCCTCAGAGCCGACCTTGTAGCGAGGATCGACGTGGAAATCACTCATGTGCAGCACTTTCACATGCTTTCCACTCGGCTTGTGAACCTTGGGATTCTTCGGCTTCGGTTTCGGGAAGAGACCTGTGGTGTTCAGTGGCGAGGTCGTAGGCGCCGGACAGAACGTAGAGGAGATCGAGTTGCAGATGTACTGGCCATCCAGACCGGAAACGTCTGCCAAAGCCAGAATCTGAGTCCAGATAGTGCCGAAAGTATCGACCGCAAAGTCTTGCTCACAGGTACTGGCCGAATGCAACTTGGTCTCATTGCAGAGGCTCACCATCGCAGCTGGTACGAGCGTGGGAGCGAATTGAGCTGCAGGCTTTGCCACGGAAAGCGCTGCAATGCATTTCGAGCAATTGGTTGGCAGATATGGGCTGTGAATGATCTCCTTGACGCGATTGACAACATCAGAAATGACCCATTCTTGCTGACGTCTCGTGAGATTCGCAACTGGCTTGGGGAAGTAGACAGGATCCGGATCATGGTCTGGAATCGTGTCCGGGTTCGTCAAGTTGTGCGGGACTTCACCAGAATCAGCTCGTCTCCCTCATCAACCCTCATCTCATTGCCCAGCCTTACACGTAAAGTTCAGCACCGGGTCAACCAGAGCAGGCTGCGGCTCCTGTCCACTCGGAACTGGGTAATATGACGGAAACGCAGCAGTGGGAAACCCGGAGGGCGCAACGAAAGACGTAGCGCCAGGCACGGTAGCCTTGAATGGCACACTCCCATAGCCTGACTGCGCATCGCCAAACTGCACCAGCAGCGGCGCGACAGCCATAACTCGGACAAGACACGCGAAAGCCATGGCAGCGACGAACAAGACGAGAAGCACAGCAGAAGCAACGGCTTGGCGGGGCCCGGCCATGGCGCGGCGGCCATCTTGGGTCTTTTATCTGCAGCAGCAACAACGTGGCTCGGCTGCAACGGCGGGCACTTGGTTTTGCGTCGTCATTGTTGTTCCTGGCGAGCTCCACGCTGGATCACTTTCTCCCTCCTTTCATGATGAAGAGGCGTTCAATGGCATATATATCGACCAATAGATCCATCAAGGTGATGCACGTGAGATGCTGTCCGAAAGAGGTGCATTAAGTGGGATTGGAATCCAGCTAAATCGCTGAGAGAGGATCGTTTTCGTACGAGCTGTTGATGTGACAGAAGTCGCGGCTGACCTGTACGACTTCACGCCGATTTCACGAGGATACAGTAGGTCAGATGTACGACTCACAAGACCAGACGACGCCAATTCACACGAACCTCATGAATCAATGATTAGTACCCAGAGCTCTACACGCCATAGTCAAGAATGGCCTCCAAAAAATCCCTCCAACCATACATCTCCCTCCCTCTCCCCAAGTCCCTCAAAGACGCATCGAAACCTCAAACAAAAGAAGAACGCCTCCGAACGATCCTATCGAATCTAGAAGCACATCACAACACAGTTCGGTAAGCCATGCGTTTCTCTACTCATCCACCTTAAAACTCCAAAAGACTGACTCGATATCCAACGCAGTAACCGGCTCATCGCCCAAGCGAAGGCGAAGCATATGGCTCTGGAAGAACAGCGAGAACAAGAAGACCTCCAACCCTCCACAAAATCGCCCACACAAGAACCACAACACCCCTCCATCCCCTCGAACCAACAATCCCTCGACCACCTCTACCAAACCCTCTCAACCCCCTACACCCCGGGCACAGGCGACCTCTCAACCTCCACAACCAATCCCCTCCCCCAACCATCACCTTCACTCCGCCAAGCCACCCCACCGCCCGAAATAGCCATCGCAAAGGAAACACTGGATCAGATTGAGCTTTACGAACAGCACGCACGGCCGACAAGGGAGTATTACGAAAGGGCTTTGAGGAGGTTGAGGGAGGGGAGGAGGGAGTCTGTTGGTGGTGCTGGGGGCGAGAGGCCTGGTGGGCCGGTGAGGACGGCCTCGGCGGGGAGTGGACGGTCGAATGTTGCGAGTCCGGGGGATGGGAAGGGGGTGGGGATGGGGAGGAGATAAGAGGAACTGAAGTGGGAAAGGATCGGTTGCCATTTCGATTCGTCAAGACTTCATCATGCCGTCCGCGGAGTTTCAACGCCATCGCTAAAAGAAACGATTCCGACCAAACGAACACACCGCCATCGACGACCACGCCACCTTCAATCTTCAAGGAAACTACCCATAAGCATCCGGTCCAGGCCCCCCATCCGGCCCACCTTCATTCGCCATACTCAACCTCGCACAGAGACTCAGAAACACCACCGTCTCCGTCGCGGCCAGGAAGTTGAGCGCGTCGAGCAGAATTTTTAGATGTCGGCTGAAATGGTCTTCGTATTGGTGCAGGATGGAGAAGAGCTTGTCGAGCTTGGCAGGGTCGTAGCCGGGTTTGTTGGAGGTGGAGCCTTGCGAGGAGGCCAGGTCGGGGTCGGCGGACGCGAGGTAGCGGGATAAGGAGGAGGTGTAGTTGGCAAACATGGTGCATGTCGACATGACCTTGGAGTTGATCTAGAGGGGATTTGTTAGTGTGCATGGATCACATGGTGGTGTGCCAAGACTCACCCTCAAGAGTTTCGAATTGGTCAACATGCACTCTTTCAGACATGTGGCCAAGAAGTCGACGTGATCCTGCATCAGCTCATCAACGGTCCTCTTCATCTTCGAATCGCCATCCGCCTCTTCTTCATCCCCAGCATGCGACAATCTCGACATGAAGGCCAGCCAATTCGGTTCGATGACCTCGCTGGTGCAATAGTATAAAAGCTGCTGCACGAAACAAAGCATTCGACTCCTCAAACACCACGCGCGTCGTTTCCAGTTCTCGATCTTTCTGGCGACTGCAGCATCTCCCTTGGTCTTGTTGTTCCAAGCCCTGGCTTTGATGTGTTCCGTCCATGAACCAGTGAGCATCGTCTCAAGATGTCGAAGGCTCAGGAGATAACGAAACAAGAGCTGATACCGTGTCAAAGTCACCCGACTGACGACCAGCGAAAGCGGAAACGGCACAGCATAGTCAAGCGTCAAGCCTTCGTAACCACTGATCTCCTTCCCATTCTTGTCGCTCCCACCCGCGGCTGGCGTGTACGATGATAATGAAGTCGCATCAGCGTCCATGCCTTGGACATTAACCACACGCATGAGCCATCCAGTGAGACCGACATCGTTCATAACGACCTTGACATCCTCTTTGAACGTATCTTCCGCTGCTACCGATCCGGGATGCCGTATGACAATATCCAGCAGACTCTGCAGCTTTCCCACGTTGATGCTCTTCGCAGGCTTTTTGAGCTCGAGGCGGGTAAGCTCCAGGAAGTAGGAGAAGAAGTCGCTGCGGTCCAGAAGGAAGTAGTGCTTCAAACTCCGTAGTCGGGCGGGTAGGTTGTGAGTCGTAAGAAGGAGAGTCATGAGACTTCGATTCGCAAAGGCGTAGGCTCCACTGACATTTTCGACAAACCGAGGATCATCAAAGGTGTGCGGGATATCAGTGCTGGCGTCCAAGTCTCGGCTCACGTTCTCTATTCCACCACACTCGCGAACGACATTCAAATACTTCCCAGCTAGCAGTACTTTATCTTTCAGGGACTCCAACTGTGGCGGAACAAGTTCTTGTCGAATCGTGTATCGCTTCTCCCAGTACTCGTCCGTGTAGTCTTGTTCGAGGCCTTCACGGCGAATAGATTTCTGCTCCTTGATCAGAAACTCCTGGTGTGGGTCTCGCACGTTTCCATGATGCAGCCACTCATTCAACATGGCCATGTACGGACGGCTGGCTTCTCGTAGTAGAAGGGTTAGTAGCTGCCGGGCAGCTGGATCACCAGCCATCGACTGCAACCGTCTGGTGAGAAGGCGAAGAACGGCGCCACCTTTGCAAACTTTCTTTCCGGGCATTGCAGTATCTTTACCCTCTTTCAACGATTCGAGGATGTTCTCAAAATCGTCCGAGTCATCTGCTCCATCCTCGTTGTCCAGCATGCTGTTCTCCTTCAATACCTCGTGAGCCACACCATATAGCTGCTGCATCATATGCGAGGTGGCTTTCGTATGCAGGCCAAGTTGATGCAGGGTAAAGTCCTCCTTGGTAAGCATCTGGTGTTCGAGTTGCGCAATCAGGATCATGTAGTCCTTGAGCATCTTCCTCATAGCTGCGCACAACGCATGATTCACAGTGCCCATCTCTTCCCGGCTTTGCACCTCCACAAAAGCTTCCACCGCACAGTAATGTGTCGCCGTCTTGAGCATGCCATGCGCAAGATCTCGCAAGCTCGGATCCAGTCCGGTCTGTATCCAGAACTGCGGTCCAGCAAGCTTGCTCTTCTCGTCTAGCGGATCGTATGCTTCGACGTATCGAATGTATTGGCCCTCGAAGCCCATGAGAACGAACAAAACATCCTCAATAAGCGCCTTCTCTTGTGCTTGTAAGGATAGCGAGTCCAACCTCGGTGGTTGTATGCTCAACGGCGCCTTTGCAGCTATAGGTGGAACGGATATTCGTGAGGCTAAAGGTGCAGACGAGGGCGCGAGCAAACTAGCATGAGGACTCCATGAAGCGGCTACTAACGATCAGCCAGTGCACTCTTACTGAACACAACAGCACACACGCACAGGTCACATACCCGGTCCATCATCCTGTTCCGACCTTGCTACCGACTTCTCCTTCGGTAACGGTCTTTCCACATCCTCACTTCTCCGTCCATTGGCACGGTCCGGTTGTTGTTTTGTAGGTGAGAAGGTGCGCCTTATTAGTGCTTCACGTGTGATCGTGTCTCGCTTGGTCGTCTCGGTTGTAGTCGATTTGACGCGGTTGTGGAAGGTCGATCTCGAGTCTGTTCGGTTGTTGTCTTCGACAGCGGAAGTGGGCCGGCTCTTTTGCTGTCGCTGTTGCGCGGAGGCTCGTCGATCGCTGATGCTAGCCCTCGAGGGCGGTTGTGAGGCCATTTCCTGTTCCAATCATCGCTATCGCCGGGGGTTCATTGAAATTGACGGTGATATTGAAGTCGACTCGTTGATCGCGGGGTGTTTCTGAGCGACGCGCCGTTTGAAACACGTCGGAGAGAGTCCGTGCACGGCATCACAGGCATCTCAAGCTGCGTACACCTTCACCTGCCAGACATCCATCACTCGGTTCAACTTCTCCACCAAGCTCCAAACGACTCACTCATACATCGCCAAATCGAACGAGGACTCCTCCAGCAGACACACATTAGCTCTCAGCCAAGATGTTCATCGCGCGGTCAGAATATGGTAAGATCCCCCAACTCAAGATCACAGACATGAGCTATAGCTAATTGCATACAGATCGCGGCATCAAGTACGCTCACACACGCATCACTTCAATGCTGCCTACTAATATTCATATAGCACCTTCTCGCCCGAAGGCCGCCTCTTCCAAGTCGAATACTCCCTCGAAGCCATCAAGCTAGGCTCAACCGCAATCGGCATCTCGACCTCAGAAGGTGTCATCCTGGGCGTCGAGAAGCGCATCACCTCCTCCCTCCTCGAAACCTCCTCCGTCGAGAAGATCGTCGAGATTGACAGACACATCGGATGCGCCATGTCCGGTCTGCAAGCCGACGCCCGCAGCATGATCGAGCACGCGCGAGTAACGAGCCAGAATCACGAGTTCCACTACAACGAGCGGTTAGGCGTGGAGAGTTGCACACAGGCTATCTGCGATCTCGCGCTGCGGTTCGGCGAGGGTGCGGATGGTGAGGAGAGTATCATGAGTCGGCCGTTTGGTGTTGCGCTGTTGATTGCGGGATACGATGAGGAGGGTCCATCACTGTAAGAGCTATGTTTGATGTGAGATGAAAACAAGAGCTAATGGATATGCCAGCTACCACGCAGAGCCATCAGGCACATTCTACCGATACGACGCCAAGGCTATTGGATCGGGCTCAGAGGGTGCACAGGCCGAGCTGCAAAACGAGTTCCACAAGTCTCTGACATTGCCAGAGGCTGAGGTGCTGGTGCTCAAGACGCTGAAGCAGGTCATGGAAGAGAAGCTGGATTCGAAGAACGTGCAGTTGGCAAGCGTGACCAAGGACAAGGGTTTCCGAATCTACACGGATGAGGAGATGGCTGGTGTTGTCGGCAGGCTGGAGGGCAACTGAGGATACGATTAGAACGGGCACAAAAGAAACGGAAAGAGGCATGTACGGTATCGATGAAGCATCGCGACGGCGCCCAGGCGTTTCCGCGTAATTCATGAGGCCTAAAGGCTGGCTTCAAGTTGACCAAGCAAGCACGCCCTCAAACGGTTACACTCTCAGCCACCGAACACCAAACCATTCTTGCCTCTACTAATAGGAAGGGTAACACAGCCAAAATGAAACAGACAATCAAGTTCGCTTGAAACGCTCGCTCTTGAACAAGTCTGCCCGACGACTGGAAACACCTTGGACCACTTTCAAGCAGCATAGTTGAAGCAATGTGGCTGTCTGACTCCACGCATCACAGCACCGACAAAGAGAGCCCTGCAATTCCAAGTACCTGCAGGCTCAAACGACATTCAATATGTTGTTGTAAAGATCTGCACCGCACATCAACACTAGCTCCCACATGCCACACTCCCCCAGCTCAAGCGGGTGACAGTCCACCTGCACTCCGCAACTTCCTGATTCGGTATATGTTACGGCCACCACCGTACTTCACGACGAGCAGACACGAGGGTAGCATACATCTGCGGTCGGTAGAAGAAGCAGCGGGAACCAGACGACCGATGAAGAGTTTCAAGCAGCCTTTACACTCGTGTGATTGAACCCCGAAAGCATCGGTGTTGGATTCCATCGGTGAGGTAAGGTACATGGAAGCAGCTACAGCAGCTCTGCCCCCAAACCCTCACCTCACCTCGCATGCGGAGAAGGGTCAGAGTCTACAAAACACATATATTCCACCCGTCATCCCCAACTCCCACACCAAACTGTCTCGCACACAACCCCAAACCTCACTCCCACATCTTCCCTATCAATCAATCCATCAAAACAAAAAATGACAACCGCCACATCCATCCTCACGTCCAAACCCACCCAAATCTCCATCGCCACCAACCCCTCCCACGACCTCCTCATCCAGCGCCAAGACGCCTCCTCAATCCCTGACCCCAAACCGGGCGAATGTCTCATCCACGTGCGCGCGACGGGGATCTGCGGGAGCGATGTGCATTTCTGGAAGGAAGGGCGGATCGGGGACTCGGTGATTCAAGGGGAGTGTGGACTGGGACATGAGAGTGCCGGCGTGGTGGTGGGGTTGGGGGAGGGGGTGGAGGGGTTCGAAGTTGGTGAGTGGCATCGAGACCTTCTGGGTTTAATCAGTAGACGGGGGTTAAAGGGGAATGTTCTCTCATTGACGTTGTTCTACAGGTGATCGAGTCGCCCTAGAATGCGGCATCCCCTGCTCCAAACCCACCTGCGAACCCTGCCGCACAGGCCGCTGTACGTATGCTCCAGGGCAGAATGCAGAAGACACCCTACAGAATTTCGTATCTGAGCCATTCGCTGACATCCTGTCGTTGGCTTTCAGACAACGCCTGCCCCTCCATAATCTTCTACTCCTCCCCGCCCATCAACGGCACCCTCCGCCGCTACCACGCCCACCCATCCGCCTGGCTGCACAAACTCCCCGCCACCATGACCTTCGAAGAAGGCGCGCTGCTCGAACCCCTCTCAGTCGCCTTAGCAGGGATCGAACGCTCCGGGCTCCGCTTGGGGGATCCGCTGGTAATCTGCGGCGCGGGCCCGATCGGGATGGTGAGTTTGCTGGCGGCGAATGCGGCGGGGGCGGCGCCGGTGGTGATTACGGATATTGATGAGAATCGGCTGGCGATGGCGAGGAGGTTGGTGCCGAGGGTGAGGACGGTGTTGGTGGAGAGGGGCGTGGAGAGTCAGGCCGTGGCGGGTAGGATTAAGAGGGCGTTGGGCCAGGAGGCGAAGTTGGTCATTGAGTGTACGGGCGTGGAGAGTAGTATCCATGCGGGGATTTATGTGAGTTTCGATATCGTCTACACACTCCCCTCGCCTCGTTGTCCTGTCCAAGCTGACGGTTCGTGTCTAGGCCTCCCGTTTCGGCGGCACAGTCTTCATCATCGGCGTCGGGAAGACATTCCAGGAAATTCCCTTCATGTACGCTTCCTTCCGGGAGATCGATATCAGATTCCAGTTTCGCTATCGCGAGACGTATCCCAAGGCCATTATGCTTGTCTCGGAGGGATTAATTGATTTGAAGCCTTTGGTGACGCATCGATTTACGCTGGAGCAGGCGCAGGAGGCTTTCGATGCGGCTTCGACGCCATCGGCGAAGGCGGTGAAGGTGCAGTTATTGGATGGTTGAGGGGAGGAGATTTCGAAGGCCGTGTGAACTGGGCATGCTCGTGCATTCTTCCTAGAAGTCGCCTGTCCGTAATCTCTCAGTCTTCACATTAAACCTCAGTCTTCAACCAATCCTCCCAGGTGGAGGCCTCTTCTTCAACCGATTCCTCGCCTTCTTCGCCTCCCTGCCCGCAATCTCAGTCGACTTGGACATATGCTCCGGGTCCTTCGCCACCAACACAAACTCCATATTCCTCTTCGCCCTGCCCAACAGCCTGCGAAGTAGTTTCTCTTTGATCGTCTCTGGTAGGTGGTTGACGGTGGCGGTGGAGGAACTTGATTCGGACATGCTGTTTTTGTGGTCGTCGGTGGTTGTGGTCATGCTGTGTCGTGTATGGTTGTATGCTCAAGTGTGGGTGTTTGTAAAGCCGAGTGAGCCATGAAGAAGTGTCTCTTCTCGCCAATGGTGAGGCACATGCATCGATCATAAGCACTCATAGTCACCATGCGCTTACTCGAATCACTTCACATGATCCTCAGCAAACCACGCCCTTACTCAAACACACATGCTCACACGCATCACCACCCTCCCCATCACCACCCCACTCACTCCTCATCCTCCTCATTAACCAAATCCGAAATCCTAATCTTACTCCTCACCCCGGGCATCTCATGCGGCGCCCACCTCTCAATCGCACCCACACTCTCCCTGAGCGTAAAATTCGGATTCGACTCATCGTCCTCCAACAACCTCTCCGTACCACTCCCCACCGCCATAATCCGATCACTCCACCGCATGAGCCTCTTAACCAGCTCCGGAAACTCCAGCGCCTTCATGCCGCCCCGCATCTCAATCATGCGCTTCTGCGCCGGCCGGTGCACGTGCGCGGACGCGTGCTTGTCGCCGTACATGTGCTCGTGCAGAGCGATGCGGCCGACGGCGAGGATGATGGCGTCGGAGCAGGCGCGGGAGGGCTCCGCGAGGGCGTCGTTGATAGCTTTGATGGCTTGCGCGCGCAGCCAGTACATGATCTCGGAGCGGACGGTGCCGAGTTTGATCATGTCGCCGGAGCCGAAGAGCAGGCGGACGTAGAAGAGGGCGGGCTCGGAGAGGGCGTTTTGCGTCATGAACCATTCCCATTTGACGCCTTGTTCGTCGGTGATTTTGAGGGCGGGCCAGCCGCGGGGGGCGTAGACCGTCATCACTGTGGGATGTCAGTATTTGAAACTCAATATCAAAATGATTTATGAGATGAGGTCGAAAGACATCAAGGTCATGGAAACCTAGAATGGAGCCTGATCTACCACCCATCCCAAAGCACTAATCTTCCCCAAACCAACGACATAAAACTTACTATGATGCAAAATATGATCAAACCAAGGCTGATACGGCACCGGATAACAATTAAACGGATCCGCCCTCCCCCTGTCAGGACTCGGCGCGGGCGAACTCGGCGGCGTGAGCATAGCCATATCGCCACCCCCCACAAACGCCATAGGCTTCTCGCTGCCATCCGCCATACGTTTCCGGCGCTCCGGCACGACATACTGCGTGCTGGAAACCGCTCCCAAGGGCGTGTTGGCGATGCGGCGTTTGGAGCGGCATTGTTTGCATTGGCACGGCGTGTCGGGGTGCACGAGGTGGACTTGTTCGACGGCGGCTTTGGTGGCGGGCACGCGGGACAGGGCGTCGTGGTAGAGGGCGAGGGAGGAACCGGCGCCGAGGCCGATGTAGGTGGGTTCCTTTGTGGGTGGGGGAGGAGGGGCGGGACGGGGTGGGCCTGCGATTGTAGAGGTTGTTGAAGTCGTTCGTTTCCTCTCGCTCGAAGATCCAGGTCCAGCAGTGAATGTCGTCGTAGATTTCGAACTCGTCGTCGTCGGCTCCGTCTCGACCAAAAACGCACTCTGCCCACTTCCACTCCCACTCCCACTCCCACTCCCTCCCGCCGAAGAACTCTCCAACTGCTCGAAAATCTTCTTCCTCCGCTCCGGCCAAGACTTCAGCGCCGCCACGGACCTCACACGCTTCTTGTTCGCCTGGCTGGACGCATCGTTGGGATTCCCAGTATTAACAATGAAATCAATCTGCTTGGGTTTCTTCTTATTCGTAGCCGCATTATTGCCGTTATTGCTGGCACTCATACTGCTGCTTCTCCCGGAACCACTGGTTCAATGTTACGTTGTTCTTCTTGCCTCAAAGCAGATATTCATGGTGATCAAAAGAGAGAAGAGGAGCAAACAAAGGAGAAGACGACGCACTCGGTCCGCTTGGTTGGTCAGATCGCCATGGCTGCCCTTGTCGATTGACCAGGGTCGCCAGAGGACGAACATGGGAAGGTGAAGTGTGGAGATGTGGCCAGCCAACAGCGAGTAAGAGCTGTTAATTAAAGCGATTAACTAGCATTTCATTAAGAGCGGTATTGAAATCCTTCCGCTCGGCAAGGCAAGGGCGATCGACTTTTGCGATAGCGACGATGCCGAAACCTCACCTCCTCTCTCGTCCACCTAATCATCCAGTCATCGCAAACACGTACCGACGAAGACGTCCGATCAAGCCTTCCGCCCAACCTCGCGATCCCCTGCCTTAACAGCACAGCACAGCTCATGTGGATGTGAACTAGGACCAGGTCCGCCCATGAACGCCCCACGTACGCAGTAAACCCACCTTAGGTAGGTGAGCTCCTGTGGCACAGATACACTTCGAGATAATTCGAATAAACATAACTATTCCGAAATCGGGGAACAAGTTTTCCCGGGGCAGGGGAGTGGAGTAGATCGATTCCCGTAATCTATCCACTCGACTTCGTTGGCATATCTGGGCAGTGACTGTGGTGGTGATGGTGGGAAATGACGAGGTTTCTCACTGAAAGTGTGAGAGATAGGCTGGATCGAGTAAATGAAAACCGAGGCAAATCCCATCCTTAAGGTTCCCATCAATCAATATCAGGCGGAAAAGGGACACAACCCCATCGCATCGGCAAGCCGAGAATTCTCGGGATCCAATACGAAGAAGAAAAGAAGGAAATATATGTGCTACAAACCCCCAGCCATTCTCGCTAGGGTAAGCGAACTTGCAGGAGTCATCATCATCGTCTCATCGAAGATCTGAGATGAAGGCTTCCATATCTCTGTGCGACGAGTTCGTTCGTTCAGTGGTTCAGACAAAGCACGAGCCTCGTTCATCATCGTCGTTTATTTCTCTTTCAATTGTGGTACCACCCACCAGATATGATACCGCTTTTCCGGGGGTGGGAAGCTGACCTCGGCGACTTCTCCAAGTCGATCGAGCTTGCCTGGATGTTTCTCGCAAATCCGCTGAAGCTGCGAAGCCGCTACAGAGATAGCCACACAAGTCGTTTCGAGGCTCTTGATGTTCTTCTTCCACTCGTCCTCCGTGCCGACGTACTTCGCTTGAGTGGGATTCGTGCCTTTCAGCTCGTTCAGCATCCCACGGGTCGTCTTGATGGCTTCGCCGTAGCTCGAACAGATCTGCTGGATCTCGGATAGATTGATGATGAGGTCCGCACGGCCTTGACGTTCGAGGTCCTCTAGCCCAGGCACGGAATCCCATTGCAGGCCCAAGAAGGGCTTGTACCGAGCTTCGTAGCGATGTTGGGCCTGGGAGTATGGCTTTGGCCTGGCGTCGATCAATGCGAGGTCTTGTAGCGTTGTGCAGAAGCTTGAGAGGAGACTGGCGAGCGTGACGTTGACTTGATCCTGGAGACTGAGGCTCTTGATCCATTCGCTAGAGGATCGACACTGCTCCCTGTCTTCTCGACTTAGCTTGCCTGCTTCTGGTAGTTGCAGCTTCTTGACGACGAAGAGTTCCATCTCTATCAGACAGCTGAGGCTTGTCCGTGTGAGGTGCTGCAAGACGGTGAAGATCTCCCGAAGCTCGTCTGGGAGATATAGATCCGTTTCGAATCCTAGTTGGATCACCCAGATCATCATCTGAAGTTTGTGGATTCTTGTCCATGTCGAGAGTGGGCAATGCTTGTGCAAGTTGCCTGACACGTCCTGCATAAGCCGAGGCACGACGATTTCATTCAATTGCTCATCAACCTCGTGAGCCACCGTCTCAAGCTCGTCAAAGATGGGCAGTGCTTGAGTAAACGTCCGCCTCATCCGACACCGATTCTGACACACCATCCGGTAGATGTTCGTATACTCGCCAAACATCCTCGACATGAAGTCTTCGATTAAGCGTGATGCGCGGTGTCGTGGATCAGTGGGCACCTCAATCTGAAACGATGCCGGATCTGCTAGCGGATCACCCGCCAGCACGAGGTCCCTGATGTCCGTGAGCATGAGGTCGAAATGTGAAACCTCCCCGGCGACGCAGTCACCCGCCGTCAGGATCTCCTGCATCTTCGCTCGGGCGTAGGTGCCTGGTGGTGGTTGTCGATAGGCAAAGGCCCAGGTCGCTCGTTGCAGGCAGTGCGGACTTTGCCGTATGCGAAACGAGGTCAAGGCGCGGGTAGTGAGTATATCGTCACACAACTGCGTCCATTTCTCGCACGCCTGATCCCATGACAACTGGGCCATTGGTCGTGGTGGTGTACTAGTAGCAAGTTGACGCTGGACCTTGTCCGAGAATGCATCTGGCACCGGCGTGGCGAGTTCGTGCTGTTGCCTGATGTCCTGTATTTTCGCTTTGAACTTGTCCCACTCGTCAACTCCTTCATCTGTAGAATCCATAGATGTGAGCAACTCCTCCCTCGCCAATAGCCTAAGCCTAAGCGTGTCTTGGACATCTTGATCAAGACCTGAGGTTTCCAACCAATCCGCCGCGTCGATCAGTAGTCTCGTACCATCAACAGGGCTCAGTGTCGGCAACAGCTCCCTCCCAAAGAGGTACGTAACAAAGTCTTCTTCCTCGTAATACGTATAAGTCTGAATCAAATTCAGTGTGCACTGCACACACTTGACAACGGCAATGCAGTACGCTCGAAGGACAAAATGCACAAGCTGCTGTTGGACTGTCGTCTCGTCCTTAGCTGAAAGACCTTCGAAGCGGAGGTGGTATGGATGTCGGTTTTCCGGAGCCAGAAGTCGAAAGACGTGGAGTGAGGTGAAGATGTTTTGTGAGAGGGGGTAGCCGTCTTGAAAGCTCATCTCGAGACGGAAGAGCTCGTCCATGATCCAGAGGACTTGGTTGGCGTTTAATCCGGCGCAAACATCGAAGTCTGGTTCGAAGGAGTCGCCGGGAGGTATGCGTCCGCTGTCCATCTTGGGATCCATGATCTGGAGAAGCATGGTCAGTATGCGTGGCAAAGACTATAGATTGAAGCAATTGCTGTACGGCCCAAGCCGATACCGTGGCGAGAGACCGCGTCCACAATTCTCAAAAGTGACATTCGAATTCACATACCTCAAGCGCCCCCACAGCCTCAAACAACGTGAAGCACTCATCCTTGACCAGCTCGCCGGGTTGCAGCTGCTCGCTCGCAACCACAAAATCCTCCGTGACATCTCGCACACCTCTGCTCCCAAACGAGATCGGCTGCTTTCTCAATCGTCGGGCTTCCTCCTGGAGTCTGGCTTCCGCAGTGGCAGGATCGGAAAGGTCGTCTGCTCCATTTTGTTTGTCGTTCAGCGGCGGTGCTTCTGCAGGCATTGTTAGATTTACTTTTTGGACGCGGTGCCTGTTACGAGTGAGAGAAGTCTACCGTCGGCCACATCGTCACTAGGCATTTCAACTTTGCAGTGTTTTGTTGGGCATCTGAAGTCACAAAGTTGTCCATGGTGAAAGAGTGTGGTACAGAGCAGAAGTTCAACGAAGAGGGCTTTTGGCGAGCTGCAGTCCGCCGAAAGCTCGGGCCTTGGCGGATGCCTTCTTTCTGGTGACGATTCTCTATGTACAGATGATACAGGTTTCTCGCATTGAAGTGCAGTCCATGAAGCTATTAGAGCATCTTGTTGACGTAGCTCATCTGGCTTTCCCTCCAAGCCTTGCCTCCGACTGCCTCACTCCACCCCATCTCCCTCATCGTTTACTGCGCCGACTGGCCAGCCTGTTGCTGCATGGCGGCCTGGTTGGCCTCCCCAACCGACTTCAATTCGCTCTGCTTGCCGTTCTGTATCCAATTCACCGTCAGCAATTTGTCTTGATAACCAGCCCATATTCCAATCCCATCCCACCCTCCTCCCAGCTGTGATTTCAGGGTATCCTCACCTCCCACTTAGCGAACCTCAAATCCATCTCTCCTCTCCTCTCAGCCTGCAATCTCTGATCCTCCTTCAGCGAGCGGCGCACGACGCGCGAGGCGACCGACAGGTAGCGGTTGTAGCTGTGAAGAATCGTGCGTTAGTTTACCCCTTGCCCAGAGCTCGTACGCAGCTCGCGGCCCTCATCGGTTTGCGGTCTCGACGTACGTGATACCGGCAGCCTTCCACGCGAATGCCATTGTGTCTGTTTGTGGGGTTGTTCGAGAGATGGGTGGATGTTTGGGGTGCTGGTCGGGCGCTGTTAAGAGCAAGCTTCGGAAGTTGGACAACCGCGGGTGAAGCCGCTTCAATGGCTGATCACGTGCCAGGAATCGCGGGATGTTTCGCCGTCGTCCATAACTCTCAACAGTACACTCGTCGTTCCGCTCAAAGTGGAATGCATGGAATCGTCAATTCCCCCGTTGTCCAAAGACCGACTAAGCTCTTGATCCAACTTCAGATCGATCAGACAGGTTGCGAGCACTCGGGACAGACTTTGTGCGAATTGAGTAGGGTAGACTGTTGTTTCTGAACTTTGAGCGCTTTGTATTGGTACAGCTCACTACTTGCGCATGGACACAAATGAAACGTCTATGATATTTACACTTTCAGGCCGATCTCCTCAGCATAAGGTAACGCGAAAAGGTCACCGACAGCGCTGACAGACGCCTTGTTTTCAAGAGCCTCCTTCGCCACCTGCTTCACCTTGTCCGCGGTCACGCCATCGATCGATGAGGCCACCTCGTTGATCTGGTATGGCTTGCCGTCCCGGGTCAGGCCAGCACCAGTGTACTCAATAGCGGCCTGAGTGCCAGATGCAAACTCGAGCTCCTTGAACTTGGCAAGAGCCTTGGCCTTGTTGAACTCCTCCTCACTGATGTTCTGCGCGACAGCCTTGAGAGTCTCGACGACCTTGGGGGCGGTGGCACGGATGTCCGAGGCGGTGCCGTTCAAGCTGGTGACGAGCAGACCAGCGTCGGTGTAGATGTTTGACTTGGTGGAGACTTGCAAGAGTGGAGTCTGTTCAGCGGCCTTGGAAAGGAGGGAGAATCCGGATGCCCACTTGATGCTAGTCTCTCCGCCGAGAAGTGCTGCGAGAACAGCCACCTCAGGCTTGTAGAATGAACCAGTTGGAGAGCTTGATCCAGGGAAAGCAATGACGAGGGAGTTGCCGGATGCGTGTGCAATGCGCTCCTCACCGCCGTAGTACTTGGACTGCTCGGACTTGATGTCGATGGCTGACTGGGCAGGGACGTCAGTGAAGAACTCACCAACCCACTTGCTGAGCTCGCCATGGTCGACGCCGTTGGCAACGATGGCAAAGTTGGGCTTGGCGTATGCACCACCAGCGTACTCGGCAAGGGCATCGGCGGTAACGTAGTTCTTGTAGAGGTTCGTCGAAGTTGGGTGAAGCGGTGCGCCCAGTCCACGGTGGAAAGCAAGGCTGTGTACGCTCTCTTGCGCAATGGCCAGGGTGTTTGCCAGTCGTAGCTTTGCGTTGAGCTCCATGAGTGGGATGATTTCCTCATTGACGATGTGTTCTGTGTAGACGTCAATTACGCGTACTGCAGTCTCTTTCAATCTTATTGCAGTGACTAACGCTGGTACTTGGTCTGGCTGGCGACCTCGGCGAGTAGCTCGACGAAGTAGGGCAGGTCGTCTCGCAGGAACTTGGCTCCAACGACAAGGTTCTCGCGGGTGTGGTAACGGAGGAGCTCAGAGCCTAGCAGCTCAGATTCGCGTTGTATCCGCAGGGTCGAACGTCGCTCGGTGGACTGTATTATTGTTCCCATTAGTCCTTCCATCTCATGTATTGACTTTCTCCTGCCGTACCCTAAACGCGTATCGTTCCAGGCCCTCTGCGACACCTGGGAGGATCTGATGCCTGGTGCCAGCTTTGGACACAAGGGCCAGTGTGGTGACAGGACCGGCGTAGTCTCTGCTGGCGTACTTGATGCCATTGGCGTCTCCCTGCTGGTATGCGAGCGAGCCGGAAGCTGGGGAGGCATAGCCCCTAGTCGACGGCTGCCACGACTGGCGGAGGGCGCGCTGAGCCTGTCGCTGGATGGCGGCGCGCGAGATCATGGTGGTGACAGGCCCTCGCGGGTGGTGGATGAGGGCGGGCGGTGCAATGGGGGTGCTGGCAGCTTTTCCTGGTGAAGCCGAAGCTGCACTGAAGTTCACTGAGAGTCGGGTGCCAAGCCGGAGCACCTGAATCAGCCGCTCATGATTGGCTGGCGGCGGCCCCGCGACGAGTCACTCACAAGCTCAGTGCAGCGTCTGTCACCCACCGCCGTGTATTGTCGCCGCACCGCTCAATAAGAAGACGACGACGCTCTGCCTCTCGCTGCCGTTGGACTGCACAGTCGGCCTCATGCGCAAGCGACGGCGGTAGCAACTCGCCAACTGTTCACGACGTGAGAGGTCTGAACAGTTACTCCCACCACCACCACCACCACTGCTGCCCGCAAAATGGCACAGGTAGGAAAACTTCCGCCGCAAGCCACACGCTGGCTGGCTCTCTATATCGCTGTGGAATGCGCCCGCCCGGCCTCGACTGACATGTGCTCGCAGCGATTACAGGAACTCTGCGCCCTGCTGGTCGAAGACACCTGCGGCTACCTCTGCTCTGTATGATATTCCTGCCGGCGCACTCCATCTCGTCGCTGTTCACTGACAATCCTCGCTCTCCAGCAAATCTTCACCACCCTCGCCGAGAATGGACGACTCTCTCGATTCCAGATCCAGCAACACACCCACATCCCCGCCCGCCAACTTCGCACCGCCCTGGCTGTCCTCGCCCAGCTTCACCTCCTCCATCACTACACCGGCGACGAGGGCCTCACCTTCTACTCCGTCGACTGGCGCAACTCCTACTACCTCACCCGATCCAACCGCATCATCTCTCTCGCCGAGGACCGATATGGCGAAGGCGCCGGCAAGATCATGGCTAACCTTCTCCAGCTGGGCCACGCTCGAGTTGGCGACCTAGCCCAAGCCTTCGACTTCACCACCACCAAACCCAACAATGAGGACGATCCTTGTCGCGAGCATGTGAACGCAGAAGGCGGGGCTAAGACCAATGGAGCAGGCGCAAACCATGTGCGAAAGGCACCAGACACCAAGATCAATACTGTCGGCCAGTTCCATGCCACCCTACGCAAGTTGCTGAAAGCCGGCCTCTTGACCAAGGTCAACAAGAGAATCTACACTCCAGCCGCCGACCTGGACGCAGAGATCGAAGAGGCCGTCATCAGCGACAGGTTCCCAGACGGCAAGATCAACGGCCCCAGAAAACAAGCCGAGTTCAAGACTGCGGTCAACAGCCTCAAGCGCAAGTGGCGAGACAACGACGAATTCACCGATCGAGACCTCGAGTCCAAGGGCACCATCCGAAGACCAGGCGAGCCGCCGGGGAAGCGTGCCAGGGTCAATGGAGGCCTGACCAACGGCGCAGGCCACGACGACCACATCGAGGAGAACGCCCCAAAGCTTCCGGTACTGTGTTGTGACCTATCTCAACGCAGAGTTCCGTTGCTGACACGATTTAGAATGAAATGGTCTTGAAAGTTAACTACGCACAATTCGTCCTAGCATTTCGCACCGATCGGCTCGAGCAACTCGCAGAGTCATACCTGGGCCCAGTCACAGCTGCTGTGTATGGCGCGTTGCTGCAGGCACTCGAAGGCAAGGTGCGCGCCAGGGATGGTGACATCCAAGCCGATGAAGGATCGGATGACGAAGAAGACGACCTCCCCGTTGCCTCCACCATCGAGGTTGCCGACCTGCTGGACCCGACCGTCGACTTGACTCTTGGCATTCAGGGGATGTCGGACACACACCAGCTTCCAAACGGCGATACGAAAGGCAAGAAGAAGGCCAAAGTCACCGACAACGAATCTGCGGGTATCAAGCGCGAGCACTCGGATGACGAGAGCGAACACCATCCCAACGGCTACATTTCATACGAAAGCCGCAACAAGCGCCTCAACCTGGTTGAAGACCACCTGAAACTACTCGAAGAGCACTCAAAAGGCTTCTGCAAACGGGTTGGAGGTGCCGGCCATGGCGAGTGGCGGGTGTACTTTTCAGCACTCACCGACACACTTGTCCAGACCACGGTCGATGCCACCATCTTGGCTCGATTCGGCAGGACGCACGCCTTGTTGGTGCGCATGCTCCGCGAGAAAGGACGGCTGGCAGAGAAAGAGATTGGTGCTCTGACATTGATGCGCGCAAAAGACGTGCGCTCTATCCTGACCGAGCTGCAGTACGCTGGCATCATCGAGGCTCAAGAAGTCCCCAAGGATACCTCACGGCAGCCCACACGAACACTATACCTCTACTTCCACGACCAGAAGCGAGTACAAAGCTTGCTACTCCAACAGACATACCAAGGCATGTCAAGAATGCTACAGCGTCTGAAACAAGAACGAGAAAACTACAAGAACGCCATCGAAAAGGCCGAGATGATGGACGTCAAGCAAGAAGAGCTCAATTCGAACGAGCGAGATGCCGTAATGCAGTGGCGAGAGGTGGAAGAAAAGCTTGTGATTCAAATCCAGCGGATGGACGAACAGGTGGCGCTTTTGCGGGACTATTCTGGAAAGGACAGCTCTCTGGTTTCATGAAAATGTATCAACAGGATACTGGTCTTGTTCAAAGGGATGGGCAGGATCGGCTTCGGGACTTTACTTGCATCTGGTTGCATGGCGAGGGCGTTTCACGAGGACGAACTGGGCCACGGTCCGTTCCAGTTATCTGCATTTGCTGGAGTTTTTGGGATCGATGGAGAAGGGATACGGGCTACGACTCTAGAAATCGGCTGGATGGCCGGTGACCTTTTGTCTCTCTGGGAGTTTGACATGGCCTTGTGCTCTCGGATGATCGAGCCGGCTGGGTGTGGATGCTCTGATACCTTTCTCGTGATATCCACCTCTGTAAATGCAATTGACCTTTTCAAATGTGCTGCAGACTCGTTCCTTCCGTTGCAAGAGTCTGTGATCGCCTCACGCGCTAACAGGGGATTAGGCTATTATGGACTCATCTCACATGCACCTTCCACCATCAACATCACCAACACCACACAAGCGCACTCCTCCATCGACGGCAAACTCGCACCCTTCCCTGCTCCTTGAAGACAGACCATGGCAGGAGATCACTTCACGCACTCCTGGTCTGAAGAGTGGCTCGGGGGATAGTGAGGTAGGAGACTTGGTAGCGAGGACCAAGTTGCTTACTCTCAAGCCAAAGAACTGGCCATTGGCATGCTTACCTACCTCTCTCACCACCGCAAAGCCACCTGAAAAATCACGTCTTCTCGAAATGTGATTTCGACTGACCTTCAAATAGCACCTGCCATCGCCTCTCTGCCCCCCATACTCTCCCCAACTGACACACCGACAAGATGGCCACCACCTCCACCGTTGCCGCGAAAACTCTCAGCACTCCGGAGATTCTGGAGATGGTTCCGCTGCTACTCCCTGCGTGGGATCTGCTGCTTTGCCAGCGCGTCGCGACGCCCTGGAGGGATACTGTTGTGCGCAGCGAGGAGTGCCAGCGTACGCTGTTCAGAGAGCCCGTCACCAAATCCGAAAAGTGGACATCGCTCGTCGTCTGCGACTCCATCCCAGCTGGCGAAGGACCGCTCATCGTCCAAGCCATGCACCCTAGCGACATAAGCAGTCGAAACCGTGGAATGGGGACCATCAGCGTGGTAGAGCCAAATCCCTTTCTCAAGTTCACCACCGACGAGAAAGAGAGCCCGATACATCTCGACTGTCCCGCCGCAACCATCGCCTCGGCCATGTCCCTCGAATATCACGAAACAGTCACTATGCACCGGCTTCTGCTTCTCAAGAACCACGCGGCAAGTTTCCTCGACATGTACCTCACCCAGGCCCCCGTCCCCTCGATCGCCTTCTACCTCGAAGAAGACAACCCCTCCGCGCCCGCCGGGTTCTGGCTCGAGAATCCGCTCGGCGTCACCGTCAAAGACCTCCTCCAGCTGCTGAGACCATACCTCCTGCCCCACGCGAAGACGCTCCCGACGCTCTGCTTCATTTTCGAAAGGGCATGCTTCGCGTGCCGGACGCCTGGCGCAGCGTCTTCGACGCTGGAATTCCGAAATTCGAGAAGCTGAAACGCAAAGTTGGCGCGTTAGCTGCGTTCAAGATCGGGTGCGAAGACAATAAGCATAGCGGGAGGGATCTTGGGCTGCTTTTGGAGGGCGATAATCTCGATAAGGTTGTCGCTATGGCGAAAGTCAATGCTATTGCGATGGGGGCGTCGATTCCGGAGGTCCTGGCTGAATTTGAGAGGATGCAAGTTTGTCCCCCTTGAAGGGTCGGAAGGAGGACTAGTACCGTGGGAAGACTCGTTAATGGGTCGACGTATCGCCACAAGGGCTAAAGAAGTAAAAGCCATCCCCGAGACGACCGAACGATCCACGCAACCGGTACTTCGCAACGCCTCACCGAGCATATCGATATTTCAGGGAAGACCTACAACAACCAGCAACAAACCAGCTCAACAACAAGCAGCGCCGGCCCCGGGAGTTGGAGCAAGGTGTTATACCGTGGGAAGACTTGTGACAGACGACGCATCATTAACAGGGCAGAGATGTAAAAGCCATCCCTGAGACTACCGGACGTTGCACACAACCCGTAGTTCGCATCGCCTCACCGAGCATGTCAACATTCTAGAGAAGACCTACAAAACAACCAACGAACTCAGCTCGATGGATAGCAGCGCCTCACTGAGCATATTAATACACCAGAGAAGACCTCCAACAACCAACAAACCAGCTCTAAAGAGCAGCGCCAGCCCTAGAAACAACAGCTGCTGACATCTGCTCAAAAATCTCCAACTTTGCCTTTTGTGATTTTGGGTCGGGGTGTCTGACTCTGGGCATTCACATGAATGCATCCGTGTGCTTCGCCAAGACGAACGTCAGCTGAGACAGAGACACAAGGCAGCCTTGACAAGGGGACTGTCTGGTTAGAATGGATCGAAAATGGAATGCACCTTTGTCACTTGTCGCGCTACCTGTCCGTATGTTCAAGAACAGGGGCGATTCGACACGATATGTATCTCCCGTGCGGTATGGGCAACGCACCGCGAACTACAACGACGAGAAGCAACACCATGATTGGCGTGGTAGTCAGAGACCAGCCATGCAATCCGTCCAAAGACCATAATCGCCAGGAGAAACGCAATCCAATATCATAAATCTCATAACCCCTAAAGCCCCTTCATCAACTCCCTCAACGTAAGCGGCTTCCTCACCGCATTCGAATACCCCTCATGATAACTCACCCACACCGTCGGGACAGAAGCCTTCATCGCCGCCGCCTTCTTCACACTCTCACTATTAACAGGCACCGCAACCGGCCGTCCAAAGAAATCCCTCACAATCCTCTTCTTCGGCGCGATGCCCTCTCCTCCACCCTTGCCATCATCAAGCTTCTTATTAGCAGCCGTGGGAAACACGCCCCCGAACCGGGCCATTCGCGCCTCTTCGTTCATGCGAGTTTCTTCTTTCCTCCACTCCTGCTCGAGGACCTGGCGGACGGCGTAGCGCGTCTTGTTGGAGGAGGAGGTGCCGGCGGTTTCGAAGGTGCAAAGGGTGTCGAGGGGTGGTTCCATGCGGTAGATCCACTGTTGGGGGCCGAAGCTGGTGGCGGTGGTGGTGGTGTCGTCGGTGACTTTGACGCGGTCGAAGCGGACGCCGCTGGCGCCCATGGCGTTGACGGCGCGTTTGACAAGGGTTTGTTCGGAGGATTTGCGCACGGAGGCTGTGCCTTTTTCTTTGCCGCTGCCGCCGACGACGATGGGGTTGATGTTGGGGGTGAGCATGCGGAAGAGGAAGGGTTGCAGGTCGGTGGTGATGTCTGCGGTGGAGCTGAAGGAGCGTGTTAGTGGTAGGGAGAGGGCGGATTGTAGGGCCTGGACGTGGGCGCTGTTCTGCTTCTCGGCCTCGTGGGCGGCCCAGGAGGCGTTGGGTCCTGCGAGAGGATGCACTGCTGGGCGATCGTCGTCATTTTCGGTGCCTGCAACATACTGTGCTCTAGCGGAAGAAGCGAAGAGGTGGTGAAATCCAAGGATTGGAGTAGACAAGTATGGCGCCAGTTCCCACTCGTTGCTGCTGAAGACGGCACCGGATAGCTGGTCGTGAAAGTTCAGCCATTCGTATGCTGCGTCTGGCTTCGAAAGCATCGTGTCGTCCTGAAATGGATGTTCTGGATATGCGGCAAAGCAGTCGGTCATGATTCGGTCCGTGTCGCCTTGCGTGTCGATGATTTCCCGCAGCCGTTGTGTCGCTATCCGTCTCTGGCCTTCTGCCACTCCCTTCACACTGGTGATGCCGTCTAGCGACGTCTGAAGCGGTGTCTTCGCGGAACTCTGAGGAAACCCAGCGCCTTCTTTGAACACCCGCTCCACAATGTCTTTGGGCCCACCTCGACCAAGACCTCGTGCAGCGCCGCCACCATGCTGAAGGTCACTGAGGACATTGTCTTCGACCCATTTGCGAGTCAATCTGAGATCGTCACCACCAGTCGCTCGCAGTTTGCCAGCAACCCATTCTCCTACGACCAGAATACCACGCATGTCGCCTTCACCGGCTCCACTGCCATTGCGATCCTCCTTGCGGTTGCTCACTCCCCATGTCGCCTCGCATAGCCTTCGCACGCCGTCGCCGTCGCATGGGATGCCCTCCTTCTCAAAGATGCCGTGCATCCTCGTTACCAGACTCTGGACGGGTGGTTTGCGGACGTGGATGACCTCAGCCATGAGGCTCTGCCTGAGAGGCCGCAGAGACGGGTGGTAGATGTCATTGCAGACGAGGATGATTGGGCGGAGTAGTCGGAATCGATCTCCTTTCTTCTTCTTCACGGGGGCCTGATAGGAATCAGCTTATCAACGCTCGTGGACGAGACTCGACCTGGACTTACCTGCTGCATGGTGCCTAGAACATTCGAGTTCTTCTGGTCCAGCATGATCAGATCAACCAGAGCCTTCATGAAGCCTCTCTCGCCTCCACTCCCAGTCACCACACCATCGACCTCATCGACAATGACGCAAACAGGTTTCGCAGCTTTCTTGGCCCCATTCGCGCTCTTATTGTCAACGCCCTTGACATTCTCAGTACCAACCATATCCCGAATCCGTCCCTTGACGACTGCACTGCTCCTCTCATCGCTCGCATTAATCTCTTGCACTTCGTACCCCGCTTGTTTGGCACAGACATGTGCGAGTGTCGTCTTGCCCAATCCCGGCGGCCCAGTGAGCATCAGGACTTTCCTGTGCGGCTTCTCTTCGAACACACTCTCTCCCTTGGTCTTCTTGGGTGCGCGATATGAGCCAGGGTAGACGATCGGGTCCCATCTCTTCAGCCAGTGCATGACATTGCGATGTGTCCGCTCATCTCCAATCAAGTCTGTGAAACGCTTCGCCCGGTATTTCTCTGTCCATAACAGCGACGACTTCTTATTTGTTGCTTTCGTGACCACAGGTGCTTCGGGGACAGATTTTCGTATCGCGGCCTCTGCTTCGGCTTCCTCTAGGAGCTGGTGGATGTCGATGCCATAGTACTGTTTCTGGGCTTTGGCGGGGCGTTTAGAAGACAGAATACTATTGCCGAAGTCCATATCAGCCTTGCGTTTCAGCGACGTGTCCAGCATGTTGTCGTCACTCAATCCAATGTGATTGTGAGGTGAAGCTTTGGAGGACGCGTCGAGACGTGAAGCGCGTCACTCGGCTGCCACTCCGAGCGTCCCAAGTTTCCAAGACTTCTCCGCGCCAGTCTCATTCATTCGACCCACGCTAACACGTGCATAATTGTGGAGATGGCGCGCTCAGATCGTGAGTTCGTGCATCGCAAGCATCCCCCATCGATTCCATCCCAACGATGCCCCAGCTGCCCCCTTACTTCAGCCCACATGTACATGATCTCGTTCTACCGGCCTCATGGGCAGCATTCCTGAACCGACGCTAGATCACTCGCCTGCCAACGGCGCATCGACGAGGACGACGACGAAGCGGAGTGCGCCCACCGTGTATTCGCGCGACTTCGCATATGCGGACAACGGGCCCATCGTCGTTGTTCCCACGCGCATGGCACGCGCGGACATCCTCAAAGCCAGCGCAAAGACCTACGCCGAGTACGTTGCGCCCTTGCCCTGCCCACCCACCCGCCATCTTGTCCCCAGTCTCTCAACATGAGTGGTTCCAGTTATCTGGGCCACTCTGCCCGATTGCGCCTTCTCGAACTGGGTGGCAGATCGCCCAGCTACCAGGACACTGTGAACGATGAAGCTGAGAACTTGCGCAAAAGGTTACTTTCGGGTCCAACGGTAGACATCCTCGTTGGGCCCGAGGGGAAGCATTGGAGCCTCCACCGCAACCTGCTATGCCACCACTCGTCCTACTTCGAAAGCGAATTCCATGACTACGATGGTCCGAAAAAGAATGGCACTAGAGACAATATCTTGGAGCTGCCAGACGACGACCCGATGGGGTTCGAGTTGCTCGTCAAATGGCTGTACCAGGGACAACTCGAAGATGCATCCCAGCTGTCAGAAGAGGCGAAATACGACTATGCCGTTGCTTGTCACAAGCTGTACTTGCTATGCGACAAGTTTGACATGACCCGGCTGAAGAATATATCAATGGACCAATACCGACAGTGTCTGAACGAATGTCAACTGGTTCCTGACGCCGAGGAGATCAACGACATCTATCGCGCATCTCCTGTCGGTTCGCCTTTTAGATCGTTGATGATCAGAATCGCTGCCAGGCAAATCATGGACCCCGAAATTGACAGAGATGCTGAAGCATACAGGAAGTGTTTCGAGAACAATCCTGACTTCGCAGTCGAGATGGTCAATGCTATTCGATATATGAGTGGCGGCATTCTATTCGATGACCCGACATACGGCGATCTGTGTTCATATCACGATCACAACGATGTCTCAGGGTGTCAATTCGAAGGCAAAGGCAAAGCCAAGGCCAACGGCAAGGCACGCGCCGTGAACGGGCAAGGTTAGAGCTTTCAAGGGGCGGGAAGATCACCTTCTGGTAATGATTGCTCATGGTTTGAAGGTCCATTTACCACAGCTGGCGCTCCACAGCAATACATCTCCATCCCGTTGATGGCCGAGCTGTCGTCCGACAGGCGAACTCCCAGGAAGCTCAACACGCCTTCTACCTCACCGGTGGTGTCGAAGAAAGCTACGCCAAATCGCAGCACCGCTGTCAATGGAACGCCAGCGCGGGCTATAATACGCACACCGGCTGCGAATTCAGGTCAGCGACGACTACCAGTGCAAAAGGGCAATGAAGCGTACACCCGACCGAACGATCAGACGTCTTCAGCACCCAGGAGTCTGCCTCCCAAGCTTGAGAAACGGGGGCCGGTGAATGGCGCCACTCCCAAGACCACGAACGGGCCCTCGCCGATAGTTTCCAGGAGCGTACCTAATAGGACCTCGTCTGTAAGCAGCGTGGAGTCACCATTTGATCCAACCGGGCAAGACCCCATGGCGTTGAAAGGAGCGATGCTTCGACTATCGGCACCTCGAATGAAAAGTGTTGCGCCGAATCCAACGGAACAATCGCCTCTGGTGTCTAGAAGCGTCAAACGCATACCAACGATCGTCATGAACGGAGAGGCCTTACTACCAGCAATTATGTCCCCAACACCAAGTCAACCCCCACCAAAGGCCAATGGGCACGGAGGTCTGGAGTTGACGAAACAGCGCCTCAAGAGAGTGCCTCAGCGACCCAAGCCCGGCATGAACGGACGCTCTACGAACAGTGCGCGCTCAGCAATGAGCACTGAAGTGGATGCGCAAAGTACAACATCGTCACGATCACGGAAGCGTAAATTCGAAGATCGAACGCCCAACAGACCCAAAACCAGACCAGCAAATGGCGTCTCGAAGCCGGATCATCACAATAACAATTCGACATCGAACTACCGACGAACCAGCTCTTACGCACCGAGCAGTCGTTCAGTCAGCGTGGCCAGCGGTCCCAGAAAGTTAAGCCGGATTAGCAGCGTCGCAAAACAGCCCAATGGAACTCGAGGGGCGATGAGTGTCGATTCGCGAAAAGAGACGAGCAGCAATACTTCGAGATCAACCAGTGGCCAGAAAGGCCGACCTCCTAAGCTCGCGACCAACGGTCATCGGACGGCGAAGGACAAGGAGAAGAATGACAGCATGGCTACGAAGTGACCGCGTCACGATTGATGTGTGCGATTTTGCGCAATGAGGATATGAAGACGACATTCACGCCGTTGATATAGGTATACAGAACTCGAAATACAGCAGCAAAAGCCGAATCGCTTTCATACATCATCGCCAGCTAGATCCACATCCTCGGAGATACTTGACGCTTGTCGAGACTGAGCTCATTGCTGGACCCGGTACTCGTCATGCGGCTAAGTAGGTAGCCATTGAGTGCAGGAGCTGTCAAGATCGATCTACCCCGCCGAGGAAATGACTTCACTTCATGCTCGATGGTCGACGCAAGCTCCAAAAGATTTGCATTCGCCTGGCGGACGGCTGGTGCGCGTTTGGACTGGAATGGATGGTACATAGGCAGGCACTCGACCGCACGTAGTTGCCTTTTCTCTTGCCTTTGCTCCTTCCTCTCTGCTCTATCTCACTCTCCTCTAACTCTTTCAATCACTTCTGAACCATAATTCATTCAAAGAACATAATGGCCTCGATCAAGCAAGCTGTCGGCCTCGCCGTCAAGCCTGAGAAGCCGATCAAGCTCTACTCTCATCCTGGTGTACGTCCCGCTCGCCCTCGTTCCCCAATGGCAAGAAAGAAGACTGCTAACAATAATACCAGGGACCAAACCCATGGAAAGTCGCCATCATCTTGACAGAGCTGGGCATTCCGTACAACAGCGAAGTCATGGACTTCGCGCAGTTGAAACAGGAGCCGTTTGAGTCTCAGTTCCCCGTGAGTGCAGCACTTCCATACCCAGCACCTTCTCGAAAGAGATCATCTTTGATCCTTTGATTTACACAGAACGGCCGCGTCCCCGCCATCGAAGACCCCAACACGGGCATCAAGCTCTGGGAATCTGGCGCGATTATCGAGTACCTGCTGGAGACGTACGACACCTCCAACGACCTGTCGTACACCAGCAGCCCGGAGAAGTTCGAGCAGAAGCAATGGCTTCATTTTCGTACGTAAACCCTCACCACGGAAAAACAAGAAGCATGCCCACAAGAACCACTCGTTGATCTTTCTCTCATAACAGAAATGTCCGGCCAAGGCCCCTACTTCGGCCAACGCGCCTGGTTCCTGTTCTACCACCCGGAGAAAAACCTTACCTCGTGCCTCGACCGCTACGGCAACGAGATCCGCCGCGTGCTCGGCGTCATCGAGCGCCACCTCACCAAGACTAACAAGCCCTACCTCCTGGGTGACCGTGTGAGTTATGCGGATTTGGCGTTTGTGCCGTGGCATTGGCTGTTGTTGTATAAGCCGCAGATCATGGGCGAGGATTTCCCGAAGGAGTGGGAGAAGGAGTTCCCCAAGACTTGGGCTTGGACGCAAGGGTTGGAGGCGAGGCCGAGTGTGAAGAAGGTTCGGGAGGAGAGGGTGGAGGCTATGAGTAAGGGACACTAAGGGGTGAATATGAGTGGTGGGTGTGATGGGTTTGAGAAGGCTTCCGAGAGGAACGGCGAGTGTCGTGACTAAATTAAAGACATAGCTGCTCGAGACTATTGCGCATAGGCAGCAATTGCAGGCTCGGCCTTGAGCTTCGCCGTACCAAGCCTATATCATATCAGTACACGCAACAGAACAGAGACACCACACATCACTTACAAGAATCCTTTCACCAAATTCTCCAGCAGAGACTGCAAATCCTTCGCCACAGAGACATTCATGCCCTTAGCAGTGATTCGAAGACAGATGCTCAGCGCGTTCTTCTTGACGCGCGAGAGACTCGCAACACCGTTATTGTTCAAAGCGTCGAGGGCGAGGGAGTATGCAGCTGAGGAGATGGTCATTGTAACGTGATTCGTCGGTCGGAGAGGACAGAGACTTTGCACGGAGAGGACGGTGGCTCCGGGGAGTTGTGCGTTGTTCTGGGCCGGGACGACGACGCCGTCGAACTAGGTATCGTTAGTGCACACGTCTCGTCGGTGATGGAGATGAAGACGGCAGTCCTACCTGCGTCCAAACCGTAGTCGTCGGCACAAGTTCCATAAACCCATGCCCATGCAACGCATCATAATAACGACTCCCCGCACTCTGCTGCCACATGCTCGCCTGACACAACCCGCCCTCGCAGATATCGTTCAGCAAGCTGGGACTACCCAGCAGATCGATACCGGCGAAGTCGGGCGAGAGCGCGACGAAGGCCCGGGTGATGTTGCGGGTGCTGGGCCAGAATTGCAGGGCCCATTGCGTGTTGGGGCCGCCTTGGCTGTGGGTTATGACGGCGGTTGGGAGGTTTCCGGAGAGGTGGGAGAGGTAGTGGAGGTTGTAGGCGACGTATTCGGCGTTGAGTTGCATGTCGCCCATGGAGCGGTTGGCTTTGATTTGTTAGTGAGGGTTTGGGAAGGTGACGGGTTGTTGTAGCTTACGGATGGTGATGTAGCAGCCTGTATAGCCGTTTGCCAGGAGAGCTGGGATGTAGCCATCCCCCCATGATTCTTCGCCTGTGGTTGCTGTACCGTGGACTAGCAAGACAGGTGGGGAGTCTTGAGTTGGGTTGCCGTTGGGGCATGTCAGCGATGCTGCCAGATCGCTGGCAGAGACGGTGAAGGGAGCGTCGCCGTCGAATGCAAAGTCCGGAGCATCGCGTTTGACGACAGGAGAAGCGAGCGTATGAACAGAAAGGAAAAGAACAAGAAGATCAAGCGGAGACATGATCAGAACGAGCGAATGCAGCAGTAGTAGGCTGTCAAAGCCCAAGAAACGAACGTGATGATGAACAAGAGACAGACCCCAGGTCTTGGTCTGCAAGATCAATTCCAGACGTCCACGAGCACACTAATGTATGCTTCACTCAAGAACGAAGGAAACAACACCCACGGTCCCGACCACGAGTCTGTTCCACGGCTGCTTCCTACCAGAGATATCACAAACTCAATCACCTTGACCAGCATTGAAGATTGTACATCCTTCACCCGTAGATACATAGATACACGCCTGCCAATGGACAGCTTGGCACCTTGATCAACGCAAGGGGCGACGCCATGATTGCCAGGACCGGAAGGTCTGCAAGTCGCACCATCGCTTTGGGCGGCGCCTTTCAGTTGATGATGGCGGGCTTGGAGGGAGGACTGGACTGCGGCGAAGGGAGGTTCATCTTAGCTGCGGTGGTGCCGGCGCTTGGGTTGCGGGTGGATGCAGTTGTTCATTGAAGTCAGGGAGCGAATGAGGTTCGGGAAGTCGTGTTTTTGGGATGGGTGGTCGTCGGCTCGGCGAGCTCGGGATGCTGCAGGGTGCGGGTCTGGCCGGAGAATGGAGAATTTTAGAGTCGAGAGCAGAAGTCGCAGTCGTATCAATTCGCGGAATGCTGGAAGAGCAGAGACGTAGCTACGTCGGCAGTGTCAATGTATTGTTCTTAGTTCAAAGATACAGTCGGCAACGGATCAGAATCGGAGAAGCAGACTTCGATATTCCCCGTGGAAATAGCAATCACAACCCCCGACAGCTCCTTCCCTTCCAAGCCTAGCCTCGGCGCAAATCTTCACGTGCAGCTCGCACCCCACTTCAAGCAAAGACCAACTGACCACGCTGGCCTTTCTTCATCTCACCTCTGGCTCTGCCAACCCCGTAACACATCACCAAAGCAGACCTCAGCCTACACAGCCATCAAGGTCCTGACCATCAAGAACTCCGACAAAATGCATCCAACCTGTCAGTCACACGTGCCATGGCGGGGTAGTTACTCTCAGCTTATCGGAGCGATAACTGATGTGATGGATAGGTCCCAAGTGCGGTGCCGGTGCGTCTGGCAAGTCTTGCGGCTCGTGCGGTGCGACTTGTCCTAACTAGACGGTATGCATCGATTGCAAGTTGGTTGGAAGTGACAGCAGACTCACCACGATCAGGATAAGATGTGGTGAGGCGGGGTGATGAGTTGACGACACGACGAAGTGACGATGCGATGAGATAACGAAGTTGAGATGGGGATGTGTCTCGAACGAGGAAGATGCGTTTATACGTGGTGGTGTATATGAGAGGTGGTTGAAGGATAAGTGGGAGGGAGAGCCTTGTGCTCTTTCTCTGTTCAAATGCCATGCAGCTCGTATATGACTGTCTTTACCCCCTCGTAGCATCAACTTCCCTTACTCTATCCTCACTACTCTAACTAGCTCCCCAAGCTCCCGTAGACTGATATTACCTCGCACGAGCAGCAGCAGCTCCATCACATCTAGAACGAACAAGTCAAACCCTAACTTACCCTCCAAATTATATAACAACTCATCACCCGCCAAAAGCAGCAAACCTTACCCAACAGAGGCAATAGGCGTTTCTTCCCCTTCGCAGCCGAAGCGATCCGTAGCTTCAGCATGATGGCCGATAGGGCCAGTTCAGTACGCACATAGTGCAGGAGAAGAACAAGGCGGCAGAGCGCGACGTAGGCATCGCCGGGTGTGTGTCTCGTTCTGCCGTTCATTGCCCTTATCCTGGGCATTGGCATTGCCGCAGCGGATAGGGATAGCAGTCACAGCGTAACTGACGATTTCAGTTAGAGTCGCATTAAAGTTACAAGTTTGGATGTGTTACTGACTGGTTACATACGACTTATGACTAAGAGCAATATTCGTTTATGGATTATCATATTGAGCACTCCGGCAGGGTGAATCTAACCGGACATAGTCTGTTCACGGGGTGTATGCGGGCAATCGGCTAAGCGCTACAAGATTTGACTTCTGCTTGGGGACGTGGAGACTTGTAACTATGCGTGACTATACGCGACTATCATTATTAGTCATGTTTGTGGTTATAGTCCCACGTTACGTTAACCGTTTGTGACTTGTAACAGCTATCCCTAGCAGCGGAGCAATTGCTGACTAACGCTCGGTTTCTAAATATTGACTCCAGCGTTCTTGTTCGACATAAGGCTGCGGCTTGCAGGGCTATTGCACCGCACAAATTCACGCACTTCCTGGTTTCTGCCACCCTGAGCAACAGAACCTCAGTGACAATGGGTCACATGGGTCTGGCCTTCGCTGAGGGCAAAGACAGAGGCTATCTCTACAATGCCACCGATGCAGAAATACTCCGCGATTTGAACAACTTCTATGGTCTCAAGAAGTGGGGATTTGTGGTTTATCGTTGCACACATGGGGACGACGATGCCTGGTCTCGCTTCATGGATCGGCTCAATCGCCATAACGACGCCGTGCTACGCGACAACGAACAGGCACCCGACCTCGTCGCATCGTATGACTGGACGGTACAAGAGGACCCTGCCTTGGAGGGTGCAACGAAAGACGAAGTTCGGCGGCGGTTTCGACAGCTGCGTGGATCTCTTATTCAGAGCGAGACTGCGGACGACCTTGACGACTTCAAGAAACGGACTCTAATGTGGGAAAATCCACGATATAAATACTGCATCCACGTGGACTCGGAGGGCCTTCATATGGTTCTGCAACGCGCCTCGGACTACTTCTAAGGGTCCCTTCAGGGTCATTTCAATCTGATCCGAGCGGATGAATCCTGGGACCAGCCCGATTTCGACCGGTTTGATTGGGAGAAACACGAGACCGAAAAGCAGAGGAAGGAGTCTGACGGCGGGCCTGGTGACGAAGAAGACGAAGAGGACGAAGAAGACGAGCACGACGAGGGCGAGCCTGAGATTGAGGGCAGCCGACGTATCGATATAGGGTGGATGAAGGTCCAGGTACCCCATCTCATCCCCGGATTGTACAGGACATTGATTCAGGATCACTCATGGGATCATATATACTGCAGACCGCCAGGGGTGTGCGAGCATTAGACAGAGCAACACCCCATATTTACATGCCCGACTGCCTTCATTTGTTGTATTGTACAGTAGACTGGGCGAACAGCGTCGGGCCCGGCCGCTCGTTGATATGGGCATCAGACACAGGTCAGTAGCAGGCGGACGCTGCGACCTCCGGATGGTATCTGACACCGCTTCCTCAGATGACGATAACTACTCCGCGCACAAGGGTCTAACTGGAAAATCCGACCTCCGCCACGTGGATCTCAAGCAGAAGTCTTTCAGCGCCAACGAACTGACAATGGCTCAATCCCTCCAGGGACAACTTGACCGGGACTGCACAATGGCGAGTGATTGCACCAATCAAGACAATCCACAAGCCTCCGGCCGCGGCCGAGGACAAACGAAAGTGGGATGGGAAAGGGGCAAATGTGGTGTAGGTGTCCAATTGGACACTCTCTCAACGCAAAAGTCTCTCAACGCAAAAGTCGTCGAACTCCTCTTTTCATATGGAACGCATGGGTTTGAGAGCCTAATAGATAGCAAAAACGCGGTGAGTTATTGTAGATTGCTTTTCTATTTGTGAGAAGGTCTTTTAGTCTTCGAGCCCTGCCATGGTAAGTTGCTGTCGTCGTATAAGCCAGACGCATGTAGGGCAATCTGGATGGATGCACACATGCAGAGCCGCATCACGGCCGGGATGCGGAGTGGGAGATGCATATCCGCGATCCAGGTGGTCGGGACCGGCCAGAATGTCAACGTCAGTAGTGGGTGGACAGCACATGAAAGATGTTTGAAATATTCGCTTCTTCGTAGATGCGATCTGAAATTCTAGTCCAGCAGGCGTCTCCGTTGCTGCTCTCCCGCGTCGTCTTCTAATAACAAAAAGCACATTACTGTTCTTAGTAAACTGATTAGAGGATAACGATGGTGTCTCTCTCAAGCGTCCTCGCGGACAAGCCTCTTCCCTGTTCCCTGAATCGGTCACTTTTTTCACACGCCACGCCGTTTTTCTTTCAGCCTCCCATCTCGATCCCATTGACTCCGTTTCTAATCTCCCTTTGACGCGCAAAGCTCTAACCCGTCCGCCAGACCGCTCCCTTGGCCGAAACTCCTCGCTAGAGTAACGTAACGCTGCAAAATAGCCCCATGAACCAGAAGTGATGACCGTAACGCCGTTGATGATGACAATCCCGATGTTGTTGAATATGAGATGGCGATCTATCACAAGTTAGCATGTGACGCATTCAATGCATAGGCGTAATGACTGACCTATTTCGCTTTTGCGGTGCAAGGACGGCAAGTCTTCAGCTTGCATTTCGCGCACTCGAAGATGAACCAGTGTGGACCCGAATGGCACATGTTGCAGTTCCATAGGATGAGGGTGGTGTCGGACTTGATCATTTTGAAGTTGTGCTCGCACTTTCCAGGCTTCGCCATCTTCAGGAATGTTAGTATATGGTCTGTGAGAGGGGGAGGGAAGGACGAACTTTTGACTTGTGTGTCGAGTCAAGATCAGCCCCCAAAGTCAAATCGCCGAATCAATGTATCTTGGTTTGAAGCGTGCGTGTAGCGGTGTATGTGACCCGAGTCGATGCTGTAGGGGATGGAAGCCAATGACAGTTGACGGATGCCTGCGGGTGGTGTAGAGAGTGGTGAACGGGGAATTGGCGATTGCAGTGAAGGATCCAGGTTGCGTGATAAGAAGAAAGCTGAAATGCAGAGACGGCCACCCAAGCTATATAGCAAAAAGCAGAAGATGCGCGGATGCAACGACTTGATGAGGTTGCCTCAAGGCTCTAGCGCTAAAAGTGGAATTTGTCCTTTGAGCGCACCCACCGAGCAAACTCGGTGCTCAGCCAAGTGACAGGTCTGGCGCACACAATGTCGTCGAATCCAGACAGTGGGATATGGATTGAGCGAAGAGGCAAGATCTGGTGATACCATGGAGGGGCGGCCGCGGTGCGACACTACACTTTTTCTCTCCTCGCTCGCCAACCCGTGGTCATTGCTCGATCCAAAGCAGTAAGCAGAGAAGAGACAGAGCAAGCTAGGGCGGCGTGGCTCACACTCCCCGTCGCCGCGTCTGTGGGCTGCGGTGTTCTGGGAGCAGATCCCTGCGGCAAGGCAAGATGGCCGGACGATTTGAGCGCTGAGGGGGCAGAGGTGGTGTTGTGTGCCAGAAGAGCAAGCTCGTCCAGAAAGGCGTTTGGAACCGCCGATCAAGTCCCCATCGAATCGGCGCCGCCTCCCAGTTCCCGGGCACTGGATCGTAGCACGGCACAGGCAGTTGGATCTGGTTTAAGGTTTAGCTCCCAGATGGACGACTCAGACGGCTGCCGGATGGCACGAGGGCCACCGAATCGCGGCGTATCTCGAGCCTGCTCGGCCGGGATGTCTGCGATCCTGCGCGCGCAGCGACGGCACGACTCAGAGGAGCTGACGCAGACACGACGGCCGCGCGGGCGCCCCTGAATGGACCGCGAGGGCGGCGGGCGACGACAGGCATCGTTTGGCACAAGCCGACGTCGAGAGAAAGTCTGGCAGGCAGGACTGCCGCAACGAGCGCACTGCAGGAACCGTGCCGACGCCATGCAGGCCCGGCGGACGCCCGTCCAACCGCCAGTCGCGCTGACAAAGGCTGGTCTGCATCTCGTCTAGGTGCAGACTACCACGCCCACCCCTCCGCGCATCTGCGATCAAGCGATGGAAGGTGATGGCCGTCCAGGGTCGATCCATGGCCCTCCGGCACGCAGAGGCTCTTCGGCCCATGTGCCGACTGGACGCACGCCGCCCTCGAGCGGTCAGCTGTCGAGAGGCAGATGCGAAGTGCGAGGTCGACTGGTCCAATGCGGCCAAGCCCCAAAGCGTATTCTGCTAGCGCCGAAACCTCACTCACTCCTGGCCTCGACCGCAGCACATCGCATCGTACATCGCATCTCCATCTCCATCGCATTCCTCGGCGGCTCGCCCACTCGACGCATCACAATTCACACCACACCTTCACCGCAGAAATCGAACAGTCCACACCCGCGCTAGGACACGCCGATTTCACACCACGAGGCCCGTGTGTGTCACGGCCGCTCTTTCTGCCCATGGAATGTGATGATTCCCAATGCCAGAGGCGGCATCACGCGGCGGCGTAATTGTCACCATTTCACCGCAGAGCGTCATCCGCACACGCTTGCTGACAGGCCCCAATGTTTCCCGCCGACCTGGTTACGAGCCAGAGACACGACCTGCAGCCACACCTAGAAGTTTGCGCCATCCCCTAGCAGGCCCATGTATCTATCCGCTACATGTTACACCCGCCCAGCAATTTTCGCAGTCGCAGATGCAGATTTGACGCCTAACGGATGGGAGCACACTGCTCAGCGCGCCGTCCCATCTGCAGCAGTGGCGTGAATGGGAAACCTCACCTTCTGAAAGAATGGGGCCAAAGAATTGGAGACGCCTTGAATCGGTTCATGAGATCTACCCAAGTCCCGGCAATGGCGCTATTTCCATGTAACCCCAAACAGCTGTCTTGCATGATGGCACGTGTGGAGAAGCTCGGTGATGGCCCAACGTCATCTCCATTGAAGCAACTCAATCTCGGCTGATCACATTCATTGAATGCTGCTCAGAAGATGTCTGTTGTACAAACCGCTCTGTCCGATGATGAATGTTTTGATACTGATGATAGAAGGAGGCATGCGCCAACGCCAGGAAAACGCCACGAATGAATGCCGCGTCCTCTCTTTCGCAATCGTATCAGCCTTACTGCTTTGAGCGACTGTTTGCAACCCAACCATCTAACTGAGATGCCCACAGATCAGCCAAGCCATATCTAAACTTAAACACTATAGGTATTTGCTCTCCCACCAACTCGGTCACACCGAGACACAAAAAGGCCCATTCGCCGGAGGGATCTCCAGTGCATGTCGAAGCGGGTATCACGTCGCACACCCACCACACATACCATCAATTCGGACCTCGACCGAGGAGTAACGCTTTGGAAAATTGCCATGGCGTTCGCGCCTCGCATTGACGTCCCCACTCTGGCGTCGATCTCATTGCGCAACTCGGGCGGACGCTAAGGCAGGAACAATGTCTCGAAGTCTTCATTCCAGGTCACTGGGTCAAGCTGTCAATGCGGTGGATGGGACGTGCTAATTCTCCGTGTGATGGTGGACTTTTGGCGTTGCGCTGTTGGCGCAGCCGCCTCGTCATGATACCCACTATGAAGCTGTATGTGGGATGTCTTGTAACATCACCACTATAGTGGTCAGCAGAAAGAGTATCCACGACGGGTTGAGGTAAGGATATCTCGCCTGCTGCATTGACCCCATGGTTACTGTCCACGTCAAAAGTGTTAGTCGAGAGCCGAGGTGATTGTTTCCAGGATGGTTTGACCGGATGTTTGGGCCTCAAGTTAAAGTACCCTGCTGCTCGCCAAACCGCCCGCTCGGCCTGAGATTGATTGAGGACCGGGATGTTACCGACTTCAGTTGAGGGAACATTTTTTTCCTTCCACTGCAATATCGATTGCCGAAACCTTTCGCTAGAGCGGATCGATGATTGTGTACGGATGCCCTCGGCGGTTGTGCAAAGCGTGCGAACATCGTGTACTGACCACAATGGATAGGTGTACTTATCGCCGCTGGCAAATCGTCCGGAATCTCATCCGCCTCGCCTTTCCAAGACACCTCGCACCTCGACCAACCCATACCCATTTGCAAGTAGCCATGGCATAGGGCAAGGGAAGACGATACTACATCTCATCCATCACGTGCCTTTCTTGGCGTTCACAGGAAAGACCCAGAAGGAGAAAGAAGGAGAAAGAACGATCGCGAATTGAAATCGAACCTCACCTCTTCATCTACCCGCGAAAGCTCAAGGCTCTTTGAGTCGTTCAAGAGCTTTCGATATGTACTAATCGTCTCCATCGGGATCGAAGTGATACTGCCACGACTACGTCATCGTCATCGCTGCAGTATGTTTTAGTAACTCAACAGAATCTTGGGTGGACAGTGATGTCTCGTGTGAAAGACAGGCAGACACTCAAGAAGAGTCCCACGACCGCGGATTGTTGTACCTTCATCTTCTCCTGTAGCCGTCTTTCACTTGAACCAACATTAGGCTTGACTTACTGTAAAGACCAGATAGCAGGCCCTCGATGAGACGAATCATTAGCTGTTTGCAGCCGCCTTGATACCTTGGGTATTCCGCTCAGAGTGGAAGATTCAGATTCATCCCCATCTCTCCGAGACCATCTAATCTGCCGGAGATGTGAACAGAAGCGTAGTCACTTCTGTTTCTTCGGAGAGGTAACACTTCCATCATGCATACCACGTGAAGAGAACGACGAGGAGGGTAGACAAATTTGGGTGAGAAATGTGTACGGCTCAGCGAACACGTGATATGTGTTTAGCCTCATTGTGGCTTGTAAGGTGGAAGATTCGCGCAGCTGCCAGAGAATCCGCGAAAGAATTGACACAGAAAACGCCCGGACCACTCACTTCAGCCCACCTCAATCCACCACAGCGTCATATGCGCTGTCCTCTGCTTGTCCCTCCGCCAGCAAATTCTAAAATCTTCCTCGACACCTTCGCTTGAGGCGACTCGTCCAATCACAACCCGACCCAATCAACTTTTTTCCTCCAGCGCAAACAGCTGCAACTCCTCCGAAACACCTGCCCTCCCGAAACACCACAAACACACTCCCACACCCTACACACGCCCGCAGAATGTCTGTGGTTGGCCTGGACTTTGGCACGGCCAACGCGGTCATTGCCGTGGCCCGGAATAAGGGCGTCGACGTGATCACCAACGAGGTCTCGAACCGCGCAACACCAGCCCTCGTGGGCTTCGGCCCCAAGAGCAGATACCTGGGCGAGGCCGCAAAGACCCAGGAAGTGTCGAACCTCAAGAACACCGTTGGATCGCTCACACGCCTCGCCGGCCGCACATTAAACGACCCAGACGTCCAGATAGAGCAAGAGTATGTGTCAGCGCCTCTCGTCGAGGTCAATGGCCAGGTGGGCGCGGAGGTCACATACCTGGGCCAGAAGCAGAAGTTCTCAGCCACCCAGCTGATTGCCATGTTCCTGACCAAGGCCCGTGAGACTGCCTCGAAAGAGCTGAGACTGCCAGTAAACGATATGGTCATTTCCGTGCCAGCGTGGTACACAGACGCACAGAGGAGAGGCATCTTGGATGCCGCAGATGTGGCAGGTATCAAGGTTCTTCGTCTGATCAACGAGACTACCGCGACCGCTCTTGGATACGGTATCACCAAGCTCGACCTGCCCAACGCAGACGAGAAGCCACGCCGAGTCGCCATTGTCGATATCGGCCACAGCAACTACACCGCCTCCATCTGCGAGTTCAAGAAGGGCGAGCTCAAGGTCATCTCGACTGCCTACGACCGACACTTCGGTGGCCGCAACTTCGACAAGGCCATTATTGAGCACTTCCGCAAGGAATTCAAAGAGAAGAACAAGATCGGTGAGCAAGACATTTCATTTTCCATCAGCAAGCACATGTCAAGATCAAGGGATGTCCAACTAACATATTTTCCTTTCTAGACATCTACGAGAACCCCAAGGCACGTGTGCGTGTGGCTGCCGCTGTGGAGAAGTTGAAGAAGGTTCTGTCTGCCAACGCCATGGCACCCATCAACATTGAGTCGCTTATGAACGATGTTGATGTCCGGGGCATGCTCAAGCGAGAAGAGTTGGAGGAACTGGTCAAGCCGCTGCTCGAGCGTGCAACTGCACCTCTCGAGCAGGCTCTTGCCGATGCCAAGCTCAAGACGGAAGACATCGACTTCATTGAGCTTGTTGGTGGCTGCACGCGTGTTCCAGCGCTGAAGGCTGCGATTCAGAACTTCTTCGGCAAGCCTCTCAACTTCACCCTCAACGCAGACGAGGCCATCGCTCGTGGCTGCGCATTCAGCTGTGCCATTCTGTCACCAGTCTTCCGTGTCCGCGACTTCAGCGTACAGGACATCGTCAACTACCCCATCGAATTCACCTGGGAGAAGTCGCCAGATATCCCAGACGAGGATACCAACTTGACCGTCTTCAACCGTGGAAACGCCATGCCGTCGACCAAGATCCTGACCTTCTACCGAAAGCAACCGTTCGATCTCGAGGCCAAGTACGCAAAGCCTGAAACGCTTCCTGGCAAGATCAACCCATGGATTGGGCGATTCAGCGTCAAGGGCGTCAAGGCCGAGGGCAAGGACGATTTCATGATCTGCAAGCTCAAGGCACGTCTGAATCTGCACGGTGTGCTCAACGTTGAGCAGGGATACTACGTGGAAGAGCAAGAGATTGAGGAGCCAGTCCCAGATTCCAAGGATGAAGCTAAGAAGGATGGTGATGTGAGTACAGTCTGTGTTTTACATTCCCAGCCTCGCCCTGCATTTGTTTTGAGTGAAGAGGAGGAAAAAGCGTTGGCAGCAACGACATCAGGTCTTGTGAACATGCATATCGAAGAACGAGCCGCAAAACGCGCGAAACTTGACGAACCATTGCTGACGAGTCGACAGGCAATGGATACCGATGACAAGGCCAACGGCGAGGCCAAGGCGCCGAAGACCCGCAAGGTCAAGAAGCAAGTCCGCAAGGGCGACCTGCCGCTCTCTGCCGGAACCGCTTCGCTCGATCAATCTTCGAAGGACAACCTCATGGAGAAGGAAGGCCAGATGGTTGCTGAGGACAAGCTTGTTGCCGAGACCGAAGACAAGAAGAACGAGCTCGAGTCGGAGATCTATGCCATGCGCGGCAAGGTCGACGAGCCATACGAGAGCAACGGATACGCCGATTTCTGCAGCGAAGAGGAGAAGACGAAGATCAAGGCCAAGTGTGATGAGCTCGAGGTAAGATTTGACATCTGTTCAACTCATCGACAGATGCTAACGTGTTTGTAGGACTGGCTTTACGAGGACGGCGAGGATGCTACCAAGGCACAGTATGTCGCGAAGTTCGAGGAGCTGCGAGCGTCTGCTGGCCCAGTCATCCAGCGCTTCAACGACAAGAGGCAGGAAGAAGAGGAGGCCCGCCGAAAGGTCGAGGAGGAAGCCGCAGCCAAGAAGCGGGCTGAGGAAGATGCCAAGAAGAAGGCCGAGGAGGAGAAGCGAAAGGCCGAAGAGGAGTCCAAGAAGCAGGCAGAGAAGCCTGATGAGGAGATGAAGGACGCCGACGCCGAGGGCCAGGCACCGGCTGATGTTGAGGAGGCATAGATGGCGAACCAACAGCATTCCCAGATAAAAATCGTCTCGCGAGCATAGATGGGTTGAGGCTCGGCGTCGATTGGTAATGATGAACGATTGGCATTCATGGTGAGAAAAACGACGTCTTCTCTCATCAGACGAAACGACAAATGTGCATGATTGATCGACGGGTTCGGGGGGGTTTTCTTCATCGTCTTTTGAAATGGTGAAAGCGGGAGAACTTGATGGACGTATAGATAGATGACATGAAAAAAGAAAAGAGCTTCTGACTTGGTTCCTCGTCCTTCATAAGTCTTAAGCTAAGTGCAGATGCTCGATATGTCCTTCTGCTTAGCACACCCTGCCTCCTGAAGACTTCCCTTCACTTCACTTCCCCTCTAAAACAAAACCTCCCCACCACTAACCACACTCCTCCCCTCCCTCACAGCCTTCACAACCCCCTTCCCAACCAACTCCTCCACCAACCCAAACAACCACCCATCACACCCGCTCCCCGCCACAAAATCCACACTCACCGGCAAAACCTCCCTTCCGCCCGTCACCCGCGAGGCATACTCCACCTCCCCCACGGGGACCACGAAATCCGGCACCCCCGCCATCGGCGAGATCCTGGAAGTCGAAAACGCCGCCGGGGCCGTCACGCCCGAGAGGTAGGTGTCTCGGTAGGTGGGCTTGGTGGGGAGGGAGTGGATGTAGAGGAGGAGGGTGGAGCAGTCGTTCCGCAGGATGGAGGAGGTGAACCAGGATTCGAAGTTGGATTTTTTGGCTTGGGCGCTTTGGAGGGCAGGGGCGGTGAGATTTTGGGTTACGGACCAGCGGACGAGGGCGGCGGGGTCGACGAAGGGGGTGCGGTTGGCGTGGGCGGTGGCGTAGGCGGCGAAGAAGGGCTCGCGGACGAGGCGGGATTGGGAGGCGGAGGTGAGGGTGTCGTAGGTGGTGGAGATGTAGGTTGCGAAGTTTGGGTGGGTCGGGTGGGATTCGGCCCAGGAGGCGGAGAGGTTGAAGGGGGTTGTGGTGGCGTTGAGGTGGGTTGTGAGGTTGTGGAGGAAGGTTGCTAGGAGGGTGGTTGTTTCCGGGGTGGAGTTTGTTGGGGGGTAGTCGGTTAGGAGGATTTTGGTTGGGTGGGAGTTTGGTGGTGGGGTGGTGAGGTTGGTGCCGTAGAGGGCTTGGGCGGCGGTTTTCCAGAGGAGTGGGTCGCGGGTGAGGATGCCTGCTGTGTCGAATTCTGGGGATAGGGGCATCACGTTGTCGAGGGATACGAGGCCGTGGGCTGCTTTGTTAGCAGAGCAGAGCTTCAGGGTTTTGATCTTGACCTACTAGGTCGATTGCCAAAGACACCGTTCTTTTGGCTTGGACTGCGTATGCTTCCCCCGGTATCACTTCCCAGAGCGATGTCAAGCCAGGGGTATGAAGCTGTCGTAGTGATGTCGTCAGTTCATTGCGTGAACAACGGGATTGATACAGACATACCTGTGCCAGCAGCAGGTCCAGCAGAGGACGACGAAGGGTCCTGATATCCATCTCCTCGTGGGTCTGGCGATCACAGTCAGCTCCAAACTCCTCAACTCATACGCAATTCTCAGGAATTCATCTTACTAAAAGGCGAATGCATATCAACCCAGTCCGCCGTCGCCGTTTCACCCACAGCAAATTGACTCGTCTTCATTTTACCAACGAAGACGGCACCAGCATCTAGCAGATTCTGTACAGCCGGTCCAGTCTTGTTCGCCTCAGGATAAAGATGGTACCATGCCCGATTGCCGTTGGACGTCTTCAGCCCTTGAACGTCAAAGATGTCCTTGACGCCGAGTCGGACACCTGCGAGGGGTTTCTCCGCTGTCCTGGTGAAGTACAGTCGGGAGGGTACTGCTACTGCGAGAGATTGTCCAGGGATGTTCGCAGGCAGAACGGCGTAAGATCTTTGGGCACTTGGGATGGCGGTCTCTGTGAAGGCACCTTGCGTGTCTGAGTATAGCCTATAGGCTTGATAGAGCGAGCCTGTAGAAGAGATGAAGTAGGGACCATTAGGTATGGTAGTGTCGTTGGGCCGTATAGGCTTTGAATAAATGGATCGCTTCGATAATGAGTCGGCTATGGCCAACGATTCTTGAGGCCCTGAGTATTGGATGTACAGTGCTGCCAGCTTCGTCAGCGTGTTTCTGGTCTGACGTTGAGTTGAGTGAGCATACCTCGAAGGAAATCGGTCTGAAAGACGTCGTCGATGCTCGTAAAATTGGTTTGCAATTGTTCCAGGTCGTTCGTGCCGAAGGATGGACGGCCATGGTTGACTACCGTGATGGGAGCCAAATCATCGAGGGATGAATTGTATCTACAGCCAGCCACTTTGCCAGTAGCTGTTGATGGTACGTAGTAGTGGATGCCATTGAGCGTCAATGTTCTGCCAGTCGAAACGATGCTCTGCCCGTAAGTGAGTGCGCTACAAAGGGCTGCACTCAAGATGGACACAGATTGCTTCATGATTCCGGCCAGATGTCTCTTCGTCCAGCTCGTGAGACGTCGAGTACTTCCACTGGCAGTTCAAAGGCTGACGGCTTATATTGGACAAGCAACAAGCTGAGCAGCTGCACCTATTGCCAATGCCAATGGCAGTCCGTGCGATGGCCAAGGTGTTGATCATCACGGTCGTCCATCAGTCGAGAAAAAGATTTTTGCTAGCAACAACACCAATGCAGGACTGTCCATTGCTGTCAAGAACTCCGACGACCGTCGTCTTGGCTCTCGTAGTGTCTTGGTATTCGTGTCCACTAAGATTGAGCAAGTATCGCTATAGCTTGTTCAAGGTGGTGTCAATTGGCGAAGCTTGAAGCCATCAAGGTGGGAGCATGCGGGACCACTGCAGAAAGATCATCAATTCTCTCCAACAATGTCCTGGAAAGTTTTCAATGTGCCAGGGACACTGGAGTCACTGCAGTATTGGCGTATAAAGAGAGTGCAACCCGTCGTTATGGGAGGAGTTCAACGCAACGATGGCCAAATTTCAGGCTGTTGGTCTGCTATTGGCAGCATTCGTTTGCCCTTCGTTGAGCAACCCAATCCACGCACCGAATGTCACCAGCTCCCAGAATGGCAAGCCTCTGTTAGAAGACTTTGATGCTCTAGGAGCGTGGTTCGACGGTGTTGCAGCGATTAATCACAGCTCGATCCCTCGGCAGCCCAATGTCTCGATCGCCATTGTCGGAGGCGGCATTTCAGGTCTTGCGACGGCGCTGATGCTAGACAGTGTGGGCATCCACAATTGGGAGATCATCGAGGCCAGTGAACGTGTGGGTGGTAAGAGCTGCAGAGGACCGATACTTTCGTTCTGTACTGACACTTGACAGGACGCTTTCGGACCAAGTATGTTGGCGGAACGCAGGAGTGGGCAGAGATGGGCCCGATGCGCCTCCCTTATAACGTCACATACCGCAGTGACAACAGTACGCACGTGTACTCGGATCATCAGATGGTATTCCAGCTCGCAGATTGGCTGAACGATCTGAACCACAACGACTCTCATTGGAAAGTCGACTTCATTCCTTGGATACAGCACCATCCCAACGAGCTTCTCGCTCGCGGCACTGGGAGGCTTCCAGACGGAAGAGTCCCAACCCGCGCTGATATCCAGGCAAACTCCAGTCTCGGTACGGCGGCACCGCTGACCTCGACCGAGTACAACGACACGAAGGCGAAGATGAATCAAATCCTGAAGGTCGAGAACAGGCTGAAAGCAATTCAAAGAGACGTCTGGAGACAACACGGCGTGGCGATGGCTGAAGGTCTGGACGATGTCAGCGAGCAGGTACATTGAAAGAGGCTCTTACCAGGCAGCTTTTCACATGCTAACCACTGTCTCAGGCCATGATGCGTTTGGAATGGCATGCTTCAGAGAACGTCACCGACGCCATCTGGACCAACACCGATTATGATGTCTTCTGGGACGAAATGACCCACAACGTAAGTGATGCTGCTGCAGCTAAATGACATTGAACTGACAGGCCTTGTAGAGCAATCTTGGGTTGGACGGTGGCAGCGGGTCTTTGGGCGAGACGCAATGGAAATGTGTCGATGGTGGCTTCAACAGGCTCTCAGACGCGTTCATACCGCATGTCTCAGATCGTCTAACGCTGAACCGAAAGATCACCAAGCTGGATCCCATCGAGGCGAATGGAACGACCCGAACAAGGCTTTCCTGGTACGAAGGTTCGGGCAAGAACCGAACAACACATACCAAAGACTTCGATTACACCATCATGGCAGTGCCATTCACGATGACTCGCTTCATGGACTTGCCGAGCTTCTCCTCGGTCCTCTCTCGTGCCAGCAGCGAAGCCGGTCTGCGATTCAAGTCGGCTTGCAAAGTCTCGTTGCTGTTCGAAGAGAGATTCTGGGAGAAAGGCGAGCGGCCAATCTTTGGTGGGTACTCTCAGCCTGAAAGTGCAGCAGTCGGCGCGCTCTATTACCCAGTGTACGGCTTGAATGAGACTGGTCGTCCAGGATTGATCACTCACTACCGCGGAGGCGATTGGAGCGATCGCTTCGTCAGCTTCTCTGACGAGCAACACGCAGAGCTGGTCCTCGACGCCATTGCCGACTTGCACGGAGAAGAGGTGCTGGACTTGTACACTGGAGATTTCGAGCGACTATGCTGGTTGCAGGACGAGCATACGGCCACTTCATGGACGAGGCCGGATATTGAGCAGCACAAGCTGTACATTCCGTCATATCATAAGACAGAGCATAATACCATCTTCATCGGCGAGCATACCGCGCCGACACACGCGTGGGTCAGCTCCTCGTTGCACTCATCTGTTCGCGGTGCTGTGCAGCTTCTGTTGGGGCTTGGGCTGGTGGACGAGGCCAAAGAGCTGAACCAGCGATGGATGGGCAGGTGGATTGACTTGGAGTAGAGAAAGTCCTGATTGATGTTGATGGATAGGAGACGAGGTCGCAGCAACAGACGGGGCTGTTGTTGCTCATCTGCATGAGCTATCCCCCATCAGGAGTATTATCTGTCGATTACGTATGATTTCCTCTGGTAGACGAGGTAATGGACGACAGCGACTTCGCTCCCTACATACCACATGCTTTTGCTATCAATCATTCACTTACATTTCTGTATCCTGTTTAGCTTTTGTTGTCATGATTGAGCGACTGCTACTGTCTGCATGATGTTCTCTCGTCGAGCTCTTCAGGCTCTCCGCCAGCAAAGTCGTTGTTTCTCATCTACGCCACATCAAAATGCGGACTTCACCCACGCAGTCATTGGCGCCGGAGCTGTGGGTCTTGCCATTGCACGACGCTTGCAACAGGTGGGGGGAGCGCAGGTCGTTCTGATCGAGAAACATGACATGATTGGCAGTGAAACGAGTAGTCGAAACTCTGAGGTTTGCAATCTGCACCAACTGCTGGCTTGATAAAGACACTGATGAAGTGTCAAGGTCATCCACGCCGGAATATATTATGGACCCGACAGCCTCAAGACAAAATTGTGTATACAAGGCAAGAAGATGATCTACGACTACTGCCAAAAGAACGATGTGCCTCATATGAACTGTGGCAAATGGATTGTCGCCCAAGATGATGTCCAAATGCAAGAATGCCACAAGGTCCACGAGTTTGCAAAGTCGATCGACGTGCCCATCCGCTACGTGTCCAAGGAAGAAGCGCAAAGACGAGAGCCAGATGTCAGAGCGGAAGCGGGCGTCCTGGAAAGCTCAAGCACTGGTATTGTCGACTCTCATGCCTTCATGCAAACACTACTTGGGGACTTTGAGAACGAAGGAGGTACGCTGGCTCTTGTGAGTCCAGTCACTCGCATCCAACCACCGTCGAATGGGGATTTCGATTGGAAGATCTGGACTGGAGCAGACACATCAGAACCAATTCCAGCTTCACCAACACCGCAGGCGCCAGAGCAAAGCCCCGCGAGCGACGAAGATACATTCATCACTGCTGAGACCGTAATCAACAGTGCTGGGCTATACGCCTGCACCATCAACAATGTGATACTACCACCTGAGAGACATCGGACGCAGTTCTACGCCAAAGGGTCCTACTTCACATATTCGAAGTCACACCCGAAGCCGTCGACGTTGATATATCCAGCACCTGTACCAGGACATGGTGGCCTTGGAACTCACCTCACCCTCGACATGGGCGGCCAAGTTCGTTTTGGCCCCGACGTGGAGTGGGTAGATTCACCGAACGACCTGGCGCCAAACGCCGATAGTGATCGATTCCAAGCAGCTCTCGCAGACATTAAATCTTACCTGCCTGGCATCGACACAGCTTCCGTCTCCCTAGGATATGCGGGCATCCGACCAAAGCTTGGTAAGACCAGCGCTACGGCGGGCGGCAAAACGTTTCAAGACTTCTACATCGCGAAAGAGGAAGGCTTTGAAGGATTCGTTAACTTGCTGGGAATTGAAAGTCCCGGCCTGACCAGCAGTTTGGCGATTGGCGAAGAAGTCTACAGGTTGCTCTACAAATGATCCCTTCGATGATGGGGAGTGAGCGTCGGCGTGGAGGTGGATGAACCGACGAACAGATATCCGACTATCAACAGTTGACACATATCCAAGAAGCAATCAAATCCATACAATACATACGTTGTTGAGAACGCGCTGACGAAGTCGCAGTAGGAGTCTGCCGCCTTCCGTCCTTCCTATAGAACCCTTCCAATTCTCTTGCACCAAGAGCCCTTCCCCCAAACTCCCTCTCTCATTTCCCCCTCTACTCCGGGCAATCGCTCTCACACGCCCTTCCTGGCGAACAGCAGCCGCAATTAAGGCCGTCCCCGAAGCCGCACGAGGCCAGACAGAGCCAGCAGGCCGCGGACTGGCGCTTCAGGATCTCGCCGCCGGACATGTGGTCGTCGATGGTGCTCTTGAACAAGTCCATGGATCGCTCTTCGACGCTGCGCTTCTGCACATTGCCCGCTGGCACGGCGGCGACGGCGGAGCCGAGGAGGCCGGCGATGGCGAAGATGGTGGCGACTGGAATTTAGAGTCGTTAGTGTGAGAGTCGTGGAGGAGGCTGTGATGGCAGTGGCGTACACTGCATTGTGAATGGCAGAGGGATTTTCTTCCTGATGCGCGCGTGCGGACTCGATATATGTTGTAGCGGGTTCTGATGTTCATTGATGTGAATGTTCCTGTGTTGTTGGCACCACGGCCGTCTTTACATACCTTCAGCTCCCCTGAACTCTCGCGGTCGAGCATAACGACCATCATGTCCACCGAGGGCCTCGTCGTTGCGTGGTCTGGATCACTGTGCCACGCATACGAGACTGTCTATCTATCACGAGACATGATCAACACGGTCGGTCGGTCTTCGTTACCTCAACGGCCATAGGATCACATGCTCCATGATTCTGTTCCACCGCTCGGAACAACACCAAAGGCCATTGAACCTAACGTCCACACAAAGCTACGAAAGCTCTAGCAGGGTGTCACAATACGGGGCCATAATCTTGTCAGCAGGCTGGAACGGCCACGCCGCCAACCTTTAGACAAGCCTTGGAGATTAGCTTGTCTCGACTGAGGCTCCTCATCGCCGCAGATGTGCCAAAATTATGGTCCTTTCTGGTGACATCGGTGTGCACTTAGTCCATACTCTTACCACAGCTTTGGGATCCGGTCCATCATGGAGCAACTCGCTATGGGGTGAACGGTCACCGTGCTATTGAAAAACGGTTCACAACAGACAGACCACACGGAGATTCATGGGTTGATTGACTCTAATCACACGCATTTCCGTAGCCCTTCAGTCGCCGCCGCGCAAAGAGAGCCCTGTCCAGGCATCGGAATTACAAATCCGATCGGTAAAGATATCCCTCCTTCAGGGGTCTTATATCCTACCACCGTCCACATCAACCTACAGCGTCTTCTTCTCTCCAATGACCTCTGCCTCAGCTCCCACACCATCCCTCTCCAGCATCAGAAACGCCGCCGCAGCCCCAGGTCCTGCAAGAACACCCACGCCCAACGTCTGCACCACCAACTCCAATCCCCCTTTCTTCACGGCCTTGTTCCCCGCCACAGCCTCAAGATACATCGCCGTCGCCCAGACCACAATCGCCGCGGCTGAGCAGAGGTAATCCCACTGCAGGAACACCGCCACGCCGGTCTCGAAGTCAACTTTCTGAACCACAGCCTCGGACCAAAACGGCGTCGGGATGAGGACCGTCGCTGGATCCAGAGCCTTCGAGACGGCGGGATCCAGCCAACCCGGAAACATCTCCGGCGCGAGCAGGAAGCCCAGCGAAGTAACATGGAAGAAGGCCGAGGCGAGGATGCTGAAGACGTAGAATGTCCTTCGACTTCCAACTGCACTCCCACCAGCAGCACCACCAGCGGAAGGAAGCACCGCCTTGAACACCGTCCAGAACCCCGCCAAGAAAACCGGATGGAACAGCCTCGCCACCGTCCAAATCTGCTGACTCGCCCAGAAACCCTCGCCATCAGGTTTCAACCGCAACATAAGCACCGTAGGGACTACATGCCCCAGGACCAAACCCCACCCCAGAGCTCTCAAATTCTCCTTCCCCTTTCCACTATCCTTCCTGCTGAAAAGCAAATGCCCAACCCCCCAAACCCCCGTAAAAACCCCAATCCCAAAAAACTCCCCCAGCAACTCCGCCGCAAACGTCCACGCCACCAACCCGCTCCCTTCTCCATTCACCTCCGCGAGCATAACCAACCAAATACTGCTCAGCGTCCCGAGGAGATGATTCCCCGCCCAGTGCGCGCGGACGTTGCGGGCGTCGAGCGTCGTCCAGAAGAAGGAGGTCATGAAGGCGAAGTAGTTGTCTAGCTGAGGGAGGTTTGTGGAGGGGAGGCGGATCGGGATGGCGGTGTTGGGGAGGGTGCGGGTCGTGTAGGTTAGGAGGGAGTGCAGGTTGAAGGTGCCGTTCCATTCGGCTTGTTTTACGAGGGCGAGGTGCGCGGTGATTACGATGCCGGCTAGGAGGGCGCCTGTGATGGGGCGGAGGAGGGCCATGGTGATTTCTGTCTGTCTGTCCTGTTCAAATGGAGGGCGGTGCAGTTTGAAGCGAAGTCTTGTCGCTGGTTCGGTGCAGCAGATGGAAGGAGAAGGGAAAAAGGAAGGGAAGAGAGAGCGTTCTCACTGCTTACTCCCAATATCCTTCTCCGCAGTAATATGTATATTAGATAGCCTGACGTCCGAGATAAACTCCCATCTCATTCGACCAAGACCTCGGCTACCGCGACGAAAGCGATAGCGAGAGACCCAGACAAAGACATGATTACGGCCGCAGCCTTGAGAGGGGAATGTACCAAATTTCGAACCACACATGTCGTGATGATGATTAAGGAGCGTATACTTGCCTTCAAGTCATAGTCTCCATATCCTACAACCGACCAAGCTAACAAGTCTTTTGTACACCTCACAACCGCTAACAATACAGCTACGACGCTCAATCGCTCTCTCAGTCAGATAGGCACCGCTAAACGATAGACGCACAACTCGTCCTTTCCTTCGTCCGTCCACACGTCTCGCTCACAACTTTTTTTTGTCAACATGCCAAAATGATTACCACGGCTTGCAGGGCTCCTTCGCGCTCTTTCAAAGGCAGAAGAGGCCTATCTCTTGCTCTGACCCTTCTTCTTCGCAGCGACCACTCTGAAGTTGCCATTGGCCTCCTCCTTTGCCGCCGCTGTGTCTTTGCTAGGCCCCTTTTTGGCAACCTCATTCCAGCCAGACTGGCCGTTAGCTGAAGCGCCTGGACTGGCGCTCTTAGGCACAGTAGTATCGATCAGGCCCTTGTCCGCGAGCTTCTTGCGACGGATGAACTCGTTTGCGAAGTGACGGGAATCGATGGTACTGGAGACACCATGGACTGCTTCGGTGATGATTTCGGCGTCTGGTGGGAGGAATACAAGACCGGCAACGAATTCGTCGGCTGTTGAATAGGTCAGCGAGTTGTCAGAAGTGTCATTATATATAACTTACCGTTGATTTCCTTGTTCAAATCTGGTCTCAGCTCACCAATAGCCCACTTCTTGAATTCTTCCTGTGCATTTACAGTACCCGGGTTTGTCATAGTCGAGCTCCGAGTCGGCGGCTTCCTAGCAGGCGCCGCAGGTTGCAACGTAGGCACAACGCCAGCGCTCACAGTACGGCTGCCGGCTGGGGTTGGTACAGCTGCAGGCGTCTTTGGCTTGCCACCAGCACCGACCGTCGTCCATGCTCCACCAGGGGCGTTACCAGTTGGTGCAGGCGAGCCGACTTTACCGGCCAAATTGGCGTAACTCTTGCCACCAGCTGGAGCAGGAACACTGCTCATAGCATGTGCTTGGGCTTGCGCAGCGGCCGCAGCAGCAGCTTGCTTCTTCTTGCGGGCTTCCTCCTCCTTCTGGATCTGCGCCAAGGTCTTCGAAGCGGATGGACCGGTAGGCTTCTGTGCAGTCTTTGTCCATGCCGCTGGGGCGGATCCGGTTGGCGTAGCAGGGGATGCAGCACCCCAAGTGGACGAGGTTGGCAACCCTGGTTGAGGAGCTGACGCTTGTACCTGCTGAGCCTCCATATCCTTCTGGAGTTGTGCACGCCTTGCAGCTGCAGCCATTGCCTCAGCTTCGGCAGCCTTCTTCGCTTCAGCCGCTTGGATCTCCTTGAGGGATGGGCCTTTTGGAGCCTCCGCGGGCTCTTTCGCCCATGGAGCGACAGTTGCGCTACGAGTGTCTGCCGATGGAGTTTGCGAAAGATCGCGAGACTCTGTCTGAAGCTGATCAGCCACACTCTGTCGTCCGGTACGCTGCGCGGCAGGCGCTGGCAATGGTGACTGAGATGGGGCAGGTGGGAATGGCTGTGGCAAGCCTGGCTGCTGCGGGACAGGGGACTGCTTGGCTGAGGCAGCTTTCTGGACCTGCTCGGTCAACGAGAGCGGCTCTTCCTGCGCCTGTGGTCTCTGTTCCTGAGCCGGCACGATTGGCGAACCCACACTGCTCTGCATGGATGAGTTACCTTGAGACTGAGCCTGTCCAGCCTGGTGGCCGGGTTGAGCACCAGATGCTCGCTCCAGAGCAGGCTGAAATCGGCCGATGCCAGGGATCTCATTTTGCAGCTGCTGGAACTGCTGTAGGCGGTCGTTGGATGCTTGAGCTTGTTGCTGCTCACTTGACTGCTGCTGGACGTCATGCTCAGCCTGTTCTTGCTGCAGACGCGCACGGTCCTGAAGCATCTGCTGGACTTGCTTGTCGTGTGCTTCTTGAGTAGGCTGAGCCTGCTGCTGCTGGCCACCTACTGGCTGTCCGGGAGCCCCAAACTGACCTCTATTCTCGCTCAGATTCAAGCGATCCATGATACCAGGGATCTCTTCTTCGCGGATCCGGCCCAAAGAGTCCAAGCCGCCGCCAACAGCACCTAGCCCACCCGCCTGCTGTGCACGGAAAGAATTGTCAAAGAAGCCCTGCGTGTGGGAAGCTGGCGTTGGTCCCTGAACGGGGCTTGGCTGAAATGCAGTCGGGCTAGCAATGCTTCCAAAGCTCGGCTGCGAGTGCAGGCTCTGCGCGCTGCTATGATGCTGAAGCTGCTGCCCAGGTGCCAGGTTAGGGTGGCCTGGTTGCATTTGCATTCGCTGAGCAATCTGAGCTTGCGCGAGATGTTCCTTCTGGCGGGCCATGAGATACTGCTCTTCTTGCTTCCTCCTCTCAAGTGCATTCTGCTGTTCGGCAGTGAGAGTTGTGCCAAAGCTCGGGAAGCTGGAAGCAAACGGTGGTTGGGCGCCTGTAGTACTAATAGCAGTAATGCTCGCCCAAGCATTAGGTCCAGTGGGAGCAGTCGCGGCGCCATGAGGGATGCCAATCTGCGGAACCAAAAAGGGCTCACGAGAGTTACCAATGCGCCTGATGAGCTGCGCGAGCGGCTCGTACTCTAGATCCTCATATTTCTTGACCAGAAGCTCAGGGGAGAAGAAGCCTGCCTTGTACCAGTCATGCATTTCCAGTCCAGTCCATGGCCCCTGTGTCTGACCTTGAGGGTCCTTGTAGATCCAACGCATGCGATCTGGCATGACCATCGTACGTTGCTGAGGAGCAGGAGGTTGGCTTGAGGCCGAGCTTCCTTGGAACTGACCCTGTGGTTGCGATGGGTCTTGCTGCATTGGTTGCCCAGGTGCACCAAACTGCGCTTGTTGGTTGTCGCCAGCCTGAGACTGCTCGTGACCTTGATTGAAGCCTTGGTTCGCAAAAGGACTCTCAGCAGCCCTGCCTGCATCCCCAAAGCCACCAAAGCCAAGAGGAGCGCGCTCATTGTCGCGATCATTCTCGCTCTGGCGCATCTGGTCCTGCATGGCTTGTGGAAACATGCTCGCCATGCGACTGCCACCAAAGCCAGCCTGTGGGCCGAAGTTACCCCCTCCCAATCCCGCGAGACTCGGCGATTGCAAATCAGACATGTTATTGGAGAAGACACCACCGCCGAATGCGTTCGAAAGACCTGCTGTTTGTCTGCTTGGAGTGCCAAGACCACCTTGAGTGACGGGCCAGGCCGCAGAGCCAGAAACATTACCCAGCTGCCCGAGACCTCCCAACCCTGAGAATCCACGATTGGGCCCTACACTGGAAGTCTGGCTTCTGTCACTTGCTGGACCTTGCCCGCCTGGAGCACGTCCGAGGTTTGGAAGAGCCCCAAGTCCGCCCAGGCCTCCAAGTTGCTGATCACCAAACTGGCCTAGTCCGGGAAGATGATTGTTGTGCGATTCGTTGGCATCGTCGCCAGCGTCTTCATGCATCCTGTCTACACCGTGCTGTTCTGGAGACTGATATGGGTTTGTATCCGTTGGACTCATAGGTTCGTTTCCAGTACCGGGAGGTTGTCCCATTCGCTGATGTGCTGGCGTCTGTTGGAAAGCCTCTCTACCAGGGAGAAAGCCTTGGCCAAACCCATGCGTGTTGTCGGAAGTCATGCCAAAGGCGCCAAATCCGAATTCGTCCTGTGTGCCTTGACGGCTTGGCGTGCCGAAGCCGCGGAGTCCCTGTCGAGGGTGCGGTGGACTGATATCGGTATCAGCGTTCAAAGCCGCACTCCCAGAGGGCATATCTTCATCAGCCTCGTCCAGAATATCGTTCACGGGATCGGTCCGGTCCTGTGCGCGCCAAGATTCATTCTCGTTCACCCGCGAAAGGCTGGAAATGCTAGTCTTTCTCTCAAGGGTTCTTTGCCCGATCTCTTCACCACTGTCTTTGCTTAGAAGATTCTTGAACCTGCTCTCCGACCTGCCGCTTCCCAACCCAGGGCGTTTGTCGCTTGCCGCACCCGCCTGAGCCGCGGTACCACCCAAGCCAAAATTGCCGAAAGAGCCCATGGGAGACAATCCGGCACTTTGCGGGGCAGTCGATCCCCATGGAGAAGAGGGTGCATTGAAGCCGGCAGATAATGGACCGGTGGGGTGGCGTTTCAATGTTCCGAACGGAGTCGAGGCCTTCTCTTCGCCCTCCTTTTCGTCCGATCGATTGGCATCCTTCAAGTCCGTCCTCCTACGCTGGAGAGAAGGTGGAGGCGAAGCAGCTCGCTGCTCGTCTCGGTTGAAACCGCCTGGAGAAGCGACAGTGTTTTGAGGGAATGGGTAGGACTCGCTCGTCTCCCGACGGCGCCCACCGCCGCGCGCAACGTTTGGCGATGGAAGTCCAAAGCCGCCGGGTGTGGTGGCAGTGGAAATTGACACCTTGCGTCCAGGCAAACCATTTGCTTGCTGGTTGTCCTTGTTAGTAGCCGGGGGTTTGATGGGTGTATTGACCGAGTTCATGAACAGCTGGATGTGTATGTCAGTGAAGCGTCCAAGACATAGATTTAGGTGCGTATTCGATTCCAACTCACCTCCCTCTCGTCGTCGTCCATGTCGGTCAATCCCAGAGGTTCAATCGAGCCATCTTTCTCCCAGCAAGCTTCAGGACCGGGCTGAGGATCTCTGGCCTGATCTGCCCTGCCCCACGCAGGAGCTGTGCCATTTGTCACATCAGGTTGCCAACCTCCCACGAACGAACCCTGCAATCCATCACTCAAGCCCCCTTCGGTGCTCTGCTGGGTTTTGTAAAGATCGAGTAATTGTTCCTTGGCATAGCGAGTGTCGGGAAGGGTGCCATTGCGGTGAGGCGGGACGTATCGCGGTGGTAGCGAAGCGAGGGGCTCAGTCTGGTGGGGAGTGCTGGAGGTGTTGGTGGCGCCTGACGGTCGACGGAATGTCTGCGTGGCTCCGTTGGTTCTGCGCGGCCTATAGACACAGTATAAGTAGATGATCTAAAACGCGCACGATATTGATGGCAGAGGTGCCCCTCGTGATGCGCGCGCATTGGAGGGGTTGCGCAAGCAATTCTCCGACTCTTTTTCCCACGACCACTTACCATTCCGAAGGAGCATCGCGCGGAGGGATCTGGGAGGAGTTGTTGCCGGCGGCGGCGGATGCGAAAGACGAAGGGGCCATGGTAAATCGAGTCCGGGACGAAGGTCAGGCGTGGCAGGAGGCGTCTGGACTGCGGGAGGGAGGACTGCTGGCGAAGAATACGGCGAAAGGCGGTGGATAGAGGGTGGACGTCGGCGAAATTGGTTAAACGGTTGATCAAAGCGGAAGATGCGGGCGGTGCGAATTCATGTGGTGTGGGCTCTCGCGGCGAAGCAGAAGACGAGAGAGAGACAGGTGATTTTGGAGGTCGTCGCTGCTTGCCTCTAGCGCGTCCTTCTCATTGGCTGATGCTTCGTGCCGAAGGGACGGCCCCGATGTCTATATCAAGACAGCTTTCAATCGATATCTGCACGTCTTGCTTCGTGTACAAAACTCATTGAGGCACAAACGCAAAGCGTTACAGTATGATCTCAAGACGACACGGAGACGACTAGAGCGGCTTTTGTTGCCCCAAAGACCAGCCTTCATGGTCAGGGTCTGCCTTTGCCTCCACGATGTGCTCTATTCGTCCTCACAAAATCGACCCAAATGCTGTGGGAGAGGTATGCAACTATTGCTTACAGGTCTTGCATTTATCAGAATCACTGCAGCACGCGACCACGTCTGCTCAAAGTGTTCCTGCATGCATCATCGTCCACTACTGCTGCCATCCACCACACGTCTGCATCTCTTTCTAATTCCATCCCCATATACCACTTTCAATTCTCCATCACTATAGCTCTTATGCTTCTCCCACTACCACACACGAAACTCCACCAGTCTCAGAAGATCGAAAGCTCGACGCGTGGCTGCCCGATGTGCGCGTTGAAGACACGATGCTGGAAGCCACGGCTTGACCTCCGCACCAAAGATTCACATGCGCGCGTTTTGACGATGACTCTCGACTTGCCACGCGAGAACACGGCTCTTCAGTATCGCCGGCGTTATCATTGACGCGTTCATCTATCTCGCGTGTCGTTCGCGAGGCACAGGCATCATGTCCGCGATTCAGTCGAGATCGTGGTACCACAGCATTGGGATCAGGGGCGGGTCAATGCAATAATTTCACTTGGACTACGCGACTCAGACGGTGCTTGTATAGCTGTACAGGCGTTGTCTTAACACCTACTCGTTGCTACCGTCATCTGTGTTCTGGAGAGGACCAGAGTCATCTGGGCGTAGGAGGGCAGCGGCCACGAGAACGAACACTGGCTATCCATCAATCCATCAGGGAATCATCGCGGACTTGAAACCACAGCATCTTCCCGCCGCGCAAAATGGGAATACCTCCAGGAGATCTCGTCAGACCCATCATCATCACCGTAGGCACTGTCCTTGCCAGCTTCAGCTCCTCTCGGACTCTTCGCGTTCTCATACATCACTTCGATTTCATTCCAATCCCACATATACGCCACTTCTCTACCTTCAAAAATGTTCTCTCATAATTCTCCCTCTCACACAACAAAATGTCCAACGACTTCTCAAACAAAGCGATAGCCATCACCGGTGGCGCCTCAGGCATCGGCCTCGCCATAGCCAAAACCCTCCACTCCCGAGGCGCCAAAATCAGCATCTGCGACTGGTCCCAAGAAAACCTCGACAAAGCTGCCGACGCCATTGGCGTATCACCCGAAGACTTCCTGGCGTGCAAATGCGATGTGCGAGATCTGGCACAAGTCAAGTCCTGGATCGAGCAGACAGTCGACAAGTTTGGGAGACTAGACGGAGCGGCCAACTTCGCTGGTGTTCTTGGAGCGAAGCCGTGGGAGGATACGGTCGAGAATCAAGATGAGGAGGATTGGGAGAGGGTTATCGGGATCAATCTCACAGTACGCATCTCAATCCCTACTACCTCCCATCCCCCATACTAATACATGGACTATTAGGGCACCTTTAACTCCCTCAAAGCCCAACTCCTGCACCTCCCCCAAAACTCCTCAATCGTAAACGCGGCCTCCCTCGCCGGGATAAAATCCGTCCCAGGCGCAACCGCCTACGTAGCCTCCAAACACGGCGTCGTGGGCCTAACCCGCGCCTGCGCCAGAGACTACGGGCCCAAAGGGATCCGCGTCAACGCCGTCGCGCCAGGCTGGGTGGGAACGCAGATGTACGATGTCTTGAGTGCTGGACGGGAGGATGTCGTGGAGAAGGCTGTCAAGACGGAGCCGATTGGGAGGGTCGCGGACCCGGAGGAGGTGGCGAGGGTGGTGTGTTTCTTGTTGAGTGAGGAGGCGAGTTTTGTGACGGGGAGTGTGTGGAGTGTGGATGGCGGTGTGAGTGCTTAGAAGACGAAGGTATGTAACACATGCGGCTCAAATATCCTGGATCACTGTGACTGACCTCCTCTTCTCTGCAGAGTTACACACGACCAACACTGCCACGTGCAGTTCAACAGCTCGGACTGACGTACCATCAGCAGAGATGTTTGCTATCATGCGACTAGCCGTCTGGCAACCCCTCTGTGCTCAGCAACGCCAAATATCCCATGGATGCTTGCATCTAATGATCTCATTTCGATTCTAGCCGTTGAGGGGCGAAGAACACATGCAATCCTCTCGCCTGATCGGACGATACAGACCTGTTGCTCAGGTGGAGACGACATGCTACAGCATAGAAAGAGCTTGTCTTGAAGACGATATGCTGAAGACGACTGCATGCGGTCCGTGCTCCGATGCCGCGAATGCCACCCTAGTATCGACGCGACGACGGGTTGATTTGATGTTTGGATGATGGCTGGACGTCTTGGCGCACGAAGTGTTTGACGATTGCTGCACGGGGTTTGGGCTCGTTGAGGAGAAGAGGTATAAGAGCTGCTCCTCTTGCACTGCCCCTCAACACTTTCCCTTCTTTCCTTTCCTCTAATCTCCCTGCTCTCCACGAGCTGCTTTCAGGCGGCTCAATCAATTCTCCCAAAACACCCTGGATATCATCTGAACTTGTGTACTTCTACCCCCTCCCCCTTTCGTTCGCTACCTCCCACTCCCTCCATCAACCCCAGCCAACAACCCACAACCCCAGCAATAACCATGAACCCGGCCCTAAACCCCCTCCTCCAACATGCCATGATGGCTCAAACCGGCCTCCCCCTAGGCCGAAGAGCCAACGGCTTCGGTACCCTCCCCATCCCCCTTCCCCTCCTCCCTCACCACTAACTGACCATATCTAGGCGCCCTCCCCCTCGGCCCAGGCGTCCCCATCCCCGCGCACCAACTAAACTTCCTCTCCGGCCAAGCAGGCATGCTCCCCACCCCCTTCTCCGCCGGCCGCTACCCCTTCCCGCAAACGCCCATGCCTATGCAACCGATAAATCCCATGATGATGGGGATGATGGGCGGTGGCGGCGGACGGGGCGGGATGATGGGAGGTGCTGGAGGCGGAGGAGGCATGATGGGCGGCGGTGCCGGAATGAACATGAACCCCTTAATGCTAGCCTACCTCCAACAACTCTACCTCGAAATGCTGCTCTCGCAAAGCGAAGACCCGGATGACACGGGGGTTTGGGACGGCGACGATGAGGAAGGCGCGGATGTTCTCGCGAAGATGAGGAGACGAAGAGGAAGACGTGGTGGTGGTGAGTCCCATTCCTCTTGCTCTCGTTCTTCCAACCACAGCACACCTCCCTCGCCCACCACCCTGTTTAGTTATTATACCCTCAGCTTACCCGCCCTTCTCCTCCCTCAAAGCCTCCCTCTCCCTCTTCGCAGGTCTGGGCGCGCACGTAGGCGACCACGCATTCAACATCGGCGGCGGCGTAGGCTGCGGCTTGTTCTCTCGTCAGCCTCGTCGTTCTTGTCGGGGGGGTATAAATGGCTGTGTCCCGACTAACAATCATACGAATAGATCTCGGTGGGATGGGCATGGGGATGGGGATGAGTCCGTTTGGGATGGCGCCGTTGGGGATTATGTGAGGATGTAGAGACGGGAGACGTGCGTTGGGTCTGGCATATAGTGTTGGACTCTGCGAGAAGGATGGTATTGACGATGTTGGGCTCCGCGAGAAGGAGGATTTGTTGATGAGAAGCTTGGCATTGAAATTCATTGGGATGGTCTCCAAAGATACATTGGCATCAGCACTGCGCAAGAGATACCCGGTGTGGGAGTGTGCAGACATCAACAGCATTAATGGATTGTGGCATCACACTCCTTTAGACCCGACAAACAAAAACTGGGGGAGGAAAGTAGATAGCATAGCATGCATGACCACAATTTTGATATCATTCATCTCATCCATTCATAGAAGAAGGGTACTCTAAATGCCCTTGGTATCCCATCCCATCCCAAAAATGCCCATACCCAATCCAATATCCCCTCAAAAGCGCCGAGCAATGACCCATACCCCCAATACTCCTACATTCGATCTTCCTCTCCCATTCAAATCCCCTCCCTCGCCCTAAACTCCGCATGCGGCCCCTCATTCCTGCTCATAAACCAATCCTGCAACTGATACTCGCCCTCCTGCCTCTTGCCGGTGCCAATCTCCCTCTGAATAAACCCACTAACCTTCTGATCCCCACTGAGCCGCAAATCATACTCCCACAACAACCTCGCGACCGCGATGCACAGCTCCATATACACCAGCGGCTTGCCCAGACACGCGCGGTGGCCGATGGAGAAGGGGTTGTAAACGGCGTTGAGCGCGTCCCGGTCCTGCGGGTGGTCTTTGGACAGCCAGCGGTCCGGGTCGAAGGTGAAGGGGGCGACGACGTAGTCGGCATGGTGGTGGATGGCGTAGATGGGGATGCCGACGTCGATGCCCGCGGGGAGGTTGAGACCCAGGGCCGGGATGGCGAGGCCGCCTTTGAAGATTTCGCGCGGGAGCACGCCGCCGACCGCGGGCGTCATGCGCATGGTTTCGTCGATGCAGGCGCGCAGGTAGGTGCAGGATTGCATTTGCGGGCCCATGTGGATGGAGCCGCGGGAGGGGAAGGTGGTGCGGATTTCGTGCGTGAGTTTTTCGAGGGTGTGGGGGTTGTGGAGGAGGTAGTAGAGAGTGGCGGCGAGGGTGCTGGAAGAGAATGTCAGTAAGGGTAGTAGAGGCGAGTAGTGTGGTGCTTACGTTGAAGTGGTATCAGACCCAGCGACGATGAGGGTGTTGCCCTCCATCCACAGCTCAGGCATGGGCATACCCTCACCAGACTCCGGATCCTTGGCATGCAACAAGAAAGAAAAGATATCCCTCCGTCCAGTCTCCATCGACGGCGACCCAGCGGCACCGAAACCCGCATCCTTGGTCCGCTCCATGACCTGCTTCTTGCCAAAAGCGAGGTACTTGCATCGGTCGAGGAACAGTCCTCGAAGGATGGGTAGCCACTTCTCCAGACCAGTGTACAGAAGAGCAGGCATAGCAGCAACGACATAGTTCCTCCTCGCAGCGCGGCCGAGCAGGTAAATTCCCTCTCTGTTCTCGGGCTTCTCACCAAGCGTACCGAAGGATCGGCCAAAGACGAGGTCGCCCATGATGTCGAAGACCAGCCAATTGCACCAGTTCGCCATGTCGAGAGGAACGCTCCAGCGGGATTTCTCAGCACCAGGACGGTTCACGGCCACGCCGATGCGGTCGACCATATCCTGCACATGACCAAGAACGTATTGCTCGAAACCGCGGAGGGCATTCTCAGAGAACGCCTGGCCCATAATTCTTCGCTTGCGAGCATGGTGGTGTTTCTCAGTGGCCAGCAGAGTGCTGATAGCCTGCGGTGCGGCGCGGAAACACTTGTAGAAGACCGACTTCTGGACATTGGCTCCATGAGCATAGATGACCTTCAAAGCAGCCGGATCGTTGATCGAAAGCGAGTTGGGCGAAAACCGGACGACCGTTCCATACTTCTTATGCAGATGGTAAAACAAAATGTGCTTGTCTCCAACATACGCATGGTAGACATCATACCACTGCGTCAGGCGTCCAAGAAGCGGGCCTGGGTACTTCGCCAACGGATGGAAATACAGCTGATACACGACATACGCTGCAAAGGCCGCCAGGACCACACCGATGATCGCCGCTGTCGACACGCATCGGAACGAGCTCACGCAAGATCCCACCAGCCCGCCGACTTCAGGTCGCGCCGCCACGATCTCCCGGATCTGGTCCGAACTTCGCACAAAGAATTCGTTGAGATGTTCTGATCCGGTGCTGAGCATTTCTGACAGGTGTTGCGGGACTTCAGGCGCCTTCTCCATGGTTGCGTAGACGAAATCGCGCACCTCGACGAGCTGCGGACGACTCGCCATGATCTGGTGGAATTGCTCCGGGATTTTGTCCATTTCGCACGAGGCACGAAAAAGAGGACAAAGGAAATCCGAAACAACAAGCTGAGATGTGTGGAGGGGAAAGAAGAGGTGAGGTTACACAGATTAAAAAGAAGAGGCCCGAACCTCGCGTGGGATGAGATGAGATGTAATGTACTCGCGAGAAGCGAACCTACCGGGTTCGAGGCTGTACGCAGTGCCTCATCAGCGCAGGCCAGGCACGTCGCATCGTTACCGCCTGTAGCAGTCCGATTATATCACGTGCGACGCGCGCCACGGCCAATGGTGAGACGCATAGGGACAAGCAGTTTGTTGGCGGGCGGAGTGTGATTGGGTGGCGCGGCGGACACAGGAATCGAGGGACATCCCAAGCGTAGGGCAAGGCTCTTCCCAGCTGCAGCCAGCAGAGCAACAAGCTGCATCCATCGTAGCGAGCAAGCAACCTCCTGCGCGTTTGCGCAACATGCCAGTCGGTGCCGTGGAACTGCTCGGTACCGAGTCCAACACTTCCTCGATGCGTCTGTCAGACTTGACTGAACGACAGAGCAACGAGCATGTCGAGGTGGCATTCGGGCAGCGAGGTTCGACGTGAGACGACGTGGGCTGACGTATGGCTGAGACCAGCTGGAGGCGCCGCTCGGGGCTCGGTTCGGTTGCTGTGCGCGGAAGAGCTGAAAGGTGTCCAGAGAGGAGAGCGGATCCAGACGTGCAGCTCGCTGGCGGTGGGCGACTACCGGCTCTTTTATCTTTCTCTCTCCGGCTCCCCACTGCCATAGTCCGAAGCGTAGCGACGTTAGTACCGTTGCACAGCGCATAGATCCATATGGGTGAATGTCTCGTCCTGGCCTTGTTCTGCATTCGTCGTCTGTCGTGCACTTCGATTTTCGCAGGTCCTCGATCACTCAGCCCACGCCGAGTTGTGAGCTCGCAGAGCCTCAATCGCCCAGCCAGCCAGAGCCACAAGAGCCACCAGGATTTGCCAGTCCAGGCACAGGATCAAACTCTCTCGCCAAATGAATCAGCGTCGTGTCAGCCCATTCGTTCCCGGTACGCGTATTTCGCAGTTGGTGGATCTGTTGGATAAAAGCCACGTTGTTATCCCAGTAGAATTGCGAGGGATTGTTTCGCCCAGAGATAGATGATGGAATGAATGATGAGAAAGACGGCCCTTTTGGAGCTGTCAAAGGAAGCGCGAACGAGCGAAGCTCTTACTTAGTATTCATATCCGTCGTTGTTGCGGTGAGTGTGAAACTCTCCGCATGAGAAGAGAACTGCTAGCACCTTAGCACAGACCGGACGCTGTCCCGAGTTGAACCAGACTTTCACTCCCGCTTTTGTCGGTGAGGGTGACAGTGAGGGGACAGTTGGATACCCACGACTCAACAGGAAGGACATTCGTCACCAAGCTTATTTCTGCTTGCGCGACAAAGTAAGAGGTGGTATCTTGTAATCAGCACTCACAGACATCAACAAGACAGGCTCCTCCAACGAAGCAGTCGCAAAACGCAGAACGCCGTCGCTAATTCGACCATGCAATCTTGATCCAAAATGAAGCTCGTCTCATCTGTCGCCCCAAGCATTCCTCTCCTCTTCAAATAGAGGGCTGGGCACATCACCATCGTCATTCTTGTGCGGCTGCAAGTTCGAATACCGCCTCTCCTCCCACGGCTGCTCGTGGCCGATCTGGTCGGTTCCTGGCTGGTCTTGCACAGGAGTCATATCATCTTCTCCGTCTCCAATGGCGAACGGATCCGAGAGGTTGTGATTCTGCTCTTGGATCTTCTGCTCAGGCTTATCAGGATTGAAACCCTGCCGAACTTCCTCCGCATCCTCTTCATCGGGATACGTCTTAACGAAGTGCCTTTGCTCGACTGAGTTCCAGCCAGGACCGCCTTCTTTTCGTGCTCTCACTCGCTCAACCTCTTCTGCATCATGATCTTCAACCACCAAGTCGACCAATTGGGATGATCGAGACTTGTTCGAGGACCGGCTCTCGCTGGACTCATTGCGGACGAGCTTGCCCACGACCGGCAGCTGCCTCAACTTCTCTTTGCCTTTCGAGGATGTCTCACCACTTCCCCCACTGCCATGACTGTCACGCTTCGAAGATGAGGTCTCGGGCCGATCGTGTTGATGCACGTTTTGCCGAATCTCGTTGATTTTGCTCTTGCGCCGTTCCTTGTTCTCTCGAGTAGGCTGCAAAATTGCCCTGTTCGTAGACTGAGAAATGGTGTTAGGATTCTGTCGGAGTCGATCTCGCCTCGTGGCATAATGCGTGTTGATGACAGGGTAATTCCAATCGCCAAACTCGAGTGCTCGAGCATTGGTGTACAGGCGTTCCTCTTCTGCATCGAGTTGCGGTTCTTCTGGCTCGCGATTGGTACCATAGCCGTTCCCACGACTTGTAGAGCGATCCTTCTTCCCATCGCTGGGGCTCATCGTCCTAGCATGGCTGAATCGACCGAGAAGTGGCTGGCGTGCTTCAGTTGGTGAAGGCACCCAGTACTTCCCTCGTCCGTTTCTCTCGTACCGCATACCTTCTCTCATGCGGGCTTCCCTGCTAGATGACTCTTCGTGCGCCATGACATTATCGTCCGCGTCGAAATAGCGGTATTCGTATTTCTTTCCCGAGAAGGTCTCTTTACAGTCTTCGATGAGATCTCGTGGACCGAAGGCGTCTCGAAGTGCAAAGCGAATCGGCATCCTGGCATCGCTAATGGTCTGGTCGGCATAGTCTTTCCAGTTGAAAGCATACCACTGCCAGACGGCGAAGAAGGGCATCTCGAAGCAGATGAGCGCATCCTGAATAGCTGCAGCTAGATTGTCGGCGGTGTATCCCCTCTCCTTCAACGAAGGTATGGCGCCGATCCAAACAAAGATCGACAGCAAGAAGCCCTGCCACCAGGATGCGAAGATTATGCCCTTGATACAGAGGAACTTTGGCATGGGTCTGAAGGGCTGGAGATCCTGAGACATGCAGACCCAGAAGAGAGCCAGATCGTAGAGTGACCAGCAAATGCTGATGTTGTAGACCAAACCCGTCCAGAAGTATCCCGAATCCAACGCGATGATCCCCTCTCTGAATGTGTCCGTTGCTTTGCATGCCACCGTAGCTACTGCCAATATAGGTTTTATCCACGCGTACTGCAGAATACCCCTCTTGATCTCGAGAAATGTGTGCGGATCGCTGATGTCTACTTTCCCAAAGCAGTGATTGAGTGGCCACAAGTGGGAGACGGGTGGTCTGCCGTGCATCATGATTATCAGGCTTCTTTCTCCTCCGAGGAAGTTGACGAGTAGTTGAAAGAAGGTATAGATTGTGAAGGCTTCGTACACGTCGCGGAAGGGGTCAATCCAGAAGGCGACTTTGAGGGAGGTGAGGGAGGCCCAGGAGGCGCCCGCGAAGATGGGCACCAGGACTAGGATGCGAATGACATGGCGCTGGAGAAGCGGTTTGCGGTAGTTCTTCGCCTGCAGTATAATAGTCCTACAAGATACATGTTAGCTTGCTGCCTCCGAAGGCGAGGGCGAGGTTGTCTGGCGTACAAGAAGTCGATGAGGACTGCTACCAAAGCAAAGACACCGGCGACAATGGTGACGGCGTTTCCGAATCCTTGGCCAGTTCCTCCGCTCTGGTTTTGCTGGCCTTTCGCCATGGTCCTGAATTCATGCCAGGCAGCCATGGTCTGGCTTTGAAGGGGTGTTGTTTGGGGTCCTCGAGATTACCGCATCGCTGGAGGTTTGTCGCGACTTGCTGCTGGATCGAGTATGTCGAGTCGCGCAGTAAGTGGGTGGACAGTCGAGTAGTCGAGGAATTTGTTATCGCATTGCCTCTTTCAAAACGAACGTCTTTGGTGGTGGTTGTGCGGCGGCAGCGCGTGACAGCTTTTGAGAGGTCGTCACCGCAGGGTCATCTTGCAGCTCCTCCGCGCCAAGGCACGTGCAGAGCATCTTTAGTCTCGCAACATCACCTTATGCTACTAATCTCAATGAATGCGAAGCAACGTCGAAATAAACGTCAATCAATTTGGTTCGACTATAGAAATGCGATCGAGCCCTTTGGGGGCGTCTTGACTGCCTCTGATGGTCCTCCTAGTTGCTCCTCCAACTACACCTCTTCGAAAGGAAGCATGCTCCACAGTGTGAGGCATGTGCAACTGTCTTCTGATTGACTTCACTTAGACGATGTAGATGTCCATTCCATCCATCCCCGCGATGATCAATTTCGCGACATAGACCATTTGACGTTGGGAAATTGACACATATCGCAAAAAAGACGATAAGCATCAGGAAGATTGAGCGTCGTGACATCACCAAATTTTGGCTGGAGCTCGTTCTTAGGTCTCGTCGCAATGCTGTAGATGTCTTCAGGGCCGTACGATGTGATGACCTTGTCGTTATTCTTCGTGTCGTAAAATATGCGATCCGAAACTGTTTCAAGTTCAGTAGATGGTCTCCGAGATTTTAGATCCAAGCAACTCACATGTCAGACCGGGGTATGCCACATGCAGAAGCTCATGGATGAGACCTCCTGCGGCGAAGCGATATGCACCGATGTAGTCTCCACCACTCTTGGGCGAGACATTGAGGTTGGTGTTGGGAAAGTTGGGGTCGAAGAAGCGCGGGCAGAGGATGATCTGAATCATCGGCTCATTATCGATGGTGCCCGGGTTGCTCTGAGCTAGGGCGATTGCTCCGTTGCCACAGATTTTTGGATTGCTCTGGGGGTTGATGACTCGTCTCTGCCTGCCTTGTGAGTCGGTTATGCCGGGATATACAAAGACGTAATCTCGAAGAGTCTGGTCTGGTGAACGGAAAGTCAGTACTGGAGGGAGCTAGCGAAGGAGGCTTGGAAAGACTCACAAGTATTTTTAACAGTGCTACCATCTGGAAGGCTTGGGTCGATGTCTTGCGCGTTGGTCGTTTGTTTGTAACCTGTATCTGAGCAGGTAATGAATGCGTTGTTCGCACCCAGCCGACTCTGTTTTGCAACCGTATTCACGTCTTGTCCACTTAGAAGGCTCTGAACGCTTGATAGTGCAGCTGTATGGAGTGTCAGGATAGCTCCACTGGTTCAAGAGCATATGAGGCCATACCCTTCGCCTGGTTCAGCATGTCCTTGTCTTGCTGACCATAGCTACTGCCGACAGCACGAAGATACTTTGTCGTGAAACCGACATTGTAAGCATTGCGCATGTAGTTGCGGGTCGACGTCTTCACAAATGTGTTCGAGGTGAGTAGATCATCGATGGCAGTTTGCCCAGACGCAAGCAGTGTCCTGGCATCATTGATCATTCCTTGGAGAACATTCTGATCGCAAGAATCGTCCACAGTGAAGAGATCAGTGAGTGATGGATCCGCAGCCTGAACGGTGGACAAATGGATCAGGGCGACAATTGCAGTCTGCTGTAATAGTCGGCAGAGCATCGTGAGGCAGGATGAGGAATGCTGAGCGACAGGCTGGGTGGGACAGACATGTTGGTCCCCGAAATATTATCAAGAGACTTATGGTTACGGCAAGCCATTCTCGCCTGGCTGGACGGTATGCATCGGTATGATGCAGCCCTCTTTGCTGCGAAGTTAGCAATGGTACTATTGCCTAGCGCATGGGCGTACTTCAGCCTCAATGCACCGCTAGAACTCTCGTTGATGAGGAAATTTTCGTACCTACACGCGTGGGCCACGCGTGCTGAGCAGGCAAAAGAGAGCAGACAAGATGATATCTACAATGCATATGCGAATGTGCTTGAAGATATGCAGAGACCTTGATGGCGAAGATCAAAACATGTTTCCGCTTTAGGTCACGCCAACAGCCGAACCAATCAAAAGACCGAAGATGAAGCCGGTCTTCAACCTCACTTGGACACCTCTAGACTCATGTCCTCGCTCCCTTGTATCTAGGGCTTAATACCTCTTCTCCTGAACAAAAGCTCCACTTGCATGGATCAACGCGGACGAAAGAGTGTCGCTCCGCATCATCGATGGAGAGCAAACCGGTGGCATACTCCGATTCATCGCGAAATCCGCTGCACTATTCAGCTGCTCACGCGCCTCTGGAACAGCCATGGCCGTCGCGATGCCAACTGCAGTCATCCGGCCGCTTACTAGTGAGCAAGGCTGAACTGAAGCCTGTCTGCAAGTGCTCCATCGTATATCAATCCTTGTCCTAGTGGGGCACCAGCGATTTAGGGCGATGGATGCGGTCGGCGCGGTGGTGTCTAGTAGACTATTCGGCAGCTCTGGTGTTTATGGTAAGTGTGATCCTGTGGAGAATACATATTCACATACTTTCCTTGCTTGTCGCTGGGTACGGTCAAGAGAAGTCGCGTTTTCCCCTTCATTTGATGATGGAGTCCCGTGTGCTGTTTTTCTGCTTTCTTTCGCTTTTACTGGGACCACTTCCGTCGCATGCGGAGCGGAATAACTTGGAGAGCAGAGATGTCGCTCCAGGCACTCCAGTCGACGCCGGGACCGAGTTGCGAATTCTTCCTTTGGGCGATTCGATCACTTGGGGGTTTGCAAGCCCGGACGGTAATGGATATCGCCTCAGGCTTTTCAACGATCTTTCCGGCGACGATGTGGTCATGGCTGGTACCCAACACAATGGCAATATGCAGGACTACTGGAATGAAGGGTGCGGTGAGCGGCTATTCTTGCTCTCCTGTCCCATGCTGACGTGACATGGCAGTTACCCTGGCAAGACTATAGAGTTCATAGCCAATGCCTGCGGAGCCGCTCTCGCACAGAATCCTAATATAGTGCTGCTCATGGCCGGAACGAACGACATGAACCCCGATGCCAGCATTTCCACAGAAGGCAGTGACCCCAATGCCGCAGCCCAGCGGTTGTCCAATCTTGTGGATCAAATTTTCGAGAATGTGCCGAACACGGTCGTACTTGTCGCAAAGATCCCTCAAGTACGTATTTGCTGTGGCGAATATCACGAAGTCTTTCGCAGTGACAGCACAAGCACTACGTCTTGGGCTCAGAAAAAGCTTCGAACTACTTCGACACTACATACTGACAGAGCCTGTAGGCAGGAGATTCACGTCAAGAGTCCAACACTGAGAAGTTCAATGCATTGATCCCTGGCATGGTCTCCGATCGTGCCAACCACGGTCAACATGTTGCGCTCGTAGATATGTCTTTCATCACGCCCGTAAGTATTAATTCGAGCCTGTGTCTTCGATGCTTAGCTGATGAACGAATGTAGTCCATGGAAGTTGATGGCGTCCACCCGAACGAAGCGGCCTATCAATCGATGGGCGACACTTGGTATCAAGCTATACATAACATTCCACAAGGCTGGATTCAACCACCTGTGGGTCCCGACCCGTGAGTGCTCTGTTTTAACCTGAAATGGAGATGCATGCCCGAATTCTTACTTCGCTATCGCAGAGACCATCCTTACAACTGTGATCCATCTAATGGTGGCTCCGGAAGTGGAGGCGGCAACAGCGGCTCTGGGGAAGGGGGAGGTGGCAGCAGCGGCGGTGGTGGTGGGAGTCGTGGTGGCGTGGATTCCAATGCAAATGGTGGTCCCGATCCTAGTATCCCACCGCCTGTCTTCCACCATGACAAGCTTCAATGCGAGATTGCACTCGGGGTTGGTCACCCAGGGGACTGGAACTACAAGAAGAATTGGGTGGCTGGCGGCAAAATAGCTGACGGTGAGTCGAAATCTTTTTTAGTAAGAGCGAGCACTGACAAGAAGGCCAGGCTTGCATCTTGATATGCCTGGAGTTCAACTCTTCGATATGGATGGTGATGTGAGAAGTAACCCCTCCCAATCTGATAGCTCGAACTGACAAGGATTAGGGCAAAGCAGAGTATCTATGTGAGCATTGTGCGAGATTTTTCTAGTGGTCAGATTCTGATCTCAAGCAGGGGTCAACGAGACCTCAGGCCTACTTGTTTGCTGGAAGGTATGTGTGCATCAACCAGCCTTGCCCAGGCATCTCCAAATCGAAAACACCTACACAGCAGAAGCTGTTGCCAGGCAATCGTGATCCGACGAGATACACCAACGAGCGGCGCTTGAAGAATTAGACTGACACAGTGCAGAACAATTGGCCTGATCCATGGGCGCCATGCGGTAGCAACAACGGCATTATAGCCAGCGGTGCAGGTCCAAGAGATCAAGTTTTCTTCGGTTATATGAAAGGAGATTCCAAAGCCGATTACCTAGTCGTCAACGGCGATACTGGAGCTGTCACTGTCTATTGGAATGAGGGACCAGACAATTCTGCAGACAATGGCTGGCGGTTCAACCCTGGTGGGGTTATCGCGACCGGAGTTCCTCACGCTAATCTTCAGACGTTGCGATTTGCAGACATGAACGGTCAGGAAATAATTTTGTCGAATCAGGGAGACTTCTGCTGACTGTTGCCTTCCGATGTGCAGGTGATGGCCGAACTGACTATGTAGTTGCCGGGAAAGGTGGCTCCCTTAATCTCTACCTCAACACTGGACTGCAAGGGAGCTATGACATCCTCTTCGTTAACGCGGGTGGTATCGCGACGGGTGCAGACGACGACCTCACCACTCTGATCCTGTCTGATGTTACAGGCGATGGCCGCGCGGACTACATGATCTGGGATCAGCAGGCTGGCCTCAGTGGCTTCCTCAACATCCGGACTCGCGACGAAGGAACACCATTCTTTGCCCAGCAAGGGGGCGCCAAGTACATTGCAGATGGCATCACACAGAATCCAGACAGTATCCGACTGGCTGATATCGATGGCGATGGCCTCAACGATTACTGCTACATTGACGATGTCGGCGCTCTCTGGATCTGGTGGAATCGTGGAACAGCAGACACTTCTACGGGTGGTGATGGCGTACGACTTCACGACCTCGATGGTGACGGTGTCGACGACTATGTCTATCTAGACTATGCGACTGGACAGCCCTATGCGTACTTAAATGCTGGACCAAACCCAAGCTACCCCGATGGATGGCAATTCAACGCATTCAACGGTGGTAAACCCATTGCCTCTGGTGCCTGTCCTAGGGACCAAGTGCATTGGGGAGATATCGACGGTGACAAGCGAGCAGACTACTTATGTCTCAACGACAAGACAGGTGAGGTAGTGGCGTATCTCAATGGTGGACCTGACCCTACGGCCGACAACGGCTGGCGATTCAACCCCGTCGGGTCTATCGCATCCGGCCTGGGGCCTGGTAAAAACTCGCGCTTCGCGGACGTTGACGGAGATTTAAGTATACACTCCCCATCTTTTAGGACTTTTGCTCATCGGTAGTAGGGCAAAGTTGATTACATCGAGCTATCAAAAGGCGGCAAGACCAACATCTGGAAGAACAACCATCCCGACCCGTGGTCTCCAATGGATGATGCCAATGCTTCAGGTATATCAAAGCCTCCTCCTTCATGCTGGGATGTGTCTCAGTCTTGATGTCAGAATCAGCAGTCTGAAATAGAGATTTTCGACTTTGAAAAACGAGAACATATGTGGAAGAAATATGCGACTGACTTTCTGTCCTTCGCAGGTATCGGTCGCCCTCCTGCCGAAATTACATTCGCAAACATCAACAATGATGGAAAAGCTGATTATATCTGGACGGATCCACTCAGCGGCCAGCCGCATGTCTGGTGTAATCACTACCCAAGTCAGCCGGTATGGCTTGCATGCGATTACCCCAACGTCAGAGGCGAAGGCATGGCTGGTGCCAATGTCCTATACGCAAAAGTCCAAAACCGCACCGGTGCGCAAGCGGTATTTGTCAACCCGGACAATGGTGCGATTGCTGCATCGCATGATGGGTGCCAGATCCCTGGAGGATCGTCAAAGATGCGAGCAAAGCGAGACCGGCCGATTATGGAACATCCCAAGCGGTTGCAAAGGAGGCGTGACTTTTGCTCGCCTGGAGGTGGAACGACCACTTCGCCAGGCCCTACGCCACCAAAAATTACCACAACTACATCAACTACGCCCCCGCCTATCACCACTCCAACATCGCCTCCGCCACCAAAAGTAACTACTACGACATCCACTCCTGTGCCAGGCTCATCTACAACCTACACAACCACCTTCGTTTCTGGCGGCAGCACGACAACGTACACCAGTGGAGGCCAGACTTATACCAGTGTCACTGGAGGTGTCACTACGACAGAGACCACAGCTGCTCCGATAGTTACGAATCCACCGGAGAACCAACCCACTCCAATCGCGAGCAATGGCCAGTGCACTGGACCTGACTGTTCCAATGGACGCTGCATAGGCCAGCTTTGTATATCATTCGGCTGTAAAGGAGCAGATTGTTTGAATGGCAGCTGCCGAGGTGCGGATTGCACGCCCCTGGGTTGCACTGGCTCTCACTGCACCAACGGAGTTTGCAATGGAGGTGGTTGTACGACCAATGGCTGCTCGGGCCCAGACTGTGATAGTAGTTCTGGCTCATGCCGTGGGCCGAACTGTATCTCAATAGGGTGTGCCGGTCCGCAATGTGGTAGCGATGGGATTTGCATTGGTCCGAACTGCTCTTCTACGGGATGCGTTGGGCCAGCTTGTTCCAAGGGCGGATGTACAGGTCCGAACTGTTCAGACGTCGATGGTAGCGTCGGTGGCGGGGATGATGCCGTAAGTTGTGATCATTCCTCGAGAGAATGGATTGTATGCTGACCCAGTCCTGTCTCATAGCCACTGGACAATCCGAACAACGGCTGTACTGCCAGCCCGACCACCGCCTCCTCTTGTAACGTTGTATGCACATCTGGCGAGCCCGAGTCATCTTGTACAACCAACTGTGGTATCATCAACGGCTGTCCAGCTACGGCGACGACCTCTACCAGAACTATTGGGACGAATGACTACACGATCCCTACAGCCATCGTGGACAGCTATCCAGACCTTCAAAGCGCTCCAGCCGCTGTTGAGTCGTGGGCCTCGCAGGGCATGGCCTCAGAGGCATCGATAGATGCTGAATCGACAATGACGACGACTACAGCACCATCCCCGCCTCCGCCTGCGGCAACGTATACTGGAGTGAGTCCTCACAGTACCTTTGATTTAGACGAGGAAGCTGACGTAGATCTGTTGCAGACGTGCAGCGCCAGCGGCACATATGGACAGTGTGCGTACCAGCCAGCCAGCGGACCAGAGAAAGTAATCGACTGTGCCGGAAAGACTGTAAGTGAATGACGAGATCCAAAAATCGACGGCCAGCCCAACCTGACATGTCCGTAGCCATGCAACACCAGCCCAGGGCAGGAGACCAGTCCTTGTATCTTCGTCGATGGAGACTCCGACGCCAATTGCCAACCCCCCACATCCTCAGACCCCCCTCCGGCTTCAAACCCCCCTCCGGCCTCCAGATCGCCGTCGGCCGGCGCAGGTTGTGACCCTGAGCAGGCAGAATGGGGTTGTAGTGCAGACAATACGATGATTGTAAGTAATACGCACAACATCTCACAGCACGTGGACACTAACACAGGCACTTATAGCTTAAATGCACATGTCCGGAAGACACCATGAAGTGTGCATGGGACAGCGCAGGCACTTGCCAGAACGGAGCCACGACATGCCATTTGTCGACGAGTAGCAACTATTGTGGAGCGGCTTTTGGTGCTTGTTGTTGATGTGGCTCAGAGGGCATAATCCGCTCTTAAGATTCAATCACAGACGTTGATGCTACAAAGGCTTCTCTATACCCCTCCGAAGACCACCGGTTCAAAGGTCCAAACCCACAGTCAACAAGATGAAATTCGTACGCTGCTCAGACCGCGATGCCTAGTCACCGTAATTACAGAGTACGCCCTCATGACGAGTTCTGGCACGACAACGGCACTTGTCTTTCCTCAACACGAGTCCACAGATCAGCCGGCAATCTGATGTTGAAGTTGACTTCGTTATCTTGCATCTTCGACCAAGATTTTCGACTTCACAAGCCAGGGACTGCCGGCCTGTCAGCGTTGCGACTCATGGTCACCTCGAGCTACACCCTATCACCTCTCGCTGCCGTCTTTTTGACTTTCTCCATTCGTGTTCTTGAGTTAAACACGCGAACCGCACGTTTACAAGGGTTGCGACGTTTGTTTGTTTACTCTCTGCTCCCTTTGCGAAACATATAACTTTCTTGGTCGCCTTGCGAACGACCGTCGTTGCGGTGCGGTTCCATCGTTTTGCTTTTCTTCTGATGCATCCATAATATTCACTAATCGATCATTCATTTGGTGGCCACAGTTCCATGAAAGCATGGCGAAACGCAGGGCGGACTCGGCATGCGAAAATCCCATAGTCAAAAGACCATCAGTGTCCCAACTTGTCGCAACAATCGCTCAAAATGATCCTGTCAAGGCCACCAGGAAGAGCACAGCAAGAGCACCTTTGAGGGAATTTGGTCCATGGCAAAATGCATCCACCGCAAACCTTCGACCCAAACCAAGGCGCACTCGCGAAAGCATCGCACCGCAAAGCGTCCCAACACTCAAGCCTGGATTGGAGCTCGCCGGACGTCCACTCGAGACCATGAAGGGCGAGGATATTGCTTCTGTCAAGGAAGTCATTCTTTTGCCAACTACCCTTGCCGTCATCAAACCAAACTGGCCATTTTGCTTCGACGTTAACTGCACGCCTCAACTTGGCCCACCCCTCCCTCAACATATCGCTGAAGACCTCTACGCCAAATACGTCTGTTCGAGTCCTCTCCTGAGACCAGGCAAACTCCCATACATGCACATCGGCACCACGACCCTCGGATTCAAACTCCACTTCTACTTGATCCTGCCCAACGCAGGAGGACCACCACACGCCGTGAACACGGGTCATCGTAAGTATACGAGACGCAAGAAACATACCCATCCACAGCTAAAATCTGAAACCAACACAGTCACAGACGAAACCCTCCAAACCCTCTTCGACACCTGCATCAACTCGGCCCTCGCCGCCACCGACCCCCAACGCCGCGGCTTCACCTCCTGGATGCAAGCCATGAACGAATCGAACCTCCTCCCCCTGAAATCCCGCAACCGCACCAGCGCCCCCGAAATCCAAGAAGAACGCGTGCACTGCATCCACCTCGACGCCATCTGGCGCAGCATCTCGGAATGCGAAGACGACGCCGCGAGAGATCTGCTGGATGGGTATGTGCTGGTGGCGTACGGGAATGTCGAGGGGCATTGTTGGCATGAGGGGTGGAAGCCTACGTGGGGGAGTTTTCGGAAGGATTGGGAGGCGGGGGTGGAGGGGAGGTTTTTGAGGGAGGAGAGTCGGGTTGTGGTGGGGATGGAGTTGGGGGTGGGTGTTGTTGGGGAGGGTGAGGATGTGGGGAGGAGGGGGAGTTCGAGGTATGAGAGGAATAAGGCGAGGAGGTAGGTGGTTATGGGGATGGTAGACAGGTGCAGGGGATTGTAAAGGCGGGACCGTGTCATCAGACTACCTTTCTTTTTTGATGGATGCTTGCATGTCTCTGCTGTTTCGGTTTCCACTCGTTGCGGGCACATGCGTCTGGGACGCGACGGTGCTTCATCTGTACTATATCTCATCGTTATCTCAAGCAGCTTCGAAATGCTAATACCTGTGGTCTGAAAATCGTCCGTTCTAATATCGCCGAACTTTTCAACAGAACATCCCTTCACCGAGCTGGTTGGTCATGCACAATCCTTCGTCCTTCAGCCGGCTTCTTGCTTCTCTTCGACTCCTACAATTCGGACGACCGACCGATACCTGGGCTAATGACACTCATCTGGACCGGCTCGCACTGATGGACAGACCGAAGAGATGTTTATTATCAAGAAGTTCGATCCTCACGATGTGATGGTCGTCGAGCGAAGGCCGAAAAGGGCAAGGCTACTACTTTCTGACATGAGGGAGGTAGGGCAACCCCTCAGAGCCAGCGTTCTGACAGGCACACAAAATATACAAGATGTGCCATGGGGAAACAAACGAGATCCAATATTCTTCCTCCACTGAGCAATCGATAGATCCACAAAGTCGACCAACTCTCTTCCTCTCTCACCTCAAAAGCAGCCAGGCCAAATACTCAAACAACAACACACCTCCCTAATCCCCTCCTCCTCGCATCGAATCAAACCAAACCACCATGTCCCAATATATAACCACCTTCTCCCCCACCACCGGCGCATCAATCTTCTCCTCCAAACTCCCCGACCCCCTCCACGCGCACCCGATCCCCCTCGGAAAAATCACCTACCTCTACACAACCCACACCCCACCGAACCTATCCACCGAAGCCGACATCGACACCTACCTCACCGACCGTGAAAACGGACTGCCACCAACCTCCCCCGTCCCGCCCGGCGGGACGAACGCATCCCTCATCGAGCTCGCCCCGGGGGCGGCGACGCCGGTGCGGAGGACGATCACGGTCGGGGTGTTTAGGGTGCTGAAGGGGATTGTGAGGTTGATGTTGGATTCCGGGGAGGAGAGGGTGCTTAAGGAAGGGGATGTGGTTGTGATTAGGGGGGCGAAGCATACGTGGAGGAATGAGACGGAGGGAGAGGGGGAGCAGGGGTGGGCGAAGTTGATGGTTTTTGCGATGAGTGTGAAGGATTTTGAGGTGAATGGGAAGCAGGTTGAGGCGGAGTGGTTGTAGATGTTGCTTTTGCTGATACTGTGTTGTGTGGTGGACGGTGGAGGAGTCTTGGATGGGTCGTGTAGGGTGAAGTGCCAGATCTTGTCAGCTTTGTCTCTGTTGTGTCCAGCGGTGCTAGGCCAATGTCGAACACGACGTCTTCAACCATGAAGCAGATTGCCGAAGTACTGATCAGTATCCGACGGTGACAATTCTTCCTGCGTTGAGCAACCTCCACAGACTATCGTAGAGTTAGTCAACCACTCCACATTCACATCTAACACAATGGCGTACTTGCCTTTCATAGCTAGCCGGCCGAAGAAAGTCTGCCGCAGCATCTCCTCGTGCCAAACCCAATAGCTCACGCGATCGGTGCAGAGACCGAGCTCAGTAGCGTGCAGAGAATCGTAGATGGCGCCAACTCCGCGTGCATGACGATCACCAGGCCGAGGCATGACGATGGGTCCTCGACACTTTGTTTCTTCACAGTGCTTGTGGTTCTCATTAAGAGCTTGGAGTTCTGGATTAAAGTGTTAGCAAAGGCACTCATCAAAATCAATCCAACACACTTAGCGAGACTTCGCCGGAGACTTGATCTAGCAAAAGCATCTGTTAGCTCTGGCTCTCAAACTATTGGAATCAAACAACCCACCAGCACAACCAAGATGAAATTACTCTCTGCAATCCTAGTCACCGCGGCACTCGCGACAGCGACACCTCTCACCGCCCGAGACGAACTCATCACGGCACAAACCCTCATCTCAGACATCAGCAACATCAACGCTGGCGTCGAAAGCCTCCGCAAAGACGTCGCCGCCTATGATGGTTCCCTATTGAGCGAGACCCGACTCGTGGCAGACTTCACCGCGATCCACCTGGCCAACAGGAAAGGTTTCCTCGACGCGAACCTCCGTCAAGCACCCTTCAACGCCAGCGATTCGCACGACATCGTACAGTTCACCATCGATAGCGTGGGCGTGAGCATCCCCGCTGCGGTGGAAGAGACGAAGGCGAAGAAGGCGCTGTTTGAGAAGTCTGGGCAGGATGCGGTGATTGCGGGAACGTTGAAGGTGTTGTTGAATGATCATGACACTTTTTCGGCGCCTTTGGTGGCCAAGTTGACGGCGGATCTTGAGAGGGGCCAGGCGGTGGTTGCGAAGATTCATGATTCTATACAGAGCGGGATTGATTATTTCAGTTCTTAAGTTGTGTTGAGAGGCGGAGATGAGAGGAGAGGGTGGTCCGCATGAGACGGAACGTATTTTCGATGCTATTGCATCGTGAAAAGACTTACTAATTCAAAACACCGATCGTGCTGTCTCGTTATGTTGGTTCAGAGTATCACCCAGGCTGAGGTCAAGCCAACAGATGGCTGTGAGAGATGTTGGTGGTCCAGACGAGGACATGTGCTCAACTCTTCCTTAGGTCAAGGCTGGCGGTCGTGGTATGCCTGACTTAAGCGCTATATGCGCTGCACAGTGACGATGTATTGTTGTCACCAACGATCGGTCATTGCGAGCAGTATAACGATGCCCTGGTGTTCTGACGCTGGTCCGCGAAGGTCAGTTGAGACGAAGACTCATGCCAATCGATGCCCGTGGAATCCACGACCTGTCTCGACCGCCGACTCGGACTCAATCGTCAGTGCTCACGCACATTTGATATGCTGAAACAGCGATACCTGGCACAAGTGCCATGCTGCTGAAAGAGTAATGAGCGAATGAGATTCCAGACCAAGCATACCCGAGTCGTGTCATCCAGCAGCGCACGTGTGTGACTGCGGAAGCGATTCAGTGGGACTTGCAGTCGCGTTCTGTCAAGAAATCCAGCAGGAAGGACTGGTTGATGGATGGATGGATGGGAAAGTGCACACATGTAACGAATGGACGTTACGCTCTGTATCTTCAAGTGTTGTGCATGTATCACAGTCGCACAGCATCAAAGCTGAACTGACATGCCCTCCAGTCAACAAGCCTCTCATCGATATGCACGTGCACTCCAGGATGCACATGTACGTGATGCCTGCACCTGCAGGCGCGATGAAGTCATGCTGGTGTCTCGTGGAATTGTCCTGGGCCATAGGAGGCAGGATTGGAAGATTTCGAAAGAAGTGCCAGAAGATGGGAGGGATTGATTGTCAGATCTCGATCGCGCTCCTATGCTGACTTTAGGGAGCAACTGCTGTTTTTGAGGTGGAGGTCCTGCCCCCTTTCGGCGGGTACTTGCAGGAGATCTGGATTCATGATGACAGGCACAAGAACACGAAGACTCCAGAACTTGCGGATGACAACACCGTGTCCTCCAGATGTTTGTAGTTGTGACCTGGATATCGTTGGCGATTCTCGGCTCTTCGCTTGGACAGCGACTTGACGAGGGCGATGAGTAAGGCAAGGAGCGTTGTATCGCAGCCAGCCACGTCGACATAGCTGGCGCCCATGGCGTCTGTCGGTCGTCTGGCCCGAATTTAGCCCTGGAGATGGCTGTGGCGTCAACACCCCGGCGAGCATCCCCCAAGCCCCCCAAGCCCGCCGAGCCCAAGTGAGGTGGTTTCTGTCGGGGCTTTCGATGAGGGGAATCGTGCTCGCGTTATCAGTCTAGACTGGGTCTTTTGCGGGCAGCGCGTGCGGAAGATTCACGACGATGAACCGATGGGGGGTTCACGTGAGGGCCATGTACCGATATAGGAGCCTTTCGATATAGATCGACAAGGACAAGGGTGGAGAACGGAGCGACCGTTGTTTTCGAGGGTGGACTCCGCGCGGAGCGTGCTTCCTAAACTGACCTCACCTTCGACTACCGGGTACGCCTCTGCAGACGACCCAGCGCTGGTGCAGTGCAGTGCAGCGCATGCGCGGAGAGGGCGTCTACGCGCAGACGGGGCGTCTAGAGCGCGAATGGGTACGGCACAGGTGTTGGTGGTATGCGGCGGGTGAGGGTGGAGTGCGTTTCAACACACGCAAGTTGGCCCCTCGTGGGCAGCAGAAGGATCTCGGCCCCCGTGAGCACCACGTCCAAACCGGGCGCGGCTGCAAGGGCAGCAGAGCCGGGGCGAACTCTGTTGCCGCAGCGAGGGGCCCTGATTCGCACATGTTTCGAGAAGAGCTGATCCCGGCCGCTAATGCAAGGCCTCCGTGGCACAGAACGGGCTCACGATTCCTCTGATCGCCGCCACTCCAAGCTCACAAGGCACCCTGCGCTGCACCCACTACCGGACCCGACTTCACTCATCAATCTTGTTACTCTTCCACGGTGCGACTCTAATTCACACGCTTTCCTGGGCTTTGTTCTGTTCTCCGCTCCAGCATCGCGCCTCCGGCAATGCAGAGCGCTCCTTTGTTCGACACGAGGGGCGGAATGCTTTTGTCCTCGGCAGCCATTGACTGAACTCGAACAGCAACCTCACTTCTCCTCCATCTACCGAGACTCGCCGCCACGCTGGGCCAACGACACCGACCATAGGTCCTCTGTGCCTGCAGCATCCACCGAGACAACATGTCGACTCCCGCCTCGCAGCGCATCGAGGCGCCGGTGACCTTCAAGGCCTACCTCATGTGCGGTTTCGCCGCTTTCGCCGGCATCCTGTTCGGATACGACACGGGCTACATCAGCTCCGTCATTGGCATGGAGGCCTTCAAGATCCAATATGGACATCAAGTGCCAGTGACCGAGGAGAACCCTAACGGCTACGCCTACTACACCTGGCAGAAGTCTTTGATTGTCTCCATCCTCTCCGCTGGCACCTTCTTTGGCGCGCTTCTTTCAGGCTATCTGGCCGACAAAATCGGACGACGAACCACCATCATCGGCCCGGGATGTGGAATCTTCGCGATCGGGGTCGTTGTCCAGGTCGCCGCGGCCAACATTCCAGGCCTCGTGGTTGGAAGATTCGTTGCAGGACTTGGCGTCGGCTGTGTCTCAGCCATCAACATCCTCTACATGTCGGAAATTGCCCCAAGAAAGGTTCGAGGAGCCATTGTTTCGGGATACCAATTCGCCATCACCATCGGCATCATGTTGGCCAGTTGTGTTGGATACGCGAATGAGAAGTACATGCATTCTGGAGCATACCGCATTCCCATCGGCATCCAACTGCTTTGGGCCGTCATACTCGCTGTAGGATTATTCTTTCTTCCAGAGAGTCCTCGATACTGGGTCAAGAAGAATCGATTGGACAAGGCAACACACGCACTGGCTCGGGTACGCGGTCAACCAACGGACTCGGAATACATCGAGGATGAGCTCGCAGAAATCGTTGCCAACTGTGATTACGAACGCCAGGTCGGCGAAGTCAGCTGGCTCGGATGCTTCTCAGGCGGAATCACCAACTCCAATTCCAACGCCCGCAAGGTCTTCATCGGTACCGCGCTGCAAATGATGCAGCAGTGGACTGGCATCAACTTCATCTTCTACTACAACGTCACCTTCTTCAAGGACCTCGGCATCAGCAATGCTTTCCTGGTTGGTATGGTCACCACCATCGTTAACGTCGCTGGCACACCCTTTTCCTTCTATGCAATCGAGAAGTTCGGCCGGAGAGCACTGCTCGTCTATGGGGCCTTGGCCATGTGCGTGTGCGAGTTCATCATCGCCGGCGTGGGCGTCTCCTTCGACTCATCTGCGACTACCAAGGTGCTCATCGGCTTTGTCTGCATCTACGTCTTCTTCTTCGCCTCGACTTGGGTAAGTTAAAAACCAAACCAACCTATCCTTCCACGACACTCTACTGACACATCTACAACAGGGTCCCACAGCCTGGGTCGTCATCGGCGAGATCTTCCAACTCCCCATCCGCAGCAAAGCCGTCGCTCTGAGCACCGCATCCAACTGGTTCTGGAACTGCATCATCGGCGTCATCACCCCCTTCATCGTCGACCCACCCAACGGCCTCGGCGTCAAAGTCTTCTTCGTCTGGGGCAGCACCTGTCTCCTCTGCGCGCTCTTCGCCTGGATCTTCGTCCCGGAGACAAAAGGCCTGACCCTAGAACAGGTCAACGACATGGTAAGTCCACTCCACCCCCAACCCCAAACCCACCACGAACATTCCCCCTGACTAACACATCTCTCACACAGATGGAAGAAACCCCCGCCTACACCTCCCGCCACTGGCGCCCCCGCACGACCTTCATCGACCAACAAGACCTCTCGGCCTACGGCCGCCGCAGCGCCCCGAGCACCATGGACGGCGCGCAGCCCAAGATGGAGAGCTTCATAGAAATGGGTCGGTGACAATGACAGTAAAGGAGTTTTGATGAGGCGTTACAATGGTATTGACATTACATTTTTTTACAGTGAAGAAATTCTTGCGGATTTGATCAAGAAGGGGGAAGTTTTGGGATTGATGCCAATGGCGATGGATTGATGATGATACCCTGGGATTGCGAAGTGCGAGATGCGGACTGCAGTTCTGCCAGATGCGGAATTTTTTGTTTTCCTTTGCTGTATTGTGTTTTAATGCATGAAGAGATGGATACGCGAGGAAAACAAGCATGGAGGGTGTAGGATAGTGCTTGTCGATGAGGAGGTGGATACAACATTCTAGTGCTTAGTGTAAAAGCGCACTCACAGGAGAAGAGATAGAGGTCTTCATAGCAGGGCTCGAATTGAACAAGACAGAAGGAAGACTCGAAGAGCGAGTCGAATCGATAGACGATCGAGAATAGAAAAGAAGGCCCAATATTCTCTGACTCTCTTTAGTTCTTCTGTCTCTTGTGTCTTCTCGTATCTCACTCCTCATTCCCTTCACTCTCCCCACCACCCATATCCCATCTAATCCATCGTCAACACCGCCCGAAACCTCACCTCCCCACTCAGCATATGCGCCATAGCCTCATTCGCCTTCTCCAACGGAAACTTCTCAATCAAACACTTAACCCCATGCACCCTCGCAAACTCAATCGCCTCCTCGCTATCCAGCGCATGCCCCGAAGGCCAGCCGTGCACGCTCAGCGCCTTCAGCACCATGGTCACCGTATCGACGGGGACCGGCCCGATTGCCGTGTGGATGAGGAGTTTGCCGCGGTTCGCCAACCCACCCAGCAGCGGCGTGATGCTGTCCGGGTTGGGCGCCGTGACGACGATGAGGGCCGCGCCGCCGAGGGCTTGCAGGGCTTCGCCGACGTCTTGCGCCGAGGTGTCGATGTAATCTGTCGCGCCGAGTTGCAGGGCGAAGTCCTTCTTCTTGGAGCCTCGCGAGAGGGCCACGGTGCGGTAGCCCATCTTGCGGGCGTATTGCACGGCTAAGTGGCCCAGGCCGCCGAGGCCTTGGATCGCGACGATTTCGCCGGGGGGCACGTTCAGTTGGCGCATGCCGTTGAAGACGGTGACGCCGGCGCAGAGGAGGGGCGCGACTTCGGCCGGGTCGACGTCCTTGGGGATGCGGACGGTGGCTTCGGTGCGCAGCGTGGCGTATTCGGCGTAGCCGCCGTCGCGCATGACGCCGTTGATGGTCTTGTTGTCGCACATTTGGAAGTCGCCTCTGTTGCAGGACTTGCAGGTGAGGTCGTGGCCGCCGTGCCATGGTCCGCCCACGCGGTCGCCGACTTTCCACTTCTTCTCGGTCTCGGGGACTTGGACGACGGTGCCGATGAATTCGTGGCCGAGACGCTCGATTTGGCTGGGAGGAGGAGAAGTCAGTACTGGAACTGGTTGAGGGTTGGGATGGAGGTGCTGGAACTCACGGTGGACCCATATCTCCATGATGGACGTGGTGGTCACTGTGGCAGACACCACAAGCGTGCACCTTGATCAGAATCTCTCCAGACTTCACCTCTGGCACCGGCACTTCCTTGATCTCAAGCGGCTTGTCAACGCCCGCGAGGACCGCCGCCTTCATAGTCTTCGGAACTTGAGACATCTTGGATTCGGTCGTCTTGCTCGTAATCGTCGCAGCAGGCGCAGTCGTGGTATTCGTCTGCGGCACAGTGCTCTGTCGTTTGGACGCAGTGCCTTCAGCCGACTTCTCAGAGGTGTCCTTGTCTTTCTTGTTTCCAATGCCGAGCTTGTCGGCAATCTTCTTCATGGGTTACAATCGCAGCAGAGCAGGCGGTGGTGATGTTGCTCTTGTGGAGACCTCGAGAACAAAGTGAGGGAGGTGCAGTGCCTTTGTTGGGAAAGCTCGAAGTCGAAGTGACGCTTGCTTTTGCGTTTGCGATGGCTCGACGTGCTAGCGGGACGAAGGG